CTTACTATTCTCTTGGACATCAGCAGATAACGTTTGTGGTGCTGTAGTTATCTTTTGCTTATCAGCATTAGCCTTGTCGCGAGGAAGTGAAGGAATAGACTTGGTGCGTTCAGAAGGGATACCAGTATTATGAGATTCTGATGAGACATCATCGGTTACGTCATCCTCAGACTCATTGGTGTCATGGCTTAAACCCAAGATACCACCGACAGTAGCAGCAGCACCGGCAAGAGTACCCTTTGATGACTTAGTTTGATTACGATGATCATCAGTACCAGCGCCATACTTGTTGTGGTCGGATCCAAATCGGCTGGAGTGGCCATCTTGAACATCAGCAGCCAAAGTTTGAGGAGCAGTGGTTACTTCTTGTTTATTTTGAGATTTAGCCTTGTCAATACCCGAGGTGGAGTTTTCGTGAGTAGTATCGTATTCAGAGGAATGATCTCTACCGGATCTTTTGTTCTTATGATCCAGACCTAATGCACTACTAACTGCTGCAGCAGCACCTAAAAGAGAGCTTCTTCTGGACTTGTTTTGAGTTTCACTATTTTCCAATCGCGATTCATGATGGCTGTCACGAGTAGATTCATTCGAATCAAAATCGTCATCTTCGTCAGCTTCAAAATGGTCAGCTTCGTTGACTTCATAACGACCACCTCCGATAGGCTGGATTTTGTGATTTCCTTGATCAGGACCATTGATAGCCTGAGAAGTAGTCTTCTTGACATGATAAGATTTAGAAGAAGCTGAACCATGAGTATGGTGAGTTTCAGTATCTTTATGGCCTAAACCAAGAATACCACTCACAGCAGCACCCACACCAGCAATAATACCCTTTGATGATTGTTCTTCTACTTCACTATCCGATGTATCGTAATCCAAAGCAGACTTCTCTTGATCAATTGTTTTAGATGCAGAACCCTTGTTACGGTCTTCATGACCCGTTCCAGTAGGAAGTGTTCGGTCGGCATTAGACCATCCCTTGGTCTTAACGTTTTGATTGATTTCAGACCATTTCTGAGGAGGGGGAGTAGCGCCATCAGCATTTGATAGCCATCCTTTAGGTGCGACATGTTCATCGTGTTGTTCTGCTGTAGATGTAGAATCACTAGAACTCTCATGACTGTCATAATACTTATCATCTCCAGACTCGAGATAACTAGCACTGGAACGATGCCCGAAACCTAAACCACCAAGTGCACCAAGAGCTGCAGCGCTGGCAGTAGCGAACACACCCTTTGATTTGTGATCGCGAGAATACCCATGGTCTTGTGACACCGTGGTTTCAGAATGCGAGTTATTATCAATGTCTTGATTATTGCTGTAGCCTCGAACACGAATGCCATCATATTCATCAAATTCTTTATTTGCCTTAGAAGTCTTGGGTGTAGCGACTGGAGCAATTGTAGTAGATTTGGTGGAGGTACTAGTAACTGCCTTGTTAGCAACTTGAGAAGCGGCTTTGGTGGTTGCACCAACAGCTGATTTGATAGTAGAACCAATATTAGCTGTAGCTGCACTAGTAGCAGAATGAATATTATGAGTAGAGAACCCAGAATTTTCTTGAGTAGCATGAGTAGAGAAACTGGAGTTTGCTTTAGTAGCATGTGTAGAAAACCCAGTATCAGCTCTATCAGTATGAGTAGAGAAGTTACTATCTTTAGCAACATCCGCAGGGTTGCGCGGAGGAATTGGTAAAGGTTGGTCTCCCCAAGCTGGAGGCAAGTTGGAATCAACGTAGTCATCATCATCTATCGAATTTGAACAGTTTAATAAATCTATACTTTTTTTTGAAAAATTCGAGTTGTATTTACCTTCAAGCTCATCAATGGCAGGACCTGATTGAGGCAAAGCTTGCGCATTAGTTAAACCATTTCCAACAGTACCACCTCCACCAGCGGCAAGAACTCCCTTGAAAGACTTGACCTTATTACCGGGAGCATGTTCCAAAGTTTGGTCGAAATCCTCATGTAATCTGCTTTCTCTTCTAACAGCATTAGCATAACTGGTTGAAGATGAATGAGAAGAACTTCGATCAGTACTATCAGACAATGAAGATGTAGATTGGCGACGGTCCAAAAGCGAGTCAGAAATATTTTCTGATCGTTTACGAGCTGTACCAAATTGAGCTGCATGAAGTGAAGAACTAGTGATATTCTCGATAGCCAATTGACCAGTCTTTTGGGATGAAGTTAAACCCAAAATATCACTGGACCGTCTGCGAGACGTAGACGATTGATTGGATTGAGAGGCACTTGATTGAGAAACACTTGAGTAAGAAGCACGATTACTTTCGAGTCTTGATTGACTTGCATGGCTGCTTTGAAGTCGTGATTGATTAGCGTGGTTGCTTTCAAGTCTTGATTGAGAAGAACGGTTGCTATCAAGTCTTGACTGAGATGTACGATGTGAGTCAAAATTCGCCTCTTCAATTTGAGAATCACGGCGTATATCCTCAGCACGATGTTGGTCTGTTAACGAGGAGCTTTCGCGAGACCAGCCTTCAGACCATCTTCGAGCTTTAGCAATATTCGATTTGCGATAACCCGTTGTTCCATCGTGAAGGTTAGATTGATGACGAGAAGAGTCATCATGACCATAGTAACTAGGGTTTTGTCCGTGCATAATAGGCTCTTGAACACGCTGACATAAAGTTCCCTTGTCACAAATAGTTCCATCATCCTTGACATTGTCATGAGTATAAGGACATGCTTGTTGGCCATGCATAGCAGGTTCTCGGTTCCAGTGTTGACTCTCAGCTCCGTGACCATAGTCAAGAGAACTACTATGACCATAATCGAAAGAGGAACGGTTGTTACGACCAGAAGAGTGTTCATAATCATTATTATTGGAGGTTTGACCACCATAAGAGTGTGAAGCACGTTTTTGATCTTGAGTAATCAGACTTTCAGAAGTATGTGAGCCACGTCTTTGACTTTGGGAGGCATGACTTTGAGATGAATGCGAAGCACGTCTTTCCTTTTGACCGGAATGATTGTCCGAAATATTGGAGTTGCGCCTTTTCTGATTGAGGTGACCGTCGGTTGTATCATCAGAGGGATGCTTTCCATTGGGCCATGTGCTAGGCATTTCCTTGGACCCTTCCTCAGTAGGAGAGGGCTTAGCGTGACCCATGAGCGCATCGGAAACACTTGAAGCAGCAGCAGCAGCACCAGCACCCACTGTAGCAACAGCATCAACAGCTAAGTCAACCAAGCTTGATTTTCTCTCGTCGGATCCATCGTGAGATTCCTCGTGAGATCTTGAGGTGGACGAAGTACGATGTTTCTGAGAAGATTCATGTCTCTGAGTTGACGAGAATGATTCACGATCTTGACCGAATGAGGTGGAACCTCGTCTTTGAGTAGACGAAGTTGACCCACGTCTCTGACCAGCGGAAGGCAAAGTATTGACGGAGCCACGATGAAGACTATCCTGATCTAAAGTGGATCTTGAACCACGACCAGCGACATGAGAGTCACCGAAAAAATCAATATCCTTTTCATGAGTGAGAGGAGGCCTTTCTTGATAGATAGGTGGGGCAGACGACTTGAGCTTACTTGTATCGTAGCAAGTAGGAGGCACACGAGATACCATATCTTCAGATCCATTTTTCAAGTCTGAATCTTGGACAAGGTCAATTCCGTAACCACCAAAATCGCCAGGATGCACTTCCACAGGTTCTCGTTGAGGTTGAGATAAGTCTTGATCGTCATTTGAGTAGGATAGTTGCTCAATGTCTTGATGTTGAACATTAGTGTCACCACTCAATTTTGATCCGCTAGCACCGTCACTTTTAAAAAAGAATGTTAATTACCTATCAAATGTTTCATCATTACTTTTGAACTTTTCTTACATTTCATCATTGACAGATTCCAGCCTATCTTCATAGCGGTGTTTGCTCCAATTATTAATTGGATTCCAATGTTCAGTCATTTATTTGTTGTATATTAATTAGTTTGTTTGTTAATTTAAAAGTTGAAAGTTTTTTGGTTTTTTTTTTATGTTTGTAAAAAAAAAAGTTTGTCAGATAAAAACGAACGGGCGTTTTCAAGAATGCGCACTGAACTTTCTATATTTATAAGGATTCAGTTTGACAAGGGTGTTTTAGTTGATCATTGTTTCAATTACTAAAAGCATAAATTGTTACCCTATGTCGATCGCCACGTACTCTTTTGAAACAAAGATGACGAATTTTAATGTATGAAGTTTTTCATGTTAAACCCATCTTATAGCATTAACCTTTTTGTTTTGTTTTGTTCTGCGGATAAATACTATCAGTTTGAAGAAGACTTTTAGGATTTTCATGCAGAAGTGGGTTACACTTATTCTCAAGGAAATCCTGTTCTTCTTTTCCCACACTAGCATGCCTCATCCACTTTGACAATATGACACAAAGCGAATAAAATTAATATTTTATTTGTTTATTATCGAGGAGAATAAAATGATTTGTTGGATTCAAGTTTCATATAAAGTTAAAGTTTGGCACCATACAACCTACCATGGGAACGGTATGCAGATCTTTATCTCACAATAGCTACTATCATTCAGTAGTTACTCAACGAGTTGGTGCATAAGTATCAGAGTAATACATCATGTGTGGAATTGATTCCCTTGCTTGCACCATTAACTTGTTTTTTAAAAAAGAGGCCCTTTTTTTTAAAAAAAAAAATCATACCTTATGCAAAAGTCTCTGATTACGATAGCATAAGCGTGTATCCTTACTGTTACTTGTGTTCCAATATGACTAAACACCTGCATGATACTTACTTGTAACTGTACCAGTGCAAGACTCCGTGACCATGTTAAAAATATGGTACAAATGGACCCTGAAAAGGAGTTTGTGTCAAATAATTAAACATGCTTAAACATGACAACCGTTTCCACTTTTTTTTTTTTTTTTTTTTTTTTTTTTTTTTTTTTTTTTTTTTTTTTTGGTAAATTGAAACTTGCAAGGTGTTTTTCGTAGAGTCTAAAAGCACCACGAACAAGTTTATTTACATGCTACAATATTTTCACAATTTTGGCCTTTTCCATTAGGTGAACAAAAAGGAACGTTTCATTTGTAATTGGTAGTGATTGTTTGATTTTGTTTTCAAAACATTTCAAATAAAGATTGATTTTCATCCGTCGTGATAACAAAGGTAATACACAAGCTGAACGAAACAAATATCACTTTTTAATATGTGTCAAACTGATTCAAGCTGGAAAAGCTTGTCATGTCAAAAATTAAAATTAAAAGAGATCGAGAGATCCGCAGGGATAAATGTACAAAAAAAAATTACTAGGGATTTTTTTATAAGAATACATGGGTGGTGATGGGATTTATAAGTAAAAGTTCTTAACGTCATTAGCACCAAATGGTTCACTACAAGTTGGGCACCTTCTTTGACGTGTCTCTAATCTTGCATCTATACAATTTTTACAAAATGTATGCATACATCGGGTTAAAATATGAGTTCTAAACCTTGTACGACAAGTGCTGCATTTTAATAGGGCCTGCAGAAAAGAAAAATAGTTTAGTAGTGAAAACATGTTAGACTTTGATAAATCATAAACTTTACCCTTAATTCTTCACATTCTTCCACTAGTTGTTGTTCCGCTGGATTGTCTCCTTGAGATATCTTATCCCACTTTTTCTTCATTTTTTCATAGCTCACTTCAATCTCATCCTGCAAATGTTTTTCTTCGTCCATTAACTTCGATTTTTCTTTCAGAGTTTTCTGGAGCTCGTTAATCAGAACCTCATTTTGATCTAATGAAATGCGATAGTCTTCGCAAAGATGCGATATATCCTCTAGATCTGTTCTTTCTTCCTCTATATTTCTATGCAACTTGCGAATAAGCGCTTCTTTCTCTTGCTATAATCAAAAAAGGGTGTTGGTAAAAAAAGGTATATTCAAGCTACCTGTCACCTCCAACACACTTACTACTTGTAATTCTAAAGCTTTTTCCTTTTCCTCGAGTCCTTTGATGGTATCCTTTTGTCTATTCCTTGTGTTTCTTTTTTCAGTAACAGCAACAATTTGCTGTTCCTTGGCCATTGTTAAAGAAGCAAACGTCTGAGCATATTTTGATTTCTCTGCTTGTATTTTCAGCACTTGATCACGTTTCGCAGCCAAATCAAACACTTTTTTACCCTGTTGCTCCTCCAATCGTCCGTAAATACCAGCCACGCGGTCGATTTCCTCCAGTAAATGACTTTCGTTCTTTTCAAGAAATTCAATCATCAGTGTGGACTTTTGGGCCTCCTCCAGGTATGTTTCATATGTTCGTATTAATGGGTTCAATTTCCATTCATTCATACGCTCATCTAAACCAGTTGCTGTAAATGCGGGTGTAATTCGTTTTTCAATTAAATCAAGACTAGATAGTAGCACTTGTAAATGGCTTTAAGAAAAAAACAAGTGTTAATTATTCCATTTTGCATGACCAGCCTTGTAAGCTAATATTACCTGACGTTTTCTTTGAGGTTCTTGAATGTGTTGGCTTCTTTAGCAAATGGACCAGCCATTTCTTGTTCAGTTTTCAATCTACTTATGCGAGTTTTTAAAGAAGCGATACGAAGTTTACCCTGATTTGCAAACGAAATGATTTTGTCTTGGGTTTCTTTTTCGCGGCCTTCTTTTAATTTCTGGTCTTCCACTGATGCCAATAAACCATCTCTTTGTCCTCGAATACGATTTAGGTCTGCTTCCAATCGACGCATTTCTGTTTCCAATGTCATGCCTTGTGCCATTTTTTCTGATTTGACTTGTTCCACAAGTTGTTGACGCGCGGCTGACACTTTATCCATCTCATGTTCTATATCAACTCTCCTTTGTTCTAGATGATGACATCTGTCTCGATAATGCTCTATAGATAATTGTAGTACTTTGACATATTCTGTTTCTAAAAGTCGTTCTTCTCCTAATTGAAATAATGAGAGTAATCTCTCTTCGTCTCGTAATAATTGCTGTCTATCACGTTTCAAATCCTCGATTTCTTTTTCACGGGTGGCCAAAATAAGTTTATGCTCTTCCAGTTGTGTTTTAATGGCCTGTTCTGCCATAGATCCGTTCTAATTAAACATAATGAGAACTCTATTCTAAATTTTCAAATATATAAAGGGTGCAAGTTTATATACCTCTATTTCTGCTTCCTCTAATTTTTCTTGTTTTGGCTCTTCCATGATTGTGTCTATATTTTCGGTCTGTACGCTAGGATCAGGCATATCGCCCAACCCACCAAAACTGAGTGCTGCCACCAATTTACTGTCGGCACGATCATGACGTTTATAAGCCCAGGTTAAATCCTGCATGCAATCGTCCAATTTCTCTGTCAAATGGCTTAATTCAGATGTGGTCATATCAACGGTGGTCTTTGCAAGATGGGTCTGTTCAGAGAGTGAGTCTAAATTCTTTTGAACCTCCATCATGACATGCTGAGCTCGTTTATAAGACGCTTCCAATTCTTGTATTTCAGACTTGAGCCAATCCGAGACAATCACTCTCTTCAGCATGATATCATCAGCCTTACGAAATTTCCCTTCAATCATTTCTACTTGATTTCCCCAATTTTCTAAACGAGTAAATGCTGATACACATAGTTGTTTAATAGCTAGTTGGTTGTTGGCATTCCAGTGTTTTTCTTGGTCGATACTCATTTTACGATAAGAAATGGCTATAAGCAAAAAGGATTTTTCGTTTATTAATTATGAGGCTGGTAATTTTTTTCTTTCTAATTTTACCTGGTAGTTCTGGTATGTCGACACCTACTAAAATCTTTGCCATGAAGCCTATTTCTGCTTGAATCTACAAGATAAAAAGAGGTTTTAATGAACGGCGTTTTTATGGTCAATTATGCATTGAATAGTTACAAGTCCCCAATCGACACGTAATAAGCTTTGCTTTGTTTCTTTGTTTAGGTATTTCTCTTTCATTATGTCGCATCTTTTCTCAAGGTATAATGCCTCATCCTAAACCAAAAAAAAAAAAGGAGGTAAGGGTTAGAGAAAGCATACATGCATGGGGGGGGGCATGAGGCAAAAAAAAAGTATACCTTGGTTGAACGCATGTGTTGTAATAATTCCTCTTTGGTATATGTGGATAAATCATTCTATATAGAGTAAGAGCATAAAAAAGAAGGGGCACTAGTTTTAATGAAGAAGACACTGGAAAAAAAAACTATTGCATTTTACCGAGTATTCAATTTTGACAGGTTTTACAACAGGTTTTTCTGGTTCAGGAATCGCAGCAGGTTGTATATTTACACAGCTAGTGAATCTTTTTTTCAAAGGAGGTCTGGATGGAGGAACCATGGAAGATGTTTCTCCTCCTTCATCTGTAAGTCGTCGTTTCTTTTCTGGTGTTGACATTGAATACTTTTTTATAAAAGAGAACAACGAAATACTTGTTTGTGGAGAGTTTATAAGAAAAAGAAAAAAAAAAGAAAAAGGAAAAAAAAAATGCGGTCTTTTATTATTTATTTATCAAAACTTGAATAGTAAACGTCGTGCAACATATCAATGTCGATCCAAGCTAGTTGAAGAATACAAGTATTTTAGTACGGTAGCAACCTCGTTATTTGTATTTTCTACCAGATATTTGTCCGTAAAAATGACTATATCCAATTGAATAAGACAGTTAAAACTAAACTGCATAGTCTCAATTTATTCTTTGCTTTTCCAGCAGGTCACAACACCTTTGTTGACAGATCAAGACATGAAAAAAAAAAGTATGGGGTAGATGTGATGTGACTTTGAAATAAACTTTAAATATTGTTTTCTGCCCTGTTTCTTTTTTGTTCTTCTGTTTAACAAACAGTAATGAGAGCTGTTCTTCAAAGAGTTACCAAAGCAAGCGTCACAGGTGAAAAAGAAAAAGACAGTCGAGGTATGATAACTAATGTTAGTTTTGTTTGCAAATAGTGGATGACAAGGTAGTTGGGTCCATTGGGAAGGGCGTTTGTGTACTTTTGGGCATCGGTACCGATGACACTGACAAGGACATTGACTACATGGTCAACAAAATTCTTAATGTCAGAGTATTTGACGAAAATGGTATCATGTGGAAAAAGGGTGTCAAGGATGCAGGTTTAGAGTTACTTTGCGGTAAGCATACTAATAAAGATAGCTCATTCTAGGAGACTGACATCTTTTACTAGTCTCCCAATTCACACTTCAGGGGATCACCACAAAAGGAAATAAGCCTGATTTTCACAATGCCATGAAAACCGATCCTGCTAAAGCAATGTACGAACAATTTCTTCAAAAGCTTGGAAAATCTTATGATCCAACTAAAATCCAAGGTAACCTTACATATTATAATTGATATATACATGCATGACTAACAACGCGCTCAAGATGGTGTTTTTGGTGCAATGATGCTCGTGGATATTGCCAATGACGGTCCTGTCACTTTGGAATTAGATTCCAGAAAATTCACCTACGATAAATAGACACGGATGTCTACTTAAGATGTAATAAACTTGGACTAACATGACATATAACACAATAATGGACCACTCATCCTGTGGTAGAGGTGGAGGGGATGGGGAAATATTTATTCGAGTGAACGTTTTCTAAGGTTGAGTTTGTCTGCCCATTTTACGCTTAATTGATAGAACCATAAAGAATAGGTAAGCGACTCGTATTGCCACCAGGCTGTGAACAGTTGTTTAAATAAACTCAGGCTGAATCCAATGGCTCTAATTCTGTCAGTAATATACTTTTTCGTATCCAGCCATACAGCTTTTGAGCAATAGGAGCCCATAATCACATACGTGATATGTTCGTCGGGAATTACATTGAGCTTCTCATCCACATGACGTAAAAGATCGTTTGTCTTTAGTAAAAGCAAGACCGTACGTGGTAAATTGCCAAGGATATCTGCTACCTCAGAAAGGTATTCCATGGCACCAGTGGATATTCTACCCACTTCTGCCGATTCTCTTACCGAATTCAGGTCGGAACTTTCAATCTTTTCCCATTCGCGGCCTGTTAACATACATGCAAAGAGCTGATAGACATCTGTACCACCTACACGATAGGCGTATTTACGGATATTTTCTTCATCTCCCTTGATTAAGGATGTCCATAAGTGTGCATAATCGGAACGAAGTTCCTCAGATAGTTCTCTATAAAGTCCATGATCTAGTAATACCAGATCAAAGTTACATTTCGAATGTTTAGGGTCTTTGGCAGGTCGAATGAACACATTCCCGGGATCTATCATAAAATATATTAGATATTATGCTCGCGCCATTAAAATAAAAAATCCTTACGAGGATCACAATGAACAAAACTATGTACAAAGTAGAGCTATGAGTAACATGTTTTTGTTTACAATATAGGAATTAGCACTTTTACCCTACCCGTGCAAGAAAATCATTTCTGAAAACACCCTGGTTAACTCTGTTGAGACTTCTCTCGGGTCAATCTTGTGCTTTTTCATATAATCCAAATCATCCACTCTTGATCCATCAATAAATTCCATGCACATAATTCTTCGCTTAGCCCAAAGGACTCTAGGAATTACAAGTGCTGTATCGTGGTTCGCTTGAAAGTTCGCCTCCACTTTTTTTGCATTTTTTGTTTCGAGCACGAAATTCAGTTCTTTAGGAATCGACTCTCTCATCTCCTCTGCAAACCATTCAAAGCCGAAATCTGGGAATACTCGTTTTATCATCTCAAACATAAAGGACACAGTATCCATATCAATTTGACAGTAATTGTCTAAATTAGGGTGTTGAATCTTCACTGCAACCCAACGGTCATGCTCATCCATAATCCAACCTTCTAATCCTGTATCTTTCAATCTCGCTCGATGCACTTGTGCTAAAGAGGCTACACCGATTGGATTCCAATCAAATTCTTCAAATATATCCTCTACCGGTAATCCATAGTCTGTGATAAACAATTGTTGGACATCTTGCGGTGACGTTGGATCACATCGGTCCTGCAACACTCGCATCGTTTGACACCATTCATTTGGCAAGAGGTACTGCATCACTGATATATGCTGACCTAATTTGACATAGACACCGCCCAATCTTTGAACAGCGACTAGCGTTCTTTCTGCGCATCGTTGATGGCAGGCTCTTTTAGCTTGTTCGTAGGCGTCGTCAGTGCCGTACTCCTTGGAAAGTGTACGTTGATAATCAAACGCTATTTTGGCTCCAGCCATACCCGCAATACTACAGCGTTCTAATGCATTTGCAACATGCCGAAACTGGTCATTGGTATGGTACAAGATGGTGCCTCCTAAACCCACGGTGACGACCGTGCCCAAGGTAACCACGGTAGCACCTTTCGCTACTTGACTAAAAAATCCCCTCTTCTTAAACGCTGTGGTGTAGTTCCTTTGTAGTAAATGAATACTAGGTTTACGGAGCCCGTGAGAGCAATGCAGCATCATGGTTGAATAGGATTGAAGGAGAGTACCACAGTTTGTCACAAAAATTCAAAAACATTATGAAAGGAGAATAAAATATGTGGCCAGCCAATAGAAAGCTTATGTATTCCATCTTTTTCTCGGGGGATAAACTATTTAACGCCTTCAGTGTGTATGCGTGATACAGTGCGGCTGGTAAATTTTGTCCATTTCGAAAAAATAAATGGCGATTTCAGAAAAATAAATGTCAGTTATCAAAAATAATTGGCTGTTTGTCATGAAATGGTTGTCGCTTTCGAAAAATTTACTTTGTCTTTTAGAAAAATTCAATTTTTCGGTTTCTTTATCAGATTGTCATTTACGTACAATTGAATGTTTATTGAAGAAAGGGGCTACTTGGAATTTTTTTTATCATAGTAACCGACGATTCAACGTTTAAAGTGCCTAAAAAGGCCATAAAGATCACTAAGGCGACAATTCTTTGCGGCAGATTCTCTTGTACAGGAGCCCAAAACTGCTCAATCGGGTTCAACTCTGGCGAATTAAGGGGGCAAATACGTCCCTCTGTACCCTCTGTTATAATCTCACAATAATAAAATGCTATTAAAACTCTGTTAAGTTTATTTTAAAAAAAAATTAGAGGTAAACCGTGTGCTTTTGAATAATGAGCCACCAGCAGAATATTAAAAATCTTTGGTACACTCTTAAGTTCTTGTGTCTTCTCTTCACTACTCTCTCTCTCGTCATAACTTTTATATGAATGAGCCAGTAATTTATTTTAAAGTAAAAGCAGCTGTGGTTCAGTCTCCACAATCGCCGTCCTCAACCTCGTCTTCTTCATCGTCCTCGTCTTCTTCGTCATCGCTTGTCTCGTCTTTCAATTCATCTTCTTTTACCTTGTCCCAGAAAACCTTGCTGATACCATATTATTTTGTTCATAGTGATATTATCAATACAACTGTCAATACTTTTTCTTTTTTTTTCCCTCTACAAGACTGTTTTTGAATTACTTCACACATAGCCTACAAAAGTAATGTCAAAAAAATTCAAAACAATCTTTTATTATTATTATTCTTTTACTAACCACGAGATCCAAAAGTCCATTTACAACTTCAATCGATTCTTTTGCAAAGTTCTCCAGGGTTGAGGGAAAGACTATTGTTTTTACCTTTTTGGTGATATAAAAATTATTTGATTTCAGAAATACTACACACAAGTGCATATCGAAACCCATTGGGATCAAGTAAGGAATATAGACACAATCTTTTTCATGATTGATTGCGTTTTGCTGGACAATCGAATTCAATAAAGCTTTTGAAGCCACAGCAGTTTTTCTCTTGTCTTTGAAATATTTTGATGTAGAGCATTCTTTGGCTACTTCACCGTAACCATGATCCTGAAGTTCAGAGCTGTTGGTTACAACCAGGCGAAGGTCCATTTTCATCTTCATGCCTAATGAAGTTATAGATCCAGGAATTGTATCGCCCCTAAAAAAAAGAGATAGAGACAGAGAGTTGTTAAAATAAGAGCATAGGTCTCGTAAAATGCAACAAACTATAGTATATTACCAATGAGGAATGATCGAAGTGGTTTTAAACAACTTCTCAACTAATGGTCCCCAGAACTTAACAACATAGTCGCATTCAGAGTATGATTTGACTAATAATTTTTCAAAGAGTTAGGCTTGTTCTAAATGTTTTTTGATTCTATTCTCATAAAGTCAGTATGTACTTGCAGCCATTCAATCCTTCAAATACTTACAAAAACTTATGTACGGAAACAGAAGCAGCTGTGTCTCGGTCCTTTTTAGTAATACTTTGAAGTGCTCTCAAAGATACTTGAAGTACTCTATTTTTTGTCTTCGTATTCTAAGAAAGAATGAGTTTATTACACATAAATAGAGAGGAGGAGGAGGGGGGGGGGGCTCAAAAATCTAATTAGCCACAGCCAATTTTTTACCTCGATATGCTTACTGACGTGATGAAGTTCTCTTTTTTCAAACACAGGGCCTCCTGAAGATTCGACAATACTATTTCTTAGGCTTGATGAAAGTAGCATAAATGACGAACCATGGCTTTTGTCTGAAATATCTAATATGAAGTTTCGAGATAGTTTAAATATGGAAATGTCTGGACCTCCGTATTTTTTTCAAACGTATTTTTTTTTTACTACTTACAGAAATTCTGGCCAGAAGACCAGCAGGCCAGTATGCTTACGACTATTTACAGTGCAGTCACAGCCATTCACGGTTCTTGAGTTCCAAAAACTCAAGAACCCTGCCAAAAAGGTCGCCCTCCTATAGCAAAGACTAGCCGCAGCCACAATATCACAATATATCTTTTTCAATTTAGCTTCTTTTCAAAGAAACAAGAGTCATTACTAACTAACCTTTTTATGTGATCGGTTACTTTCATACGATAAAAGAAGCATGTTAAGGGAAAAGAAAAGGAGAAGAATAAAGTGTGTGAACCAGCTTTATTTATAGATAAACAAGCTTATGTCAGGATGATTTCATTTGTCTATTTTATCATCCATAATGTTTGAGCCTTTACTTAAAATAGAAACACTTGCAAACAACTCCCAAGCAAGTCAGAGCTTGGTAATTGTCTATACGTGTTTCAGTAGTAACTTGTAATGACAGTGAAGCAGATTTTATGGAAAACAGAAATCGATCATCCCATGAAGTTTAGATGATATGGCATGTCAATCGACGTGTAGACCATCGCATGATTCTAAAAAATACGTTTGAAAAAAATACGGAGTTCTAGACATTGCCTTAGATATATGTATTAGAATAAAAAGCATTTCTTTTTTTTAAAGGAAAAACTAACGTTTTGTAATACAGAGCTCTGAAATTGGTGGGCTTGGTATGACTAAATGAATTAAACAGGGACTTTGTGTTGTTGAAATGAAGAGGAGGGTAGTCAGCAAGCATAATAAGTATTCAATCTATTAGCATATACCTGCTTTGTCCTTAGAGTTTTCTTCTGCTTGTTCTTTAAAATATGAATAAGAAATTAGGTTGCTGCTTCAGCAAATTGCTAAAAAGTTTACCTTTAATGCTTGTCTCTATTTGCAGGTTCCCATTTAGTTATAAATGACGATAAAGCCAGTGATGACTAGTGCTCGGAATAAAAATCGAAACTCTCGAACGAGCTTCGATCGATGCTCGCTCGAACCCAAAAAAGTGGCGCAAGCTTGAGTACAAAAACTCGGTTCGAGCTTCGTTCGAACTGGCGCAAGATCGGTGCAAGCTCGAAAAGTTCGAAAAAGTTCGAACACTAGCCCTGCAGTAAGTAGCAGTTATTGGGTTGATGTACCGTGCTGCCAAACATCGCTAGACATTGATCGCTGTCTCTTTTGACAGGTTGACTGTTGGACCTACACCCTAATTGCTCTTACAAAACTGGTTGGCTAAACACAGCTATTTTAACACGAATTGAGCCTATTTTAAGTTACTGTCATGTGCTTTTTTGACAGCTTGACTCTTTGAAGCTAGTCTTAATAATATTTTTTGGAGAAAAAAAATATACACTCCATCTCCATATACCCTTCGACTTTGAAATAAAAAAAAATAGTTTCCTGAAAAGTATTCCCTGTTAAATCTCGTTGTACTTGTTGGTTTAGCTACTACGCGAACGAAAAACTTTAATAGATTGAACTCTGATCGATGACGGATAGGCCAAGTCGTTATGAATTACACTCTTTTTCAATAAAATAACACACTCCACAAATTAATGACATAAAACGAAATTTAGGATAGTTTTTTTACTTCCAATGCATGCAGTCAATTGATCCAAGCGTATTTCAGAAATATTTGTTTTGTCTCTCTCAAAGAGCATTTCCGTATCTTTAGTTATGATTTTCCTTTCCTGAAATACTCGTCAAGAGAGTCGGCAGGACAACCATATGCGAGAACACTAAGTACTATAGCCACTTTCATATGTGCACTGAGTCCCGGTCTTCCTTTTTTTTAATTATCAAACCACTACTCAAAAATATTATTATGAACAACGTTCTTTTTTGAAGAAGGCTGATACATAACCACTTCCAAATATCATGTGATTAGCTCCGGATACTTGGGATTATCTATAAATCCAAAATATATTGAATAAAATCAAATCAAGTAAAACGTTGTATAAAAACGCGCGATTTACTAGAACAAATATATAAATATATAACCATTCCATCTATCGTATTACAACCGAACCAGAAAAATCATAAAAGAAAAGGCATCATTAAATAAAATGTGAATCATCTTCAAAAAGAACTAAAAAATCTAATCAAAGCGTGCATCATTTTTGTCCCTTTGTGCTGCTTTGAAGATCAAAACAAGTTACTGTTTATAAAAAACACGAATATCTTTATTTTCAGCCCCTCCGTTTTCTTTTACATTACTTAAGTTTTATATTTTAAACTTTCCTCAATTAACACAGAAACAACAAAAGGGCATAATTCATAAAAGATAATTCATATACTTGATACTGATTAGTAGTTGTTTCTGTAAATGAAGTAATTTATTTTCTCAAAAATATGCACACATGAGGTGCCAATCACTATAGCTTTCAGGCTATGATTACTTTTCACACCACTTTCAGCCAAAATTAGACAAGATTTACTTTTCGCTCTTTCCTATTGTTTCTTTTTATAAATTCGATATGTATGTTTTCCTCTGTGATTCATATGACAGGATTTTTTGTTGATGAATTCAAATTGAACTATTACAGAGCAAGATTTATTATTCATCACTTTATTAGATGCACCACACTATTGCTTTTCAATAAGCTCACTTGTGCTTGCTGTTTTCCTATCCAAAGTAAGACGTTCATAGCCTGTATTGCTACAAATGACTGAAGTAAGGCACTGCTTTGAATAAACTCTTTCTAAAGTGGTCCTTGTATAACTTTCTTAATTGCTATTTAATATTCGGATCAAATTTAATGTACTTTGATTCTTCAGAATACTGAACCACAGCTGCTTTTACTTTAAAATAAATTATTGGCTTATTCATATAAAAGTTATGACGAGAGAGAGAGTAGTGAAGAGAAGACACAAGAACTTAAGAGTGTACCAAAGATTTTTAATATTCTGCTGGTGGCTCATTATTCAAAAGCACACGGTTTACCTCTAATTTTTTTTTAAAATAAACTTAACAGAGTTTTAATAGCATTTTATTATTGTGAGATTATAACAGAGGGTACAGAGGGACGTATTTGCCCCCTTAATTCGCCAGAGTTGAACCCGATTGAGCAGTTTTGGGCTCCTGTACAAGAGAATCTGCCGCAAAGAATTGTCGCCTTAGTGATCTTTATGGCATTTTTAGGCACTTTAAACGTTGAATCGTCAGTTACTATGATAAAAAAAATTCCAAGTAGCCCCTTTCTTCAATAAACATTCAATTGTACGTAAATGACAATCTGATAAAGAAACCGAAAAATTGAATTTTTCTAAAAGACAAAGTAAATTTTTCGAAAGCGACAACCATTTTCAACTAGCGCCATTTATTTTCGAAATGGACAAAATTTACCAGCCGCACTGTATCAATGCACAAAAACACAATGACGCAAGCTGGGTCATCAATAAATAAACCTCCTGTTAGCTCGAGCTTTTTAATATACTAACTAAAATATAGAAAAGTCGTTGCTGCAGCGACGAAATATGATTATTCTCGCGTAAAATATACCAAGGACAATATTATCGAGTTGAAATAACATTCAGATGAAAGAATAAGCTGGATTGTTTGCTGTTAAAACCAAAACAAAGCTCAACTAAATTCTTGGGTTAGACCTGGTTCAAAGTAGATACTTTGTGCCAAACTGGATACAATGTTTTGGGACTGGTTTCATACAAAAACATAAGTGAGGTTAATCTTCCGTGTTTATATATGACAAATTTCAGGTATGGTACACGAAAAAAAAAATCAGGCGTACAACATTTAACTTTGGAACAAAAATCAGTAGGACCTTCGTCATGTCTACTGGTAACACACCAGTTCTGCTTTTCTAATTTATCAAAAAAAAAGTCCAAAGGCTATGGATCTTTCTCAAAAGCTAGCATTATCCTCTACCTTCTAAACTAATGAGTTGTTTATAGGAGACCTAATCCTGATACCAAGTGTACCGTTAGAAATTTATGACATACACACGGTAACAGACTTTTGATGTTGCTATGTGTAGCTGATGGCGCTAAAGTTGGAATATATACTCAAAGATAAACATAACAATCTATTAAAAAAACCTAGCTTGTCAATCATTTCAAATGAAAAAAGCTTTGACTGTTATATATTGCAACATCAAGGTTGATGATCAAAGGGGAAAAAGGGAGAGAGGGAATATCTCATTTAGAAAAGGCGGGATTTAATATGCTGTCCAACACATGCTGCGTAAAGAATCCTTATTAATATATCTTTGTTCTTCGTTTCGGGAATAATAAACAAGCAAAAAAAAAAGAACAAGGAATTGAAATCTACATTTTATCAGCCAGTAAATAACTGGTCTTGTTAATGATAATAAATATAAATAGTTCCTCAAACATTTCCAGAAGAATATTTGTTTCCCTTTTTTCTTCAAGAAATGATTACGAATATATTTCTATTTTGTTGCTTGATTTTTCTTGTTCAAGGGCTGATTGAACAAACAAAACCAATATATGGCAGTCATCAATTGATCACTTATGTTGTAGACTGGGTAAAAAAAAATATACATACACAGGTTTCTTAATTAATAATATGCATGGTCAATTTAAGGATATACCAAGATCCATTCCTTGGGAAAAATTGGATCATATTGCTTATGCTTTTGCCGTTCCAGAAAAAAATGGCACATTGACCATGTTTGATGAGAATCAACTAAAGAAAAGTAAGTATATTTTTTTATCCTGTTTAAATTAACTAACCTGAACAAAACAAGTTGTCAGTCAAGCAAATGATAATGGCAAGGGTGTCAGCCTCGCAATTGGAGGGTAAAAATCTACAAATACAAAAAATAAACATTAACATACAAAACTAAGCAATCCTTACAGTTGGACAGGTTCATTGTATTTTAGTTCCTTGGTAAGAACCTCACAAACTCGTAAAAAGTTTGCAGATATTTTAGTGGAAGCCGTGGATCAATATAAATTGAATGGTCTTAATATCGACTGGGGTAAATATCGAAATAAAAACAGAACTTTTGCTTTGCATGTTGAATATTAATACCATAATTACCAGAATATCCCAATGATCCCAATGGAATATCGTGTAATAGAAGGTGAAGCCTTGTTTATGTATTTTATTGATTTTTTTAAACTAACCGCTCCTCCATATATAGACACCCAGATGATACAGCCAACTTTTTAGAGCTTATTCAACTCCTTCGTGAAATGTTGGAAAATAAATACCCCCACGAGCATAAGCTTCTAACAGCAGCGGTTAGTACAAATGTCTTTCTAGATGAAAATCGTAATGCTACAAAATCTTTGGACCCCGGATGGGCTAAAAGCATGGATGGTTTTTATATCATGGTATGAAGGAGAATGGCTTTTAAGGAACCCAGCACTAATAAAAACATTCTACCTTTTAGGCATACGATTTAAATGGTGCAGGGAGTAATGTCACTGCCGCAAATGCTCCTCTTCATCTAGGCGCGACGGGTCAGCGTATGAGTGGCGACACATCGATTCGCGCTTGGTTAAATGCGGGGATTCCTCCAGAACGTATTTATTTGGGCGTGCCGTTCTATGGCTATACGCACAAGACAACACAACCTATTACTGATGAAACTGGTATGAATGTACCGTATGACCGATCTATTGAACAGATTAGAGGGGACGAATATGATGACTACTCTACAGATCCCTGTCCCGGTTCCAACGGGTCCTTCTCTGGTGAATACCAATGGAGATCCATTGTAAAAGTAGGAGCTAACAAGAATGTATCTGATTGGACGGCTTATTGGGATACTCAAACACGCACACCTTATTCTTTCAACAAACATACAAATCAGTTTATAACATTTGATAATCCGGCGTCACTCAGCATCAAGTCACAATATGTTCGAAAGCACAAGCTGGGAGGAATCATGCTTTGGTCACTTGAAATGGATGACAAAGACAATTCGCTTTTAAACGCAGTTCAAGACGTACGCACCTAATAATATTATTGTTTATTTATTTATCTATTTACCAATCCAATAAACTTCACAGATTAAATCATCAGATGGTACCCGATCACATCTCCAACCTTTTTTTGCAACCTTTGTAAAAAACTCCCTTTCGTCGTGGTTACGTTCTTTATAGGTTAATAAGGCTTTGGCCTCTTCATTATCTAGAAGCCAATCCAGCGTCTCTAAAAGTAAATCGTGCGAGGATTGATTGTAAAGAACATCTGTTAATAAAATCAGGTTGACGTCCTTGTACTCTAATTGCTTTTCGGGTCCCCATGATAACTCTTTAACGACCATGTCTAATTTTTTGTTCTCCATCAAATTAACATTCTGCTGCATAATTTCTAAAGCATCTGCCAAATCTGTCAAGTACACTTTCTTCGGCTTTAATAACTCTGCAGCGTAGATACCAACAAGCCCAGTTCCACTTCCTGTAAATTTGTTTCTTTCATTAAGAAATTGGTATTTTGTTACATTTTTATAGTTTACCAAGTTCCAAAAAGACATTATATCTGGGATCAATCTTTTGTTCTGCCAAAAATTGACACATGCCAAGGCCACAATCCCTATTTATTTTGAGTACAAAAGTCAACGAGAAAGTAACGAAATGAACTTACCAGACATGTCTAGCTATACTTTGTACCGCATCCTCACGAATATGTATCACTTTGTTCTTGCTTACTCTTAGTATTCTTTCTGCTTGATCTCCACTTTCTGATTCAAAATGTCTTTGCTTAGTTACTGTGGTTTGCATAGGTACAGACCATGTAGGCAACAGCCAAATAGACGACGCAAACATGTAAGCATTTTGCCAAATAGCGTGGCTTGTCACTGTCGTTCTTGCTGCTGGTGATAAAATCATACTCAGTTGAATAGATACGGTCGTACCAACAGGTAGGACTTTGCCAGGTAAAGGTTCCACTACTAGTTTAGTAACGATACCACCGCCTTGCAAAGGATCGTATACAAGGGGTACATCAGGTGTTAAAGGCAAAGACTTTTCTTGTTGATAAGGCTTCGCCGACACCTTCTTTTTATTATTTCCCTTGGGATCGGCATTCATAATTCTCAATCCAAGTTGAGTACAGCCTTGTAAACTGCATGTCACGGGTACTGGCTCCCAAAATGCTTGATCACCCAGATCGCTCTCGATGGTCCATACAATTGTAAAGTGTTGTCCGACATTACAGTCGATAGGTGGTGGTTTTAAGAATCGAATGTAATAAAGTGGTGCTTGTGTCATTTTGTATAGATCAAAGAAAGAAAGAAGAAAAAAAACTTTGGCGAAACCAGTGTGATATTTTGAATTCGCGCCGCATACAGGGCTCGATGGGCTGGAAGACAAGTGGCGTTCAAGTTTTTGTGTTACTATTGTGCGTCATGTGAACAGTTTTATCCTTAAGCCGTTGCTTTGAAACATTTATCCCTTTTCTCCCTTGTAGCAAATAATGGAAAAGTTGTCCCTATTATTGCTGGCTGGTCTCTTTTTTGTGTTAAAAGAAGCGGCAGGCCATCAAGAAAATGATATAGGTTATTTAGATACAACACCGTATTACCCTGTTTTGACACCATTCAATAACACGCCAGCAGAATGCCCTCCCTGTTTTAATTGCATGTTGCCTGGCTTTGAATGCCTTCATTTTGCTAATTGTTCAGAGTATGACGGTAAATGTAACTGCCCTCCTGGTTTTGGCGGCAACGACTGTAAACAGCCAAGTAAGTTTCTTTCTATTTTGTTGGTCCTATGAATGATATATTAAATCTTTCTATCAGTGTGTGGAGGATTAGACGATGGTAGAAGCAGATACCCTAGAGAGAATGGTACTACGTGTGATTGTCCAGAAGGTTGGGAGGGTATCAATTGTAATGGTAAGTGGAGGATCAGCTGACAGAGGTCTACACAAGCATTGAGCAACAGTTTTTTTTTTCTCTTTCAGTTTGTACAAGCGATTCTGTTTGCGATTCTTTAGTACCTACTGGGCAAAATGGCACTTGTTACCGCGGTGGTCTAACCGTCTATGAGAACCATCAAATGTGTGATGTAACAAGTAAATAGCACCCTATATTTTTGTTGTACAGACACCCAAATATTTATGCACATTTTATTTGTTTTAATTGGTAGATCGTAAAATTCTTGACCAACTTAAGGATCAGATACCCCAGGTTACATTTTCGTGTAATAAGCATCAATCCACTTGTGATTTCCAATGTAAGCAAGAATCTTACCTGGATACGTACATGCCATTCAATTTTTCTTGTTCATACTTTTCTATTTTTTTGTTAGTTTGGGTGGACCAAAAAGAATCCTTTTTTTGTCATTTGGATAAATGCGATTTCAAACAAAGTAAATCGTGTTATATATGTAAAAAAAATATCCAACGACTAATCGGTAACATTAGCTCACGATTATGATAAGAATACAACAAAATATACTTGTGATACCATTGATTGTCGATGTATCAAAGACGAAATGCTTTGCGGAAAAAATGGTTCCATAGGTAAAAAGGGAGAATTCAACAACACACTTTTTTTTACTGACCATAAAAAGATCTTACTGATCTGCTCAAGGATGAAATCAAGGGACCAGCTTCATTCGATTGCGCTGGGAAAAACTGTGCATTTTCAGAGCCTGCAATGGATGAATTGATTTCTGCAGTATTTGGTGACGAGTCTATCTTTTTAAGTTGTAATTCGGGCGAATGTCTTCACTACACTATGGTTCCTGGCTTTGAGGTAATATATATGAAAGTCGAATAACAGCGAAAAATTAAACACACCACTTATTTTTCTTTTTCAAGCGTGGTGAACGTCCAATCAATTGGATTATGATTGCAAGTGGATTAGGAGGTGTAGCTATATTTTTAACTATTGTCGGTTCGATTGTGACTTGTCTTGCCAGAGGCTCTACACAACATCCTTCCATTCAACTTGCAGATGATGAAGCAGGAAAACTCATGACAGAACATACACCTGTGAGTCTTTCATTTGATAAAGTAGGCTATTCGTTACCTCATATCAAGCAACCATTGCTTGTCAATGCATCTGGATGCGTTCAATCCGGTCAAGTATTAGCTATTATGGGTCCATCTGGTGCAGGTAAAACTACGCTGTTAGATATTCTTGCAAATCGAACCAAAGCAGGTCAAGTGACTGGAGATGTGTATGCAAACGGCAAAAAATGTTCCCGTGAGGAATATGCACAACTAATAGGCTATGTCGATCAAGAAGATACGATGATACCTACTTTAACCGTATACGAAACCATTTTATATTCAGCTCTTTTAAGACTTCCAAGATCCATGAGTGAAGAGGCTAAAAAATATCGAGTCATGGAAGTAATGCAAGAATTAGGGATTGATGGTATTAAAGATAGTAAAATTGGCCAAGCTGATGATCGGTCCATTAGCGGTGGAGAAAGAAGAAGAGTTGCTATTGCCTGTGAATTGGTGACGTCTCCCTCAATTCTTTTTTTGGATGAACCAACATCTGGATTAGACGCCTACAACGCTTTTAATGTAGTTGAATGTCTTGTGACACTAGCTAGGAACTACAAACGCACGGTAGTATTCACTATCCATCAGCCTAGATCCAACATTGTCACTCTCTTTGATTATTTAATATTATTGGCCAAAGGAAGAATTATCTACTCTGGTTCACAAATCCAGGCACAAAATTACTTTGGCTCTATCGGGTACAGCTGCCCGCCTGGTTTTAACATTGCTGATTATCTAATTGATTTAACCATGGAGGCTGTTGAATTCGACGAATCTGTAAATGAAGTTTCTTCGTCGCTAGCTGTCAATGTAGTTGTTGAAGATGGGCCCTCGCCTGATGGATTAACGCCTCATATAAGAACACTTAACCAGGCTTATGAAAACAGCTCAGTTGCAACTGAAGTACAGGATAATATTGCAAAACTTGTGTCTGAAGCAAATCTAGCTGTCACGGACGATGAGTTATCAGGAAACACATTAGTAATTACTTCACACAAAAGACCTGGATTTATCAGCCAGTTTATGATTTTGGCTTCAAGGACCTTCAAGAACTTGTATCGTAATCCTATGCTTATGTTTGCACACTATGCAATTTCCGTTGTTCTTGCACGTAAGTTTTTCTATCTCATAACAGTGGTTTTATTAAATTCCTACTCTTTTTATGTAGTTGTGTGTGGTGGTTTGTTTTATCAGGTATCGAATACCATTGCAGGTTTCCAGAATCGAATGGGCTTGTTCTTCTTTTACGAAGCTTTATTAGGTTTCATGTGTTTAACATCGTTGCACGTTTTCTCAACCGAGCGTATCTTATTTATTCGTGAGCGTGCCAACGGGTATTATTCCCCTGGCACTTATTTTCTTGCCAAAGTGTTATTTGACATCATTCCATTGCGTGTGGTGCCACCACTCATGATGGGACTTATCTCCTACTACATGGTTGGCTTGGTAGAGGGAGTGAATGAATTTTTGAAATTCCTGCTAGTTTTAGTCCTGTTTAATTTGACTGCTGCCGCTCTTTGCTTAGCTATTGGCGTTATTTTCAAAAACGTGTCAATGGCGAATTTATTGAGCGTATTGGTTATGCTATTCTCTATGCTTTTTGCTGGATTATTGCTTAACAAAGGTAATCTGGATATATTATTTTACAGATCTATGGACTAAATGAAAAAAAAATGCTAGATACGATGTCACCATACTTTGGATGGCTAAAATACCTTTCGTTCTTCAACTATGCTCTAGAGGCTTTACTGGTAAATGAGATGCTCTACCTTCAACTTGTAGAAGAACGATTTGGTTTGAACATTGATGTTCCTGGTGCAACCATTTTATCCACATTTGGGTTTAACGCTAAAAATTATTGGCCAGATGTGATCAAGATGGGTGTAATGTTTAGTGTGTTTATGACGTTTGCATTTGTGTGGCTCGTTCTAGTTGTGAAAGAAAAAAGATAAAATCATTTCGGTCTCCTATTCTATTTGAAAAAATTATTTCTGTTTACCAATAATCACATTCAATTTAAATAATTTCTCAGTTCCATGATTGTGCTCTGACCACCATTTTGACTTATCGGGTGTTACGGGACATGTCTTAAATTAGTAACAAAAAGAAGTTTTTCGTTTGATAATAAATAATGTAAACTACAATGCCTTTAATGAAGAACGTTTAAAAATGAAAGTTGGGGAAGTTTTGTAGAAAGGTATGCTGGAATGGAAAAAAAAAGTGCAATTAATCTGCAATGCAAAGTTCTTGTTTACGATCCTTGGCATAAACATCCTTGTATTTATCATAAATGCTTTGAAGCTCGTCGATGTATAATTTTTGGACTGCTAATAATTGCTCTTGAGTAGGCTCTGTACCCTCTTCCAAAGTGGGAACAGGAATGGGCTTACCCACTAAAAATGAAACACATTGTTAATCGCCCATCGATCTAGTTTTTCTATTTTCTTTTTTTTTTCATGTAGTACTTACCAACTGTGGCGATCTGATGTCTGAATGGGATAATTCCTACGTTATCTGTGATTGACCTCATTTAATAACTATTAAGTATTGCACCCCCAAAATAAAATATACTTACAATTGAAAACACCTCTGGCATGAAACAAAGGCATGGTAAATCCAAGAATGGCTTGCATCTTCTTTTGATAATGGAATACTTTACTTCCTTTGGTATTATCCACTTGGTCGTACAAATCGTTTTCGCCGAAAGAAAATACAGGAACAAGCTCCGCCTTTTGTTTGATTGCCAAGCGAATGAAACCTAAACGTTTTCGCAACACTAAGTCAACAGTACCGGGACGTGCATTTAATGATTCGGCGGCACCACCGATAACGATAACAATTGAGTGACCAGCACCAGAGGATAAAATTTTCTCACAAGAACGACGAGATACGGCTGCCATACCCAAGGATAAAATATAATCACGATATAAAGGGATGTTGAAGTTGCTAGTCAATGTAAGTAAGAAAGGTTTGATACCAGGGAATGTCTTTGAAAATCCAGTGGCTTCTGTGGCAAAATTGGAAAATGCACCCATTGAAATGATACCATGAGGATGATAACCAAATACATAGTTTTTGCTTGCGTCAAGGTCTTGTTCCTACATATTATGAGTCAGAAAAGGATAAAAGATGAGGCTTGTTTTTTTATCTTACCTTGATCAAAGTAACAGGGAAATAGTTAGCAAAATACTTCCATACCACCCAATGACGAAACTTTTCGTATCGCCTACCACCATTTTCAGGTGCTTTATCGAAGTATATAAATGTTACGTAGGCGATTAAAACTGGCCAGAGAAATTTGTAGGTTGCTAAAAAGATAAATACGAAAAGACATGCGAATAAAAGACTAATCCAGGCACAGACAGCGAGCATTTGAAGACGTCTTTCAATGGGAATACCCGTTAAAGGTGCCCATTGGACAGGATTACTATCATGGCTGTGAATTTTTGGTGGTGCTGTTACAGTGTCGACTTTTTCGGTCGGAGATGAGGCTATTAAGGTTTCAGAGGCCATCTTTACAGTGTTTTGAAAAATGAATGAAAAGTGAGGGATAAAACGCCGTGTTAATTTTTTTAGACCCTTTTTATACAAATTCTTTCTTTTGTACCACCCTCATTTTACATATATTTCACATGTTACTCGTGTCTTAAAAAATGATAATTAAGCTTGTATAAATAGACAATTATCATTACACAAACCATGATTTTACATCTGCATTTCTTCTTGATGCTTTTGATACAGTCAAACCTATGGAAATTGGCGTTTTCACAAAAATAATAGTCATTTCCGTAAAAATGATTGGCGGAAAAGCAAAAAAAAAAGCGTATGTGAATGTTTCTGACAAATAACGCTTTGTGAAACAAATCTAAAAGCCAAGTAATTCTTGCTTAGTTACCCATGTACTAAAATCAAAATCAAGTATCAATCCAGAATTTCAAAAGTGGTAAACGAAAATCTCTCATATATAATTCAGTGGAAAGTTGATTCTCCATCAGATACTTTTGAGATAAAATCTCAACCAGAAAAATAATCCGATCGGCACTGATAATTCTAGCATCAAAGCGTTACGCATTATCAGGTGTTAATTGATAAATCATGATAACTGTTACCTGATTTTTTTCCATCTCTGAAAAAAATAACGTGAAAATTAGTTTTCAATGTAAATTCTTGTACCCATTTTATACATACATTATAAAAAATTGACTCTGAAAGTGACTTTAATTCATTTTTAATTTAAGTTAATATGATTTCTAACTATGAAAAAAAGTCTTTCATCAAAATTAAATTTATTATCGGTCACTGGGTAAGTGGATTTGTAATTGGGAAATAATACTTTTGGTCCATTGCGATGAGTAATGAAACAAGAGAATCTCTATTAAAAAAATGAATACGAAAACGTGGCTAGTAGAATTAGCATTATTGTGTTACAGTGCACTATATTAAGCGCAATATACATATCAGTTACATATGATTGAGATAAACCGGCTTTGTCTGAAATATATTATGATATAGACCCCGAAAACCAAAATCGAACTAAAGATCATAGCTCTAAATAGTTGGTAATACCATCGATATCTATACATCACCCCTTGGTCTAAATAAAAGAACGCAAGTAACTTCATGCTTTTATCTGTTTCACATCTCAAACCAAAAGACATGCGTGTACAGTCAAACCTATGGAAATTGGCGTTTTCACAAAAATAATAGTCATTTTCGTAAAAATGATTGGGCAGAAGCTAAAAAACAAATGTCACAAGCTCAATTCTTTTTGTCATTTTGGCCAATGATTATTTGTCCATGCCAAGCAATTAAATTTGGCAGTTAACTTACCATGTTGTCCTTCTTCTTTTTACTAAATCATTTTTTAAATACATAGAGGAAAATAATTAAAGCCTATCAAAAGTAGACGCTGTCTCATTGCTACTTAAAAAATCTCAAGAAAAGACACAGGTTCAACAGGATATTTGCAGTATTATTAATTTAGTTGAAGAGAAAGACTAATTTGATATTACCGATAATACAGCTCTTTGTTCATGTCTTAAGCCATTTATAATGCAACAACAATTGGCCAACAGGTGCCACTATATTCAACTAAGCTATGAAAGCAAAGAAGAATTCACGTAAAATAATGTTCCATTAAATTGGCTCGTTTTTTATAATAAAAAATATTCTTCTCTGAAGATTAGCCTTCAAAACTTCTCTCTATTTCCTGCATCGGATACAGAAGATCAATACAAGACAGGTAAATACAACTATGTATAGCTTTATCTCGACTTGAAGTTCGGAGCTTCTTCAGTTATTGATGCCCAATACTACAATCGTTTTACTAAAGGGCCACAAGTATGAAATATGTAGAGAGAAACAGACATTAAGTAGTCTGAGGTGCAAAGGGAAAATACTAACAAAAAACGTCTATAATTCTCAAAAGTCTCAACAATATTAAAAAAAAGTAAACACTTTAATGAATTTCATTTTGCACTCTTGGAAAAGTTGTATATTTATAGTATTTTTAATAGGTATGTTGATTCAATTTTCTTTTTTTTGCCTTTGGCGAGAACATAACGCGAGGGACTTTACAGGAAGCCTCCTCATGATGTACTCTCAATCTAGTAACACCTTTCAATCTCGACGCTGGTAATCTCACTATAGAACTTTCTGCAACTTCGGTAACCAGTTTTTCCAAGTGATTCTTTGAAGTTGGGAAATAATGAATTTTATGAGCTAAAGAATTATTGAAATTACCTTACCTTAAACTTAAAAAGTGTATTGATAGTCTCTGAGACATGTTTAATCGCTTCCTTGGTTGTGGGGAGGGAAAGTTCTTCGATCAAATTTGCAACATATAATCCTTCTTTTTCTTCTAAGCTATACATGTAGCCGGCATTACCTATTTGTCAAAATTGTCATTATTGTTAAAGCCTAAAATATACTTGGACGTTTTAGTAAATACTTACCAATAAGATCCATAGCCACTACAGTCTTCGTTTTTTATGCTGTATTTTCGATTCAATTGGTTCAATATCGACAAATTTGTTCGCAAATTTTTAGATTGCTGCTTTGTGGCCGTGGCAGAGCTTACATTGCTTTTCTTCCACTCATTCGTTGATAATTCAACTCTTTCCATTGTTGCAGCCAATAATAATGTGGCTTGTTGTTACACAGGATAGGATCTTTCCTATAAATACGCTTCCTTTTTTTCATTTCTTAATAAATATTCTTTAGTTTTGTCTTCACCTAAATTTGGGATTTATCTTGTAATTGATACTAGTAGTATTTCCTCCGCTTTTTGTTGCTGTTTGTTGTCTATTGTAAATTATACAATCACATCATCTTCTTACATAAACCCGTCGTAAACTCTTTTCTCTTTGACATCTAAGAACTATATTCTCTTCTCATCTCTCACTGTATTATTGTCGATTTGCATTTTATTGTCTTATCCATATATTTTATCGTCTAAGATCACTACAGAAATACTCTTAATAAATAATAAAACTAAGTTGACAACTAAAAGTCTGGTGCTCACTATCACAATTGTTATATAATAATAATTGTCCCTTTTTAAATCTAAATCCGTACTAGCGCTATATCACCATATTCAAATCCGTCACAACGATCCATCAATTTTTCTTATGGCGCAAGTTGAGAAGACATTTTCTTCTGAAAAAGGAAACAAAGAATGGTTTACGATCATCTGCTCTTTTGCGGCCAAACAACCAGGCTCACCACTAGAATTTTAACAGATTCATAATTAATTAGCATTGTATTTACCACATATTCAAAATTTCAACATACTCTAGTATTTTCAATTTTGTTCCACGAAAAAGACAATCCAAGAGCTTTGCACAGTGTCGGTATGCTGTCAACTCACTAACAGCTTCTGAGTAGTCTTCAAGATTTTCAATACTATTGTGTAACGAACGCGTTAGTACAGATTATTTTCAAATTTTAACATTCTTTTACTTACATGCATCTAAGGATGTTTAGCAACTTGTACGCATCACTGTTCTTTGAGCCTGCTTCCCTAAGTTTGAGTTGCTCCTTCAAAATCTCTATAATCATACTGTCGGTATCGTCCTCATCACCTCCACTATAACACAGAAGCTGTTGTAAGCAATGATATTTTCAAGAAAGACTTGTTCTTTTGGGGTGTACCTTTTCAATACCTTCTCCAATAGCTTCTTATCTTCCTTTGACAATCCCACGTATAGCTTCATATTCACGTTGTCGATAGCCGCCATTTGTTTCCTCGTCAATGTTTTTTTTAAAATTTCATAAGATTCAGGATGAATACAGTTAACAATATTTGATAGAGACAATCTAATGAGTAACAGAATACAAACCTGTTAGATCAATGTATCAACGTTTTTGAAAATATTATATTTACTTCAGCATCATGTCATCATCAACATCTGCGGTTTTCTTCAGCAACAACTGTGATGCCAGTCCATGCACTTTATCTTTTACACAGTTTTTTTTCTTCGTCATCTGCTTTAAAAAAGCTTTATCTTCATAATCAAATTCTTGCTTATTAAACTAAAATTCATACAGAAATATCGGTTAGCGAGGTAGAATAATAGAGGAGTATAAGCGCGAATATTACTTTTTTATAATATAAATTATATAGTTGATCGACTGGTTCGCTTCCTTCTTCATTATCATCAGTTTCTTCTTCTCTGTCTGATCCTTCCTCACTACTACTAATATCATCATATTCCACTTCTGTTGTATCAGAAACGCCATCTACTTCTTTTTTGTTGTTTCTGCCTTCTAAGCCCCTCTGCTCCAGTCTCCTCAAAGAGCTCTCCGACGCGTTCTTCATACTCTTATTTGCAAGCTTTTGGCCTTCTATTCTGCTGTCTGTTTCAAAATCTCTCTATGTTACATTAAACTCTTTGTTAGATATATAATGGATAAAAACCAGCTTATACTTAGACTTCACCAAGACTGATATCTCTTCAAATAGTTTATTCCACGTATCAGCGTTAAATTTCGCAGTTCTTAAAATAAGTTGGTAAGTCTTAAAATAAATTACGACGCAATTAAATTAGCAAACATACTTTAAGGGAACATCTTTTCTGGTTTCTCTAACAGTGCTATTAAAACGAGTGACCCAAATTTTATGCAGAGCTTGGGCAGTTGAAGCATCGATTTCCAGAGACCATTCAGCAATTTTGGTTTGAAATTTTGTGACGAACCCACAAAACGTTGGTTTTATTTTATTTCTGATGAACTGCTGTAATTCTATATGGAAAACATTAGTATACTAGCTAGCATTAATTGCTTCGCTTACCTTCTTTTCCAGGGAATGCAACCATAATAGGATTTGTCTGAAGCTCGAAAAGTGGAAATGTCTAGACCTCCGTATTTTTTTCAAACGTATTTTTTTTTTATACTACTTACAGAAATTCTGGCCAGAAGACCAGCAGGCCAGTATATTAACAACCATTTACAGTGCAATCACAGCCATTCACGGTTCGTGAGTTCCAAAACTCATGAACTCTCTGCCTAGGAGGTCGCCCTCCAATATTTCTTTTTCAATTTAGCTTCTTTTTCAAATAAACAAGAGTCACTACTAAACAAACCTTTTTACGTGATCGGTTACTTTCATACGATAAAAGAAGTATGCTGAGGGAAAAGAAAAGAAGAAGAATAAAGTGTGTGAACCAGCTTCATGTATAGATAAACAAGCTTATGTCAGGATGATTTCATTTGTCTATTTTATCATCCATAATGTTTGAGCCTTTACTTAAAATAGAAACACTTTCAAAAACCTCCCAAGCAAGTCAGAGCCTGTTAATTGTCTATCTGCGTTCCAGTAGTAGCTTGTAATGACAGTGAAGCAGGTTTCATGGAAAACAAAAATCGATCATTCCATGAAGTTTAGATGATATGGCATGTAAATCGACGTGTAGACCATCGCGTGATTCTAAAAAATACGTTTGAAAAAAAATACGGAGTTCTAGACATTTCCCTAAAAACAGGCGTTACAATAACAAGATTTTTAAAGGCAAGCAATTATAATATTGAACAAATACCAATATGAAGCTAATTATTTACCTTTACATAATTCTACAAAATTCCACATGCTCTTTTGTCAAGCATCTCTGTACATCCTGTCCCTGTCAGGGAAGAGGTAAGGGAATCCAACAAGCCAGCATTAGCATCTTGTTGGTAGGCTTTATTAGCCGCCCCGAGTGAAAATGGTAGCGAAGCATATCCAGCGTTTATGCATATATGCAGACTATCATGAGTAGCGTATACGTTTGCTTGTATTGTCGAGCTGCTAAATGACTCAGTACAAAAGTAATGTGCATTACTATTGTTTTTAAAAACAAATGCTAATCTTTATTATATGTAATAAATAATTTTAAGTGGTTGTTACATTTTTATCACCCTTGCTATATATTTAGTGATATAAACATTGAATTGGATAAGAACTGGAGCAGAGTATAAATCAATAAAACAGAATATACATGTAATCCCAAATTTGATGCGGAATACATGTCTGGGGGACATCCGCTAAATTTAGTTGTCGGGAACACCCGAAGACCGCAACGTCGCCAGACTGGTGCGCTGGAAGTTTTTCGACAAGTGAAACCTTTAAGCAAAACTGTTAGTATAAAGCTTAAAAGTACGTATTTCTGATATCTCATACTTGTTTGAATTATTATTGCTTCTTCGGAACGGTGGCAAAGTTAGGCCGTCTTCAGAAACAAGATGACAGAAACCAATCAAAGCAATATTCATGGCGCCGTTTTGGTCTCTATTAATTGTGGAAGAACGAGAGGACAATCTTCTGGGACAGATCTCGTTTGTGCAGGTCACGGCACCTTTAATCCTTTTTCTTCCATGGTCTCCTACCCGTATTATTTGTTTTGTTGTAGGCTCAAAGCAAGAACTACAGTTAACTGTTGACTTGTACTCATCTACAATAAATGTTTCGTCTTTTCCAACACATTTAAGCCTTTTCAAAACTGGATCTAAGCTTCTTCGTTCATGTCCTCGAATGTATGTCCCATTTCTAGACCAATCCCCCACAAAAGTCAGTACTGAGCCTTCTCTTACATCTAATACATGGCTTTTAAACATGCCAGATCTGTATCTGCTGCAATTCTTCTTATGATAACGCTTAGTCCTTATCTTTCTTGTCACACGTTTCTTCTCCAGAGAAATTGGTTTTTCCGTCTTTCCCTCTTTTTGTCTTTTCTCTCTTTTTATTCTATGATTTGTAGATAAAGCAGCTGCATTCACTTTGCTTGCGGTATGTACGTATGAATAATCACAAACTTGGCTGTGTTGGATATCTGACACTTCATTTTCAAGCATATAAAATCTATTTATCGATTCGAAGAGAGTACCTGCTTTTACACAATTGATCGAAGCTGTTGTTACAATACCGGGATCTATTCCTTGTACGAGCACTCTATCCTTCTTGAGTCTTTCTCTCAGCTCGTTTGAAACTACTAATCGTGATTTGGGCTTTACGGAAATAGATTGACTGTGTAACATTTTGTTTAAAGTATACAATTTCTGTCCGCTGGCTTTAATCGAAGAATTTAATCGTTTCATTCGCTTGTAGATGTTATTGCACACCAATCGTTGTTTTTTTAAGTCTTGGTAAAGGTAATTATTCCAGACCTTATGTCGTTCTTGAGCACGAAAATATCTTCCTAAATCCATTCTTTTTGACTCTTCTGGTTGAAGTTGTTTAGATAACTCTGCGTACTCTTTTTTTTCGGATTTCATGTGTCCGTATAGATCATTAATCTCTGACACAATATCGTTTTTGTTCTTGAAGAGTTCAGACTTTTGATCTTCCGTTTGGTCCTCGAGCATCTCATCATGTCTACTTTTTGTTTCCGTTTCTTTCTTTTGAACTTTTTCACCAAGAAACTTCAGGTCATATTGGTTTGTGTAATTGAACGAATATCTGGGCTTCAGGTTTTGCTCTCGAAGAATGCGATTTATAGCACCCCAATCAAAAAAGTTTTCAAAGAGTGAACTTTTAGCTTCATCACTTTCCAAATCGGCATAAGACGTGAAAATCGCATCCTGTTCATCAAACATATTATACTCTTTACAAAACAACATGTACAGTGTTATAGAGTTGACAGTAACAGAGAGATTCTGGTTATGATCTTTTGACGGGAACATTCGCACTTCACGAAACTTGGTTTTGTTGCTCGAAAAACGAACAAGTACATTACGAAGATGACGTATCTTGTAACATGATAAAAATGATGCATCTTCATCTCGTTTTAAGGTGATACGGCGAAGAGTATTTATAATAGCTGCACATAGCGACAATGCTTCTTCAGGTATTGATTCCTGTTTGTCCTTGTACAATTGATTTTCCACGTAGTTAGGATTTACATTACCGTTTATGGTTTCAGAACCACTGAGCATCATTACAACGGAGACAAGAGCATTAATTTCCTTCGATGATAAATCCCTTTCAACAACTTCTTGAGGGACTGTCATCATTTCAGCACCAGCGACGAAGTCCTCCTCATTAGCATTACTATCAAACCCATCACCATCCTTATCTTCATCCACGCTAACACGATTGTCTACTATAAATTGGAACAGAACTATATTTAGTGGGGCAAACCAAAACTAGTATTTTGAGGCAGAAGCATACCTTCTGTACTAAAATCGCACTATTTAACATATAAAATCGCATATAAAACCATTCCATCGATCCTTGATCGACAGGTACATAATATCATAACACTCATAAAAAATAATAGCATAAAAAATATCCTGAGTTATACATTTACAACTCAGGGTTACTAGATATTCCAATAGAAGATCCCATTTCGAATAATAGATTGGCTACACTGATAAGGCTCATCAGTCATTAGTAAATACAGCCAATAATACCAAGTGAACACAAACGAGCCCATAATTTTACCCACGCTTTAAATAACTATAAATACCCCCCTTTCTTTCAGAGATGAAAGAGGGATTCACTTTTAATAAGAATAAAAAAGCCTACAAGCAATATTAATCTTATTCTTCCTGTTTTTTTATCTTTTATTTTTCCGTGTCAAACAAACCGTTTTTCCACACCTTCATCTTCCGGATCGCTGCCAGTGGTTTTGTTAATAACGTAATATGTCGAATCAAAAATGGCCTTGATGAATCTCGTTATGCACGGAAGTTTTCTGTCTTTACCCCTTTGATACTTTATAAGTACTTTAAAGAGAGTTTCCATTTTTTGTTTTAAAAGCCCCTTGCTCAACTTGGTTCCTTTAGCCTTTGAGACTTTTTTAGTATCCCTATTGTGCTTTTTTCTAGAGCCGAAAAACCGCTTCTTTGCAAGATTTATTCTAAGCAGCAAAGTCACCACCACTCTTAGATCTTGCTTGTAGAATTCGTTTGACCACATGTTCTCAAAATTTGTGTGGAATTGTTTACAAGCGCTAGCAAGAGCAGGTGTAGTAGTGAAATTGAAAGCATCGGCCTCATTCATATTGGCATTGATTGCATCTAGAAAACTGAAGATATGTTAGCAAAGTGACCTCACAAAGATGCAATGAAATACGTACGAGTTATTTTTTTTATCGACAAATTTTTTGCCTATACATTTTGACATTATTGTCCAAAAACCGGCATATGAAAACAAATCTGCTTCTTCCAGTGATTTTAAAGTTATATTTGACAAAAGAGCAATATCTTGTTCAGCTTTTCCAATGTTTTGATTATTAAAATCAATGTCATCCAATTTAAAAATATCATAGGTAGTGGCCGAATTGTCTTGTCCAACTTTTCCAGAAAACAAAATTTCAATCAGCGTTTCAATAGCTTTAGAAAGACCTGCTATTGATTTTCTTCATGTTGTTTGTAACATATCGAGCCTTTCACGTAGAATGTCATAGTCGAATTTACTATTGATTACTGACTTGAGTGTTTTTCCCACTGTTCTGTAACCCGTGTCTTTTTTTTTTCTTTTCTTCTTCAGTATTGGCTGCTTTGATCATTACTTTTTCTTCAGTGTTTTCTTGATCACTGATATTTCTGCTGGATGATTGATTATTAACATTATTATTGGTGTTGTGTTCAACTCTTTCCAAGAAATTATTGGCCAAATCATGAATATTGATCAAATTTTGCTCTTTAAAATGTTGAATCTTGTTGTATAGCCACATGGCCGATTTTGGTATATCGCCTCCAGACATACCTTCAACTTCATTGTTATGTAGCATAAGCTCAATTTTCTGTTTTATAAGTGGCACTACTCCAGTAGGAAGCTGTTTCGTGGATAATGCTGCGCCAAATCGATTTAACAAAGAACTTTCACCACTGCTACTACTCGCGGTATTACTGTTCTTGATAAGAAATTGCCCCCACTTCTTATCATACATAGATTGAACTTCTTCTTTTAGCAGATTAACAATCATTTCATCTAGTTTCTTTCCAAGCTTATGTCTATCTTTTTTTTTGCTTTCTTTTCCCCTGCTTCTCTTTTAATTGCCACCTTCCTTGGGCTATTTTGGTTTTGTACTTGCAATCCTGTTGGGTCGGGCACAGGTGTCTTGGTAGATTTGAGAAAGAAGTAGGTGGTCTCATGAATATAAGAATCCTTGTGCTGCAAGATATAAAAGCAAGGTATCTGGTCCGATTGGTCGGTATTGGAAGGATGGATTATTATGGCTTTTGATCTTGTGGAAAAAAGCATTATCCTACAACGGTATAGCTGACAAATAGCATAAAACAGAAGACGTCCTTTTACATTGATACTAACTGAGGCGTAAGCATTGGAATGCATTGAAACAACTTTTGCATTGGGTGAGTTCAGAAGATTGCAGATGTAACGACTGTTCAAATAGTGGGGCTGGATACCATTATTGTCAGTTAGTTTTGTCTTGCAGATTTTCACACCGTAACTTTTTAGTCATGAATTCATTTTGACTATACTTTCATGGAAAGATGTTTGGAAAACTTTATAAACCTTCTCAAATCTTGCCTCAAGTTCTTTATTTTCATAGGAAGGCAGTTTAATCTCACTGCTGTTTTTATCTGCCCAAGTAAAAGTCAAAAGTCTTTGTGGAAAACCATCATCTAAAGAAACATAAATTATAAATAAGTCTTACTATAATCACCGGTTAGATAAATCAAACAAACCAACCTTGAGTAGTTAAACCACTATCCTGGACATTAAAACCCACTGTTCTTTCCCCTATTCATAAAAATAACCAATGTTAATTGTAGGCTTCTAATAAAAGTTCACGCAAGGAGCTTACGTAAGGACTGTTTTCGCCTTTGCTCATCATCATCCTTATCAGGTTCTATTTTTCTTTTCATAGTTCAAGACGTATTGAATGGCTTGAGAAGGGGAAAAAGAAGTAAAAGAAGATATTGTTTATCACAAGTGGTTCCCATTTGTCAAATGTAGGTTAATGTCGTGACTTCGTTATGTCAATTTTGATTGCTAAAGTTAAACATAGATAAATGATTATTCTTTTTACCCAGATTGAAAGTATAAAGCAAGGCGACTGAAAGTGATGTATAGGGATCATAAGTTTATAAGATGGTAGACGGGATGCTGCATCAGTAACGTATGTGTATAGAATTATACATTTAATGTCAATAGCATGACAGCTATAATTAACAACCCAGTGATTTTTATATGATTACACTGTAGGTAACAGTTATTATTTGACATGCTCATATTTATTACAGCATAATTGTATATCTAGATCAATACTATTGCTAGCGGTTATACCGTTCAATGCATGTCTTTCAAATTGGCTAATCAGGTTCATACTTAGTGATCGGAGAGATACTAAATCGTAAAGCTATTGGCTACTTTTCAAAATCAGGGCCAATAGAATTGAAAGTTAGTGATCGGAGTGCCCCCAGACTTGTTAGCCAGGCCTTAAATTTATAGTACAATTATATTTACGCATGAGAGGTCGGTATTTTAATTATAGATGTTCTGTGGAGATTCTCCAATGTAGACTTTACGAATGATCTATATAACCTTCAGTTTATGTCTACCTGTCCGATTGGCATTATTCATTATCAAGGATTATTCTTAACATACACATTAACTCAGAATCACTCCACGGTATATCATAATTTACCCGAACCCATTCAGTATAAATATGTCCCCAATTTCAATTATATCCGTGTTCTTCAGATTGGATTGAATATATTTCTTTATTTCTCATTTTACATATATAAATAAACTCGTTCATTCTTCAAAGACTTACCTTGTCTAATTATTCTATATTTAAATAATCCAATCACATCACATAGACAACTCAGTCAATCATGTAGTTATAATATTACAATCTGCCCATTACATAACAAAGTAGTTAATCCTATAACGTATTGTGTATATCTGAATTACTAAGTTTGCTGTGGCCTTATCTTATATCTCATTTTTATCTAATATGGTTTCCTATTTCGGATTGTAATTGTTTTCTTTCCATGCTATTGGATTCTTTTATCATAAGCCCTTATTATTATCCCACAATCGTATAATTATTATAATAGAATATTATATCAATAAAGTCTATCATAGATGTATTAACTTTAAGTGTGGGACAAATAATTGGTTGAAGATGTATAATTAGATGAATATATATGTTATATTTGAGAGATTTGGTTGGTATTTGTATCGAGTTGTAAAGGTAATGTATAACTTTGAATTAAATGAGTCTCTGTAAAACCCTTTATTTAGTTATGGGGAGAATCAGGTCAAAAGAGCCTGTGGTCCTTTTATACCAACCAACGCTCGAAAAAAAAAAAAAAAAAAAGAATTAAACATCCGCTCCTCGTGGTCTTACTAGATTATATAGTAAGGTATTATTTAGTAGAATAATACACTTACTAAATTCCAGAACAATGACTTTGAGTTAGTCTTATTGAAGTGTAATCTTAGTCGATATAATAGAGGAAATACGACAATATTGCCAACAAGCTATTGTATAGTCGATGTTGATCTTAACCTAATTGTCAACCTCACAACATCCATCTCCATACATATCCCTATTCCTTGAAATATTGTTTTTTTTTTGTCAGCTGCAAATTTGTGGTTATAGAGCAGCCCTAGTTTTACGCCCGTAATGAACGAGCTTCTAGTGTCACTGTTTTCTTTGGATGTCTTATATAGGACCTCTTCTGTTTTTTTCTTATAGCTATTCCTCCACCCTAATGCAGTGTAGTAATTGATATTTACGCCATTTGTAACCTTGGCCACCAACCCACGTTCTTTAGACTTTTCAATCATACGACACATAAACGTCTCTCTAGTAAAGTCCCTATAGTTTTTGTATAATCTATCCAAATCTGGTACCTTAGTCTTCTGTTGCTTTTTAGGTGAAGACTCTTCAACAGTTTTCTCCAGGCGTTTAACACTTAAATAGGTTTTCTGGCTAGTAGCTGTTTTAGGAATTAAAATCGGATCATCAATTTGTATAAGAACATCCTCCACCGGATTGTAAACGATTTCTCCTTTCTCATTATGAATGTTGTCTTGTCCATCTTCATAAAAAAAACGTGCTCGTTATTAGAAAATGATTTAGTAAAAAGAAAAAGGACAATATGGTAAGATAACCGCCAAATTTAATTTCTTGGCATAGACAAATAATCCTTGGCCAAAATGACAAAAAGAATTGAGCTTGTGACATTTGTTTTTTAGCTTCTGCCCAATCATTTTTGAATTTATCAGCGCGAAAAGTATGTGGGAATTTTTTACTCTGCCATGACACCCTTACACTGAATCCAAATATCATAAAAAGCCCCGAAATTTGAGGTGTCAATGAAATCTATGAGGTTATCATACATAAAAGTAAGTGTATATTGGTTGGCAAAAGGATGTACCAGTGTGTGGCGTTTTAAATATAAATTTCGGAAGAATATAATGTACGTAGCTTTTCATAGGTTACGGCTTTATACGTTTGTTAGTTGATTTAAAGTTTGTAAGATCCTGTGTCAAGAGCTACAATCGAAGTCTACATGTAATCGTTCGCTGGACAACGTTATTCAAGATGAGCCTGACTTAATACATAGGGGATTATGATGATAAAAAGCCGTTTTTAGTTTTGGAATGATGCATGATGGAAATTCTCCTTTAGTTCGTAGCATACTAGTAATTTTGAAAAGGTATTTAACAAACAGGAATTGCTTCTCACAGTTAGTTTGATAATTGTCATCGAAGTATAATTAAGTATGTCAAAAACCGTTTGTAATGTAGTTATGTGTACAGGTTGAAGACCATCCGAATTTTAAATGAATTCTTGCTACGAATGTAGCCGGGTTTTATTGGTGTTAAATACCACAAAAGGTGAAATGTTCTGGTTGTTTGTTACACAACGTTATTGTAAAAAAAACATGTTTTAATAAAATGACGAAACAAAACGTAGTATTTTTTAACCAAATAAACCTTTACAAGTAGCATTATAATGAGCATATGTATTTTAGTAAACTTGTGGCTCGTATAACCATTCCTTCAGTATTATAGACGACGCCTTTATGTTGCGAATGGCAATCTCCACCAAACCTTCACAGACAATTTTAAAGAAGAGTCATTATATGCTTTATAATCTACTTTTCTTTTTTAGACATTTACGGGGAAACAGTCTTCCGAAGAGAATGACATTGCCGACAGTAATATCTGGAGTGGCAGTTTTGTAATGCAACCACTGCCTATAACTATACTATATTTGAATTAAATCCTATATCTTATTAAATGTTATAATTATATAATAAGACTCTAGTAATTTCGGGAGAGAGTACTACCATAAGCCGGCCGTCGGTGCCGCTTGGTAAACCAATAAGCTTTACTTTAACTCGATAAAAGGATAGCGGATTAATAACCCAGAAATTTCATGGTTCTACCGACAGCTTAGTGTCACCTGACTATTTCAAATCCTGTTATTTGTTTGCAAATGTTACCAATGTCTTCTTCCATGTTTATTCTTATGCGTTATTTTAACAGACTGTCTTTCTTGTCCAGATTTTTTCTTTTAAATTAGCTGTATAAAAGGAAAATTTGGGTGAGTCGGAAATTGCATATTGTATTAATAAACTTTTATTAGAAGAGCTGATACTGTTTATCACATTAAGAAAATTCAATGCTTTTACATCGTACCTCAAAGATTTTCTTAATGCAGAAAATTTAAATTTTTTTTTATGTAATGCAGCAGCATGAATACTGAACTTGTACCGGTTTTAGCTACATCTAAAGAATTTGGGGGTATATTTGATACAACTACTTATTATATTAATATGTCCTCAATCTTAAACAAAATATATATTTTACTTTTAAAGGAGCATTTCAAAATTAAAACCTTATTTCGTTCAAGATATTGACGTAATCTGGTCAAATTTCGAAAGGGTGCTATATTAAGTGTAGAATATGATCACCGCCATAACACGGCTTGATCAACGTATCATATTATTATTTGTAGTTTCTATCATTAGATGAGTTATTCTTGATAAACTACTATTGTAAAGAGGGTTAATTTTAGACTTTTTTTCCCGCCAGAATCATGTGCAGAAAAGCCGACGATAATGTTTGTTTACTTCTCGACAAAGCAAATGTGCAACGCATTTCATAAAAGCGCAGACGGATTGCTCCTTTCCAGAAACTCCCTTTATTTTTAAAATTAAAAATTTACAGGGTTAAATTTGCTTAACGTATTTAACAGCTTCTGCGAAAATATAAGATCATACTGATTTTAAAATGTCATTGAAAGCATCCGTATCTATAGACAAATTATTACATATAGCTGGGCGGTAAGCTGCTCCGAGATGAGTTGATTCAAACTTGTTAAGCATATTATGTCATAAACTTCATCATCTACAGGGACATTTTACTTAAGAAAAAATCAGCTTTTTGAGGTTGTCAAGTAGCGCATGTTAAATTGAGTCAAATATTATAAATCGCTGAAGCCGAAGTATATATTTCACTTCCTGTTTCACCGCTGCAATCTCAAGCATGATTTTCTTATTGACATAATTATCTATCTTAGCATGGACAGGGATAGCAAAGCCTATCGCGCAATGTGTAATACTCCTCCTCTCGTACGATTTTTTTGTTTCTTAGTTTTTACCAAGACTAAAAGAATTTAAACGCTACAAAGCATATATCACAGGCGGAGGGCTAAATGGTTAAATGGCTAATTCAGTTGATTATAGATAGCGGTAAAAATAATTGGGATACATACAAAGCCTTCATTTATCTAAACATAGACGTCAAGCCTCCGCCGCCATCTTTTTCTTTTTGGTCTTTGAGTCTGCAATGGCTGTCTTGATGTGAGTGCTTTGTGAGTCATATATTTGTCAATAAAATAAGGTGTTTTTTGTCCTTGATCAGGTTAATGAATATGTTAAATAAACGTGTTTTTATTTCTGTTCATTTTAAACGTTTTTTTCGTTACACGTAATAGCATTCTAGTACGTCTTTGCATTGTCCAATTTGGGAAATTAAATCTTTTGCTAATTATTTTCTGTCCATAATGTTGTTTATAAAGCATTTTTTTTGCCAGGTTTTCATGTGAAAAACTTTTTAACGCTTGCTTTGCTCATGTAAATATTTAACGTCAAAAGATGTTAAATGGGCATTTGAAACTGTATGCTTTAATTCTGAGATTCAACCTTAATAATTAATTCAATTGTTCTCTGTGACAAATAAATATTTGAAAATGGGCGGGATCATGTAACCGAATAGTAACGAATAATAAGGGGCGAGGAGGGGAGCCAGGGGCGAGGGAAAAAAGCATTCCATTTTTCCTTGGTCACCTCGTGGTTATTATAATGAGATCCTGGTGCAAACAACTTTTTATGTAACAATCTTTTTGCTTATCAGTAAAAATCGTCTTATAATGTAAAAATAATTTTATGTCCTTATTTAGTCAATTATATTTTATTTAGGTTATTCTATTTATTTTTGTATCACTTAAATACTGCCTTGCTCTGACCTTTTCTTTCTCTCTCTTTTATTTCACAATCATTTAGAAAAAATAAAATAAAAATGAAAGTTTTTAGTATCACAGCTGTAGTCGCACTTTTCGCTACTCAATCAGTCTTAGCTGCTACCACAGCAGCTCCTTGTGATCCAAACACTTGTAAACTTCCTAGCTGTCTTTGCCCTTCATTGACACCACCAAATGGTCTCCAACCAAAGGATGTGCCTCAATTCGTTACAATCACATTTGACGATTCTGTCCAAGCTGAATTGTTGGCTACTGCTAAAGATTTGCTTAACGTCAAGTAAGTTATCACTGTATTTACATCCCTTAATGCCTATATTATTGTCGTTGTATACAAAAAAATCCTCCCCCCTAAGTGCTGTTGTTCTCATTTCTAATGCACCCCTCTCTCCATTATATTTTTAGGAATCCAAATGGATGTGCTGCAAAGGTAAAACTTTGTACGACTAACATAGCATAAAAAAATCTAACATGTCTGTAGGGTTCTTGGTACGTCTCCATGCTGTACACAAATTTTGCGCTTGTTCAACAATGGTATGCTAATGGAAATGAAGTCGCTGAGTAAGTTTTCTATTAAATCGACTATACCAGTTTGAGATTTACTAACATTTTATTTTTAGTCATACTTTTACTCACGTCGGAACACCGTCTTCTCAGTATGTACTTTTGAAAGTGTTGTAATATATTACTAATCACACACACATTTTTTCTCTCTGGTAGAGAGATCGCTGCTGCCCGTGCCATGTTAAATCAATACGCTGGTGTCCCTCTTGGAAAAATCAAAGGTTTCAGAGCTCCATTTTGTAAGTACTTCGATAGGCCTAGGTTTCAGAAATCTAATTTTAAATAATCTTTTTATAGTAAATTATACCACAGACACCTTAAGAGAGATTGCAAAGCAAGGATTTCAATATGACACATCATCTACTGGTGTTGTTGATGATTGCTACTGGTAATTCAGACACAAGATCTTTTTAATCTGTTGACTAATACACATTTTTAGGCCGTATACCCTAGATAATGGATTAGCAAACGATTGTTGGAACAATGTCTGCGGCTCAGATCTCAAACTTCCTGGTAAGTGGGAATAAATATTCTAGATAAAAAAAACCATGTACTAACCAATTGCATGAAACAATAGGTGTATGGGAAATTCCAATGTATGCAGTCAATGATAATCAAGGTACCGCACAATTAATGGACGTGTACCTGTCTGGATCACCTTCAGATGTAACTGCTTGGTCAGAAGCAAACTTTGAGAGACATTATAATGGTAATCGTTCACCTTTTGGTATCTATGTCCACCCTAGTAAGTTTAACGTTACACACACACACATATATATATATATACATACATATATTAATGCTAAATGTTTAGCTCATTTGACAAATTATGCCGGTCTCGCTGACATGTCTTCACAAAAGGCTGCCGTCGTCAGTTTCATTCAATCACTTGCATCGAAGCCCGATGTTTGGTTTGTAACTAATGAGCAGTTACTACAATGGGTAATAAATTAAAAATAAGTGAGCGTTAGAATATAGAATAACTTATGGATAATTGTAGATGCAAAATCCAGTTCCGGCTAGTCAGTTAGCAAGCCAACCTTACATGCAATGTACGCTACCCAATGTAGGAAAGGAGATTTGTAATGGGTTAGAAAATATCAGTATCGCCAGCAATATTGTGTCCGGTAGCCTTTTAAATAATTGTAACTTCAACACAGCTAACTGGGGTACTTGTTTCAATTGTCCTGCAACCGAACCTACCCTTGATAATCCTACACCTAACAACGCCGTAGCTGAATCTGACCCTAAGTTCCGTCACGCTGTACCAAGCAATTGCGACAGTCTTTGGTGGGACCCTATTGCCGGCCAGTGTCTATGTTCCAATACAACTTGTGCGTATAACGATACTTCAGTTCCTCTTACGACAATTGTTGCTAATAGCACAACTGCCTCTGCTACAGGCAAAGTTGCTGAAGAGACAAGCGTCAAGAGTGCTGCTGCTACCATGGCGACTACGTTGTTTGGCCTTACCTTGGGCATGGGTGTTGCTGCCGCTGTAATGATTTTGTAATCATTTCAAATTTTTCCTTTTTTCTATACATATCACATCAAGTAATTTTACTTCTATTAATATTATTTCAAACTGTAAAAGTAATTATTTCTTCCTTCCCCCACACTACATTTTTTTCTTTCATATAAAAACCGTATAGTTTTATGGTCGAGACCTTCCATCTCCTAACTAATTTTATTATCAGCTGCAAAAATAAAATAAAAAAAAAGACATTGGATAGTAGGAATCTAGAACATAGTTTTCGAAATGCAGGGTTATTTTTTCTAAAGAATTTTGCTTTTTAGCTGTATATTAGAAAAAAGTTGTATCTTTGATTTCAGGTTTATACTTGCATGACGTTCTTTGCTGGTTAGCAAAAGTTCTATGTTTCGACATAAATATTTATGGAGCTTAATTTGTTTAGACAGATATGAAATTTTGGCCTTATCAAAAACTCACCAATTTCATGCGAGAGCTTAGTTTGGAAAATTATTGTTAAGATTGGAGTAGAAGCAGGAGTGTATCCTCTGGTACATATATCTTTATTATTCATCGGCATCGACACAGAGTTGACATACATCTGTGAAAAGCATTATATGTCTGACGATGATAAATCAAACAAACGAAGCAAAGGCCTTTTTATACCAACTATATTTATTTATTTACAAGCTATTGGGAGGGTTATTTTTGTATTTTACCACTTTTTTAGTCTCTCTGTTACCACGCACGGATGGCTCTGTATGGGGTCTGTAGTCTTTAAACATTTGAGCCTTCAAGAAGGGTAGATTTGTTTCCTCAAATAATTTCATTTTGACCTTTTCTAATACTTCGTTGACGGCCTCAGGTTGAATGTGTGCTGCGTCAGTCTCTTTTGACTCTCCTAATAAGCATCCTTCGCTGTTGGTTTCTATATTCAATGCATCAACAGTATCTAATAATGTACAACTGGACCCTTCGGAGATTTTTTCTTCGTGAGACGGGGTTAAACAGGTCATGTTGGGTTCTTTACGAAGTACATGATCAATATCCACGGCAGAAAAAAATGCCACGCTCTAATCACACTTTTCTATTAATATAAATGTTTTTACAAGTTCATCTTTTTTCTTCTGTTGTACCTGTGGTAAATCTTTCATTCCCAGCTTGTAACTAAACAAAGCTCTTGTCCAGACATTGGCAACTTGAAGCGCCAGGGCTGTTCTATGTTGATCCTTATCCGACGTCAAGTAACGAACTTCATCATGAACGGAAAGCATAAACCGAGCATTAATATCATATCTTTGTATTAAATGAGACATAGATGTGATCAAAAGGTGAAGGTAATCTACACCTGAGCTTTGCACTACCCAATTGATCCGAGAAGTCAAGAACTGAGTTCCAGTGTACCTTGGTTTTAAAGCGTCCGTGATGGAACAACCCAATACTGGCGTTCTTGGTTCTTTTGAAAGAGCAATATCTTCCAGAGCATTGAACATGTAACTTTCAGAACCTCCATGCCAAAACTTGCGTTTGAAGGGGTTATGAACTGAATGTTCCTTTTCACCCTTAGTGTTGGAATAGAGGTCGAGCGCACGTAATTTGGCAGCCTCGATCTCCATTCCTTGGTTATATTGCATGAGTAAACTGGTTGCGTATTTCACACCTGCACCGTAAATTCGGGCATAATTGAAAATCTTGGCTTTGTCTCGACTGATGCCCAAAATTCCAGCTGTTTTGGAGTGAAGATCAGTCCCTTCAGATTTAGTACCTTGTAACGTCATCCAGCCTAATGCTGTGGCCCCATGAAAACCAAATTGAGAATCGCCTATAACACTGGAAATCCAAAGCTCTTCAGAGTCCACATCAGCACCTACAATCTTAAACCCCTCTGGTGCTTGAACCATGGATTTTAGTTCAGACCCGATACGGTTCAATTTAGCGTTACTAGCAGTCAGCCAAGTTCTTTCAACAGCACGACGGGTGACGGTACCCATAGCTACCATTTGTGGTAAAATGATGCCATATTTACCTGATTCTTTTGGGGGTAAATTCATATCGATACCCTTCGTGGAATCCCATACAACAAACTGGTTCAAAATTCTTTCTCTAGCACTAATCCAATAGGCAGATTTCGCATTTAATTCCAAAGCTTCTTTTGCCGCTTCGTATTCGGAGGTCAAGACACCATCCTCAAAAGAGCCAATGTACCCTTTTGCCAAAGGATTACCACAATTGGCAGTCTCACCATCCTTATGTGGTACTTTTAAATAAATTAAGTCATCCTCTTCTAAAACTGATTTGGCCAATTGGTTATGAGTAGCTTCATGACGAGGTACTTTAAAGCACCATCCATGTCCTGTCAGATGATGTAAAGGATAACCTTGCCATTTCAAACGAAGTAAAAGTGGAGCTATACGAGACCGGGTGGTTATCTTAAATTTATCTGCCTTCGTGTCGTAGGAATCCTTGTACCATTTGGGTTGACCCTTTAACTTTCTTTGGCGTGGGTTGACAAACCAGTCTAGTTGGCTAAGCCAAGGATCCTTTTGACGTCCTTCCAAATCATCAATCATATCCCTTGCTTGTTCGGCTAAATGTCTAAGTTTTATGTCAAGCATATCGTCTAATTCTTTATGCTTTCCTGCAGCCTTTTGAAGATAAGCTTCCCATTTCTCGGTAACAGGCAAAAAAGAGCTTCCGATATCAAGCATACCTGTAAAAGAAACAGGGTGAGGGCAATTGTGTCTGAACCTAGGAAAGACAACCTTATAAATGGCATGCGTTAACGCTACATCGTTTGCACAATATGTCATCAAATCATCAAAATTGGTACGGATTTCGTCCAAGTCACCTGTCACAAACATATCTCTTTTTGATTTGTCCATCTCGACTTTACAGTAAAATTTGGCGACATCTTTCAGACTGTTGAGTGAGCTGACATCAAAAAATTTGGTATGATCTATGGTACTGCTGGTGCCATCCAGCGTATCCTGATTTCGACGCTTAACTTCCATGTTCCAAGCCGGACGTTGTTGAGAGCAGAGACCAGCTACTGCTATATGCAAACTCATAGTATCGACATATTTAATGTTGGATGCAACTTGGCTGTATTCTTCCGCAATTCGTGCTCGATCATAACCCACATTATGCCCCACAATCAATCGTTTTTGATGATTTTTACCGAACGAGATCAATTGTTGTTTATCAGTGGTTTCGCCCAATAAATATGGCGATGTCCATGAATACCACGCTTCTGGTGTAGCCACAACAGCGAGTGTAGGAAATTTTCCTTCGCTCATTAAAACTTCTACATCAAACACCATGGTGTCCTCCAAAGGATGATCTACCGCAACACTTGTTCCATTTGCATACCGCGTCCAGCCTGATACTCTTTTCCATTTCTGTGGAATTGGTGGTAAATCAATATTTGCTAAATTTTCGCACTGGTCTAAATACGGCTTTGATTGTTCTAAACCGATTCTGATAAAATGTTCCTCAATGTTTTTGCCATATAAACTAGGTAATTCGATATCGATAGGCGTACTGATTTCTGCTTTTTTCCCCCAAATATCTTGTAGTTCTAAGTGTTCTTTTGCATATGCCTCCTTAGTCTTTGTTTCTATACTTTTTGTTTCTTCGACAGTAGGATAGGCTTGAAATAATTGCGACTGTAGTTTAGGTGATAAAAGTTGAACCTGAGCAGGGTTTATTTTAACTATTATATAACTATTAGATTCCAGCCCTCTTCATTCCGTATACTTTGTTACCTAGAGAGTGTAAGGGGCGTCTGAGTAAAGTATACCTAACTTTTTCAAATGCTGTCCTTTTAATGATCATTAACACAAATACAGTCTCCCTTTTTCTTATATATGTATTCTTTCAAAAAAGAAAAGAGGGTGTTACAATGAATTCTGATTTTTTGACATCCCCCTAAAAAAAAAAAATGCATTTCGTAACAGTCACTCATAAGAGTGCATCTAGTTTGACTCACATGCTTTCACACGTTTTGTAAACTGTTACCTAATCTTTTTTATCTTTTTTTCTTCTTCTAAATGCCATCACCCCCAAAACCTTGGGAAGTCAATAATAATACTGCTACTGCCTCAACCCCCGTCGTATCTCATCAAAGTTCAATGACAGACTCAGCTGTACCAACTGTACCAACAAGACCCTCCACCATGAATACCGGTATGACTTCAGGCTACAATGGTAAGAAGTTGTGATTTCCCTACATTCACAAACCTGTACTCACATTCACGCAGGCTTAGGAACAAGTGGTTACGGTACGAGTGGTTATGGTGTTGGTGGTTATGGTACTGGTGGCTATGGTTCCAGCAGTTATGGCACAGGTGCTTATGGATCAGGAGGATATGGATCCAGCTACAGTCGATATGGAGGCATGGGAAGCTATGGCGGCATGGGAAGCTACGGAGGCATAGGAAGCTATGGTGGCATGGGAGGCTATGGAGGCATGGGAGGCTATGGTGGTATGGGAAGCTACGGTGGCATGGGTATGAACCGAGGCATGTATGGTGAAGATAATTCTAGCCTGACACAAAGAATGGAATCAGGTACAAGGGCAACATTTGATGTAATTCAATCTATTGTGGGTGCATTTGGAGGGTTCGCACAAATGTTGGACTCGACTTACATGGCTACACATTCAAGCTTTATGGCGATGGTGGGCGTAGCAGAACAATTCGGAAATTTGAAACATTATTTGGGTGGAATATTCAGCATCTTTGCATTAATACGATGGATGAAGCGAATTTTGTATAGAATCACAGGTAGAGCTATACCACCAGAATTGCTACCTCCTTCGGAGGAAACTTTACCAGAACAAGGGGACGCACTCCAAATCACAGCAGGCGAGACAATAGAGGGTACAACAGAAACATCTGCAGATCAACCACAACAAGAAGTCGCTCAAGTGTCTCGTAGACGTCCTATTCTTATATTTTTAGCTTTGGTAACAGGTTTACCCTATTTAATGTATAAATTAATCCAGAGATCCAACCAATTAAGACAGCAAAGAATGATGATTCCACAACATGGACCACCTCCTCAAACAGCCAGGGTCATTCATGACTTTGTTGCTGAAAACGGGATCGAGCTGAACCTTCGTCGGGGCGAGACAGTGCAAGTGTTATCTACAGTGGACCCAGCCACAGGCGCACCGTGTGATTGGTGGCAAGGAAGATCTGCGCAAGGTGTAATCGGCATCTTTCCTGCAAATTATGTACAGATTATTGGATATTAAAAAAAAACGAAAACTACATATACCTTTACTTTATATTTTTCATTTTTTATTTATTTATTTGTATTACAAATGATCAAAGAGAGAAGAGGGGAATCTATTTAAAAATTGGAAAGGGAGACGTCTGCTATACATAGAAAAAAGCAGTGGATATTTACAGGTAACAAATTATTCATTTGATTCATTCTACGCCGCTTGGACTCATTCAGAGCTACAGCAACAGGATCAAATATCTGAGATTGCTCTGCAATGGTATTTGGCACTGCCCACGTGAACTTACCATCATTCGGGATGATGGCAGGTAACGGGTCTTGTTGTTGTGGTTGTTGCTGTGGCCAAAAAGTCACGTTGGGTATCTCACCATTATTCGAATTATTAAAATCTCCACCAGTGATGTCGTTAGGAACGGAGTTCATTGTGACAGGGTATGGATAAGGTGCCAATGGAAAAGCGGTAGGTGTACTAGTTGGAGGCGTACTATTATTACTGGAGGGGATGGAGGAATAAGGTGGAGGTGGTGGGTCTTGTGGATGCTGTTGTGGTGGCTGAGGTGTTAAAGGAGGAGGTGTAGATGATATAGGTAATAAATCAAGGCCGTTTAAGGGCGAAGGATTCAATAAGGACGTAGATGGATCTAATCCGGTCACTCTTTGGATCGTCTTTAAATGAGCACAATACTTTTCCAACATCTGATACAATGTGCGCTTTGAAAATGGTTTAGGCAGTATATCTGTCATACCGCTACCAATGTATTGCATAATATCATTGTCAGTAAAGTTGGATGTCATCGAGATAATAGGTGTTAAGGCGTCATATTGTCGAATGCTGCGTGTAGCCGAGATACCATCCATTTTGGGCATGACAATGTCCTAAAAAAATTAAGGTTAAAATTGATTTCATAACTGCAGTAAACTAAACTCAACGAACCATTAGGATTAAGTCATATTTTTCCATGCCCATCTTCTTTAATGCTTCCACACCATCTTTTGCTAAATCAATGGTACAACCAATGATTTGTAACAACTTTCCACTTAAATCACGGTATACGGAATCATCATCTACCAGCAAGATACGAGGAGGTACAGTCCAGCTGACCTGAGATGATGACGATGGGGAAGAAGTTGATGGAGAGGATTTACGTTTTGCGGTTGGTCTTTGTAGGGCCGTAGCTAGATTGGGGGTTTGATCAGCAGCCATGATTTCGATAGCAGGTTGATTATCTCGTACTGACATGTTGGAGGAAAGTCTACCCAACGTGACAAAAGTCAGGCCATCAGCAGTTTTAAGGGGTGATCCAATCAAACTTCCCGCATTCATGGATGCAGCGGCAGCAGCAGCGGAAGCAGTTTCATTGTTTTCTTGCTTGATCTCTGTAATAATCTTATGATGTGCTACAGTCGGATTCAGCTGTTCGTTTAATTTCGTCATTTGTTCGGAATTGTTTTGAGATATCCGAGTAAAGGAATCTAATAAATGTTGTGCTTGACTTGAATTTGTGACAATAGCAGTTGTATGAGTTTCTATTAAATGGTGTCAATATTTTTAAACATCGCCCCGTAAAAAAGAAATAAACTCTTACGTTTTTCTTTCTCAGTAACTAGCCTAAGAAAATCTTTAATAAGGTTATCTTTGACAGCCATACTCTTATTAAAGTTTGCTAATTCACTCATGATGTGTTCATCACTCTTTTTCAGTTGACAAATGTTTTCTTCCAAGGCACTCCTGGACTTTTTCAATTGATCAATTTGTAACTGTAAATTAAGGCCAATGTCCTTGATTTCTTGTACGGAATTCACACTTGGTTGTTTTGATGCGGTCGCTAGTTGTGGTACAATATGGACCGGAGATTCTTCTTTCTTGGTTTTATTTCCAGGTGCTTTCCGCTTAATGTCCTCTAACAGATCTTTACGGTCCCTGATAAACTTTGGGTGAATAAATTCCCAGGCCTATTACAATTTATAAGCTTTTCTTGTTTTATTTGCTTCTAATGAGCACTCTATTGACATACTTGATCGCCGTATGGCTTTTGACCATCTTCACCGTTGCGTACTTTGTGAAAATCATACTTGTTTAATTGACGTACAAAACTTGCAAAGTTAGAATGTTTAAAATGCTTTGGTAAAATGCTTTTAGAAAACTCATTTGTATCTTTAACAATAAAGGTGGTACCATCTCCATTCCAACAAAAAGTATTTTTAAACGCTTGGTTTTCCAGCATTCTACAAGTTTTTTTTCAGTTAGTTTCTTGCCCTTTTACTGTCCCTTTTAAATAAATACCTAAATAGTTTTTGAATGAACTCGGGTACAGATCCTGACGTTTCGTTTATTTTGGCTTGTTTCATTATTGTTTTGTTTTTGGACATACTCTAGTCATGCCAGTAAGAGCGTTTTTGTAAAAAGTGGTATAAATAGAGAAGAAAGAAGAAAGAGAGAGAGAACGAGAGCAAACCGGCATTTTTTTTTTTTTACTGCAAACACAAGTCACAAACACGTATTTATTTATTTATTATTGCCAAGTGGGAGCACCATACTGCTGAGGTGGGTATACCATATTTGGGTAACCGGCAGGACCTCCCATGGGTGGAGGAGGAGGAGGAGGTCTAACACCTGCATAAGTGGGTACGCTGTGATGTGTTCCTGCACCAAGTGCTGGTGCCATAGCTGGGCCACCAGAAAACAAACGATTTGGCATCTGTACATTTTTCCTTGCCTCAGCTGCCAATAATCTTTCGGCGGCAGATCCATGCTTCTCCCCTTTACCATCCTTCTTAAAAGCATACGAGACAGAGATCTGTTTATTCATCAAGTATTGTCCTTCCATCGCATCAATGGCGGCATCGGCTGACTCAAAATTATCGAAACTGATAAACCCAAATCCTTTCACTCCTCCTGTCTCGGGATCTCTACTGATCTTTGGTGTATGAACAATCAAACCAAATGCACTGAATGTATCGTATAACATCTTTTCATCCACTTCCGGATCCAAATTTCCGATAAATAACGTGGCTCCAACATCCAAGTTCTTTTTATCTGACGTAGCCTACTCTATCATTATCAATCTATATCCTTCTCCACATTAAAACTTAACACGAACCTTGTTAACTCTTATAGGCTTACCATAAAGTCGTACTTGGTTCATAATCTTTATGGCATAATCTGCATCTTCCTCTGTCAAAAATTCAACGAAACCATAACTTTGATGACTTTGTGTCACTCTATCCTTGGGTAAATGTACATTAACTACCGTTCCAATTAGTCTCTTTTTTTTTTCCCATTTTTCATGCTATGTTTTTACCAACAGGTCCAGCTTGAAGCATGAGTTCCCAGACAAGCGATTCGGTACACCTATCGTCAAGATTACCGATATAAATAGTCGCTTCTTGATTACGTTCAATTTGTTGCGCCATGAGATCGATTTATGTATTATGTAAAAAAAAAAAAAAAATCGTCAAGTTGAAAAAAGTGTAAAAAAAGTGACGACATGTTTCTTCCTATCACGAAGCAGAAATCTGATTGGTCAATTCCTGCGACAGTTGTGCAAAATGCAATTACAGATCCAAAGCATGATATTAGGATATACTTGCTACAATTTACTGTCGAATGCTCTGCAAGCGAGCAGCGTAAATATGGATAATTTAAAGGTTTTATATTGATCATATTTCTACCTGTTATGAGAAATCTTTACAAAACGGATATAGAACAAACCAAATGCGTTCGATATAAGAAATTGAAGAAGTTGTCACAATATGATTCCAGACCGTATTTATCAACTGAATGAGAAGTCTCAATACAGAGATGTTTTCGAATTACATTTTCTTATAATCTAATACACCACGTATAATCCTCTCAGAGTCAGATAATTAGAACCGTATAGAAAGGTCAAACTCTCACATCAGATAGCATTGTTTAAGTGATCGTTTTCCTTAGGGACAGTCAAGGTCCACATAGTCCTAACGTCAGATTATGATACTTTAATAGACAACAAATTCATCACAACCAACATATGGTAAACCTGTATTTGTGTTATAGCTTACTTTCAACTTCTCGTTTGAACTTTACTTTAATATCTCTGCGTAATATAAGGATCAAACGAGCTCAAACGCAAAAGAGCGATGATGTAATTGTCAAAATAAGACATTGTTTTTGATTGTATATTCTTGTTTCCAGGTGTAAATGGCAGCCAAATCACAAATCTTACGCTGCGACTACGTGCACTTTGGTTGTTCCTGAGAAAAAATTGAGTGTCTTTAATAAAAGCGTAGAAGTATTCTTTGTCAAACAAAAAAGAAGACTATCAGTAGAAAACGGGTCTAAACCAACAAGTGGTTTATCTATATAATTAATTCAATAAAAATAGACCACAAAAGAAAAAAAATGAGCTATTTGCACAAATTAAGTAAATGTTCGTGATTCAATACGTACAACTATTTAAACAGTTGCAGCATATTACCGTCTCTGGCAGTAAAGGACCTCATATCAGACCTTCAAAATCCGACTGATTTTCTACGAGAAGTATCAATAGGACTTATGTAGGTTACCTGGAAAAGTGCTCTCTGTACTGACACGGGAAAAGCAGCTTTGTATGATAATCTTCATTGCTTTATGGCCTTAATCGATGCTTCGAATTACAATGATTATTTTCTCTTTTTATGCCTGTAATCTAATAGCATCGCTTCAAAATTGAATGCTCACTTCAATTTATTAGATATATACCTAAGAACAGGAGAAAGACCTTACATAGAAGCCGTCAAATACATTTACGGACAATCTGGAAACAAAACAAAAAAACCTTAAAGAAGCGGATCCATTGATGATATCAGATATCGTACAGCAGAACGTCAAAGTCCTTTCAATAAATATTTTTGTGAGTCATCAACAGAAACACAATCTGTCATAATGGTGACAAATCAAGGGCACAGACGCCGAACGCTTATTGGAAGTTTTCTGTTCAGAAAATAATATTTCTACGCAAGCATCGACCAGAAACGTTTCCAGTATTGGTTTATTTTCTTGTGATGCCCTTTGCCCTTCATTCAGCATACAGCCTTTTTTTATTGCATGTCAACGATATTCAAACTTTTAAGAATGAAAGATAAATTCTTAAGAGATTAACTGTAGCTTTGAATTTAGTGATCGAGGCCTTCTTCAAAAGTTCTGAAGTACGTATGCCCAAGAATTTTTCCTTTCAAACAGATGGGTTCTTCTGCAGTGTTTTGTTTGTTTGTAGCCGTAGTTGATTAGTAAAGAGGTGAAAAGTAACTTATGGATTAGTTATTAATTGCTCTTTCCTTTTGATGATGTTATTATTTGTGAAAATTTATTCTGACGGGTTGCTACAATTAATTACCAATAATGATGTACATATTTCTTATATAACGAATCAAACCATCCATGACCCTATTTAAAAATTATCGTTGTTCATTTTGAGATGAACGATGACGCCACAAACGTTCATTCCCATACGAGGATTATTTTAATTTTTGAAATGGTAACCCTATGAAATAATAGTCATTATTATTAATACTTTTGAAATTGCTTCTGTTGTAAACGCTAGCAAAATGGAACATGACTATAAAGGAGATAAACAATATCATTTTTATTTCAATCGGTTTTTTAACCACACACATAAGTACACTTCATTTTCGTCACTCCCTATTCTTACCTTCCTATCCCATTGATATTATTTAGTAGCTTTACAGATTTTAATTTGTCGATTTTTATTTTTTGACTATTACCACTTGTCTAACGACTATGGGTATGGATCAGTCTTGGTGACTATTTAAAAACAAAAAGCCATTGATATATCTGCATTTAAAAACACGTGTTATCGACACTCCGCCTGTTATTACAGTATAATCACGTTAAATTCGGACAAGCGAAAAAAAATTTCAGACTAAAAAAAAAATATTTTCAGACAAACGTAAAAAACTATTCAGACAAACGTAAAAATTGTTCAGACAAAGGGAAAAAAAAATTCAGACAAGTAAAAGTTTAAACCAATTTTGATTCTCTATTAAGGTATTTATCCCAGTAAGCTTCAGAGTGTCGTACCCAACCAATGCAATCTTCTGTGGTGATAGTCTCACAGGCTGTTTTGATTCTAGGGGTGTGAGTGTCTAAAGTGGAAAGCAGATTTTTTTGATGTGCTTCTTGATCTTGGACCAGCACTCCTCAATAGGATTCAAAATGGTGAATATGGGGGCATATATAAAGGCTTATATCCCCTACTTTGGATTGCATCAACGACACTCAATGGATATAGTGAATTCGGCAATTATCCATGACGATATAAAAGCCATGCTTATTGTGTCTGTCCAGGACATCCATGACATTTCGAACAAAGGTTACAAATGACAAGCAGTTGTACCTTTTTTGGGCTTTTCTGTTTTAGTGTCATCGGTTTTGGCCTTTTTGTCTATCAACTCTGCGGGAAACTGGTGTGATCTTACAGTTGTTTGCCCCCCCCCCTATGGGAATAACAGTTACATGACTTTCGTTTCACTGTTTCAATATTTCATAAGTATCAATTATCTCTGAAAGAAAAAGCTGAATTTATAATTCAGAATAAGAAAGTGAAGAGTCATTTATAAGATACATTGTAAAGAGCCTAAATGCATTTGTTTAAATCGATAAAAACTAAAAGCAAGCTTTTGAGGGTGCTATGTTTTCAGTAATTAGCAGAGCTATAGAAGCTTACACGCTTCTGAAAATATTTCTACAAAGTCCACTCTTATAGAATATTAAGCAGGACGTTTTAGCATCTTTTCTTTTTTTAATTATTATGATCAAATTCATTAATTAATCATTGCTCTGCTGAATTTAACAGTCCTCTGCATCGACAACATAAATCAATTCAACAAAAGTTTTGTAATAACATCCTCATTTCTTTCCGTATATTAACTATATGCGTATCCCAATTTATCCAGATACTGAAAGCTTCATAAAGCTAAAAAAGCAACATTTATATGAAAAGCTACAGCAGCAAGAAGAAGAGGGGACAGCAGTACACAATAATTTCAAAGGCCAAGCTAAAGAAAAAAAAGGTGATATCTATGAAATATGTATAAATAACAAAACAGAAAAACTTAAGTCTTTAAAAGGTATAAAGCGGAAGGATGCTGCAGAAGAAAAACACAACAAAAGCGCAGCAAAACGGGCACGCAATTCCAATCTTGTAATAGCAGTAGCTATATCCTGCAAATCTTGTGGTGAAAGCGGACACTCATCTGCGAGAAGTAAGCAATGCAGCCATCATAATTTCACAATACAAGAAACTATCGAAAACAAAATTGGCCTTAATCATCAAAGATACACAGTGTCTATACCACTTCGATCATTTTTGCCCACATCTGATGATGATGCGTTTAATAACACCCTCAACAAAATCAAGAGTTTATCTATGTTTCTGAGAAATGTGATTTATAGAGCACAGTTTTTTATAAATTACTATATTCTCAGGTACTCAGCAGACTTGCCAAACGAGTTTTTCCAACAAAACTTTTGGTATTCTTTATGTCGGCTTATAAATGAGAATATGTCAATTGAAAGCTTTAAGCAGAAGTACATTTAGCATATTCCTCATCTGGAAGAAATATGGACGGAACTCAGCGGCCTTGAAGGTGTAAGCATGTTTGTCAAAAAAGAAGGTCTTACCAATTATGGTCAAGTACTAGCGTCCGCATGTGAAAATGTTGCAACTTGCTACAACAACTTTTACATAGAAAATTTTGAAAACATTGTCAGTAACTATTTCATATATATGATCCGTGCTGAATTTCAGGTAAAAGAAAATTTTATATTGTACCTACAAAAGGTTGTTATTAACAATACATAGGACTTGAGAATACCTTATATCAAATCTATTGTGTACGGTCATATATTAGAAATATTGTTTAACGTGCAACCATCAACTTTGCCGGAAAACATTGGGAGTTCTGTGAATAAAGAAACGCAAGACGAAATTCGAAATTTCTAAACCCTATGATTGTAGAAATCAAAAATCGCTTATCACCAGCTCCTATCACAAAAGCGACATTAAATAAGGCCCCTTTCGATATAATGCCAGTTTCAAGACATATATTGTCTAAATACGAATCAATGATTGAAACGAACCAGGAAGTAACAACATCGATGCAACTACCATTGACTTTACCACAACAGTCCGATTTATTGCAACAAACTGAGGATTCAAATCAGTCACGGAAAAGGCCTAAAAAGAAGAAATCATCAATAGAGAATAAGATCTCAAATGCGCATAATGATAAAGAGAAACGATTCCAACCACCAAGGCTGTTCAGTTTATTTCCGAATCCAAGCATAAAATGGCGATTTATCAAAATTGATAATCAAAACCTACATGGGATTTTTGGAAGGAGAATTCGCCAAGTATAAGAGGAGACATCTTTTTCTGTCACACAAAGATCTTTCTTTAAATGCTTTGACTTCAGAAAATTGAAAATAAACAGGTAAGCTTGCAACATTTTTTTTTTGAACAGTACGCAACTTCCTTTAACATGAACAGTCTGGCTGAATTACAATCACTGCATGAGAAGAGTCGAATGTTTTTGAACAGCTTTTATACCGATGGTTATACATGTAGAGTCTCTTTTTGTAAAAAACAAAAACCTGTTTCAACTTTGGAAAATGTCACTCTGACCTTGAACAACTTCAATAGCGAAGAGATCAAACAATATTTCAGGCTATGTACAGTCGATCCTAATAGGAAGGATGTTTTTACATCATACCATGTCGAGAATGATGTAAGACGCATCTCTAGCTCTGAGTATTACAATATGAACGGAATCATCAATCGTCAAAGACAAGAACTAGAAAGAAAGAAAAGTAACAACATCGAATATATTGAAACCAGAATCCCTTCCCCAAAAACAACTGGGGCTGAAAACTATAAAAGGCACATAACATATATGCTCCAACACTTTAAAGCCTTAGTCACTTTTTATGACTTCCAAACTGCTAGAATACGGTGGTCCAACTATTTCGGGAAACAAAAGGCTACGGATCATGCTATCAGTGTTTTGATTAACGGTTCCACAAAATACAACAAAAACAGGAGAAAAAACACTAGACGGAAGAAACGTAAAAGACGAAAATTAAACAGCAGATATAAGCGAGATCTTTCCAACACCAAGCAGTCAAAAAAATGAAGACAAGCGGCGAGGTAAAACTGCTTTTTATTTCTTTCTAGAAGCATTAATCATTTTATTCTTTTAAAGGGCATTTAAGGAAAAATTTAAAGAAGGAGATAAAAGCAAAATGCCAATGATTATATTCGGAGATGGGTTAAAAAACAAGTCGCATGTCCGATTTAAAGGACCAAGACATGGAGTAATCGATAAGTTGTACAGACAGCTAAAGCGGCGTGAGAATTTGGGTGAATTGTTACTGCTTGATATCGACGAGTACAACACTTCCAAGGTGAAGTAAATATATGCTCATTTTGCAAAAGTATTAATAACAAAGCTCTTTTTTTTGTAGACGTGCAATGGCTGTCTCGTGAAGAACTTGGAGAATCTGAAGTGTGGTGATCACAAAATCCATCAGATATTAAACTGCAACAATTGTAATATCCTTTGGAACAGAGACGTCTTAGCATCGAAGAATATGTTTACTAGTGCTAGCTCCATTTGGAATGGTAATGGTTCACCAAGTGTCTTTCAAAGACAAGCGCCACCTCCAATGTGGTTGCTGCACCGTCATCGAAGACAGCTTAAAGATAACTGCAGGTAAAACAAATTATCTCTTCTAAACTTGTCTGAAAACTGATTTCATTTATGTCTGAATTTCCATTCTATTTCGTTTGAAAAAGGTAAGTCAATGTCCGAAAGTAAGTTTTATTCGTCTGAAAAAAAACTAACACTGTCTGAATTTAAAGTGTGAAAACTGTACGAAACAAAACCTGTCAATGACATTGGTTTTAAGATTCATCTAGCATGTCAATACCAGGGATATGATGCTTTATAGGGTGTAATAAAAGGAGCATTATAAAACACGAAAAAAGATTTTTTTATTTATGATTACAACTTATTACCAACTACTGGTTTTTCAGAGGCTCTCCTTATGTCATTGTTAAACCATACCTTTCACATTCTACTTAAGGATTTACTTCTCTACATTAATGTATTAGCCAACCCTTCATCCTTTGCATCGAGCTTTTTTATGACCTCTCCCAAAGGATGGTTATGTTTAAGATGACTATATTAAATTCTACATGATTTTCCAGCTGCTCCGTATCTTTATAAACGTAAACAACCCTAGTCCGGCCAGCTCTTCCGGTAATTATGCTACGTTGTCGTAAACTGTTCCTTAGCCATTTATTTGTAGCGTCCCCTTTTCATCATATAAATTGAATTTACCTTCTCCCTGTTGGCTGCTCGACATCTGCTAAAATATCTTCTATACAACTTATCGCTTTTAACAGCTTAACAAGGATATTGTCAGCATTGCAATAAAAACTGTATTTCTAGTCTAGAGTTCACCTTGTAAATAAACGGGAAATCCCGCATCAAACGTAATCTTTAACTTGACTACTACATTATTGAAAGGCTTTACCTCAGCAAAAAAAGTAACAGGCCGTATCGCTTTGTCAGATGTTAACTGCGATATTTTTAGCAGCAATACTTTGTTATTCAATTTTTCATTAAGGCTGGACTGCTTTTCAAAGACTTCCTCAACCTGTTCATAAATAGCTGGTTTTTAATCAGAAACTGTGGTGCACGGATTGATTATTTCGCAAAAGATAGGAAAATGGTTCTCAATATAATTAGCTTTCCTTCCTTTCCATCCCAAAGAACCAACTTATGGATTTGCTTTGCCATCACAGACTTATTCTTTGTATTGCAAAAGTCATGTCTTAAACTGTAATAATAGTATTCTTTTTACCCATGACAGAATCAATGCTTACGATTTTCTTATGCATTTTAAGAAATTCACGACCAACATGAATCACTGCCATGTAACGAGACATTACAACTTTTTTATGGTCTACCTGCGAACTACGAATAATAGTATCTAAACACAACAAGTTGGCGATAAGGATGGATGTTTTTGCTGGATCAAGTTCAGGTCGTTTTACCAAAAAGCTATTCTCATTCTTCCACACCGGTATGCCATTCCCTCAGTCTACGATTAGGTGGATTAAAACACAAATACATTCTACACACGAGCAATAAGATACCCATTAGTTTTCCCATGAAGGCTTGCATTGGGCAAACAAAATTTAAACAAATCTGCAGACGAGGATATTAAAATGACCAGCAAAAAAGAGAGATTGAAGGATAGACGTTTAAAAGAGTTGTGCGCAAGAGGTTATCAAATCTGAATATGTAGACATGATTGTGATCAAAATAATGTGGCGGAGACAACTGGAATCGAGGATATGGAATCGAACGTCTTACTAAAGGTGCTTTTAGAGTTTGTTAAAGATCAATACGATGAAGATCAAGTCTAAAAAGGACAGGATATACACCTATCAGAATAATACTTAAGAGGCATATAGATAATTACGACATAATTGAGGATCAATTTTAAAAACGCTTCGACTGACTATTTGGATTTACCATCTGACGACGAGGGGATTCACTGTTATTACTTAATCAATCTTTCACTCGGAATGACCGTATTACAAGCCCAACTATTCTGAGCCAGAAATAATCATATGTGCAAGCAGTGTGCTATCGATAGTAGCAATTATAATTACAACAGATAGCGAGATTTGGTATATATGTACTCCTAGGGGTTAGGGCAGTGTTGAAATTGGATATACGGAAAGGATACCAGGGTAGCAGTTATAGTTCGACTTGGCGGATCCTCGAGTCTAGGGGTACAGGTATCATAATCTTTATGAAATGAATCGAGATTATAGTACTTTTGTGGGGACTAGCAGAATAACACGAAAACAGCAATGCTGGCAATCATTCTTATCACGGCCTATGAATGACATGAAAAAAAAAAGAGATTGAAATGACAAGGATTCGGATGATGAAATTAAAACTATAAAGTATCAACGATTTGGAATCCCTGCTTTTGCAAGATGTGTTCTCGTTTGTTGTATACAGTCTGATAATTATGCTATAGATATTTAAAAAAAATCGATGGTGGGGTTAAAGCAAATATAAATAATTGGAACACAATGGGTTTCTATAAGATGTTTCTTTTTTTTTTTCTTGGAGTCTTTCATTATTTCACAAACAGTTTACAATTAAAATTAAGTTATTTTTCCGAATCATCATTTTAAATGTTTAGTTTCCCCAATCCATGTGACATTATCTTTTAATCAGATTACAAACATATGCGACTTCTTATTTTTAAGCCTGTTTTCTAAAGACTGTTTTTTCTGTTGTACCATCTACTTACAAAACACAGCATTTAATAATTTATTGGATAATTTTAAGTGGTCAAGTACATTGTGCTATTGCATTTTATGTTATTTTGGTCATGTCCCCACCGAGTCACCTAAATAGTGCATTAGAAACAGAAATATGGGATTTTTAAATCCCTTTTTTATTTACCTTTACAGCTGCAGTTCCCTTTCTTTTTTTTTATATCTGCGTCATATGTACCTGATATATATATATATATATATATATATATATATTTACTCGAATGAAATTACATAGCTCTGATGGAATTGATAATATCAATGAAAAAACAATGGCTACTTCATCCAATATAAGCTTCTTGAGAAGCACATTCATTCTGATCCCAGCAAGGGACAAGGTGGTTTTGTGTGATAAAAATCCAGAAGGTTTGATCCCGACTGATGGCGTGCTCTTAATATTAAGTCACACTTGCCACTTGAAAATAAAATAATAAACACGTCGTATGCATGTCTCACTTTCTTCTTCCTTAAGATCTAGAAGTAATCTTACTGCTGGAATGCTTTGCGATTAGCAAAAAACTAAGTTGACACAACGATACAAAGCTTGGAATTCAGTTATGATCTCACCATCTCGACCTTGCTCAACCGTTTATAGTCCTTTCTCTAGTCTTTATCGAGTCTGTAATAACTTGACTAGGTTTAAAAATGAAATTGAGAATGTTCTTTATAAACACAAAATTTATCCTCTTTATTTCTAGTCGTATAACTCCAGCTGTTGTGACTAACTGACCACAAGAATGCCTTACTCACTGTAAAAGACTATTATATAATGAGTTTCAATTTTTTGCGTTATAGATCGCCTATATTCACCAAATAAAAAATGCGAGGGAGGGGGGACTATCGACGAAATAATATGGCTTACAATTTGTATTTGCAGGCAATTAAGGCCCCTTTGCTGGTGACATTCTGGTCTTACCTACATTGTGGAATCAAACTCGTCTTGTATGCTGTCATTTCTGGACCAGTTTCGTAAAGGTCTTATATAAATGTAGCAACCGGAACTTATGAGTGTTTGTGATTCTGACAAAATCAAGTGAAGAAGAATAGTGGTATATTTCGGTAACATCCCATTTTATCAATGAGCATGTGATTCATGCACATTTTTTTTTATCTTTTATCGTCATTTCTCATACGATATCTGTATTTTTTTTTGTAAATCTTTCTTTCTTTACTTCGACCAACAATGAATTTATGTCTTTTGTGTTTTTGTCATAATTTTTCTCTTTTAAAACTAACAAACGTAACATTCAATGGGTTCCGGTTGTAAAAAAAATCAAGCAACGGTAGTGAGCAATATATCTAAAGATGTTCTTCAACGGCTACCCCTTTTACCAGTGAGTACCACATTTTTTATCTCCCCATCCCGCTTTCTTTTTTCTTTTTCTTTTTTATTTAGTTACTGCGAAAGAGATAAACATATTTTTTTTGCAATACAAATCATGTAGGCATACCTCTTTTTTCTTCTGTTATTATCAATGCAAACCATCGCCTTATTTAATTCTCAAAGTAAACGTATAACTATTCTTTCGGATCTTGACACAGTAGACAACAAATATTTTCTTGCGTTAAAATAATGAGTAATAACTTGTTTTCAATACTTCATCTCACTTTACTGCAGCACAATATACTGTAAACTTTCTTAAATCGTTTGCTAATGATCAGCCTCTTAAATCGTTATAACATTATTCTAATTGTGGTTGGTTTTTCTTTAAATAAGCTTTGTTAATTAGAAAAGTTGACAGACACAGTTACTTTTTTTTTAATTCCAAAACGAGGCATTTCTAACAATCTTCATTCAATAGTAAAGCTTCGTTTACAAATAACAAGAATTATAATTGAAAAGCTTCATTGATTGCACACAACGTTTTTCGTATGTCTTGCTGTGGAAACACTATTGTTAAGATCGAAAGCGATTGTTTAATTTTCTTTACGTTGTAAAAACAGAAAAAAAAAAGTTAAAAAAAAAGTAGGAAAGTATGATGAGAAAAGTGTTTAAAAATAGGAAGGAAAGTATGATGAAAAAAAAAAGTTTAATCAAAAAGGAAAGTGATAAAAAAAAGTGTGATAAAAGAAAAAATGTACTTAAAAAGGAAGGTGCGATAAAAAAAAAGTCTGATTAAAAAAGGAATTGTGATTATAAAAAAACCCAGACATAAAGAAAAAAATTAAACACCAAAATACATGAAGGAATTGCCAAAAACCAAAAAATGGAGTAGGTCCGACTTTCACTTTTTCGTGTTTTGCCTACGTTTCCCTACAAAACACTTTTAAAAATTTCAAAACTGTTTTTTTAAAAAGGACCTACTCCAAAAAAGTGAAATTTGGATGACCTCCCAATGCTCCAAAGGTACAGGGCAACAAGTAATATTTTGACTAAATTGAAAAAATATTTGCCCTTGGTCGGTATCGATCCCAGTGCCTCCTATATGACAAGCATGCGTGCTGCACATTGAGCTACGATTTTAATTTAAACTCCGACGTATTTAAAAAACAATTTTATATACTTGTAAAAACAATTTTTTTTTCAAAAAAACATTCTTTCACATAGCAATCATTCCAATAAACTTTTCCACTCATTTTTAATCTGATTGCACGACAGAAAAGTATAATTTAGTAATAATAATTGCAATAAAAAATGAAAATTAGGCAGAAAAAGTATTTGAGAGCAATGATAACTACTATACGCTACATATGTTTTTACCAAGTAACATACTTGTACATATGCACATCAACTAGCGCTTTTTAAAGATATAAGAGACTTTAGGGGATTAATTTTCACTGTACTAATAAGTAAATTTCACGATTTTGAAATCCGATGTTGCACAAGATAGTGTAAGTTTTCATCAATTTTTACACTATTAGTGAAAACGCTTTCACTAATCTGTCTTTGAAATAAGCCAATTGTAACTGTTAATATTACATTATTTTAGCACCGATTTTTGCATTATTATGAGTCTATGATTTCATGATTTTAGTTGTCTTTTCTTACTTTTATCATTTAATAAACATAAAACATGTCCCAACAAAGCACAGAACCTAACAATTTCGGCTACAGCAGTAGCAACAGTAACAAAGACAACAATATAAACAGCAATAATGATAGCAACAATGACAGCAACATCAATTTTATTCAAGACGGTAAATTGACTGGGTCGAAGTCTACTGAGAAACGTGGTCAATGGTCAGAAAGTAGAAAATTGGCAGCCGTTGAGGCCAGCATATCTCATCGTCCTTTTGACAAGAAAAAAAACAATGTGACAGTAGCATGGGATTTAGTTCTCCAAGAAGTCAACAAAGTAGACCCTCATTTGAGGTCTCTTGGTTTGACTTCATTAAGAAACTATTTGAAGAAAGCAAGAAAAGAAATAATAGAAAAGAAAAATGCGGATCGACTTGCCAGTGGTACAAATGATTCTGAAACGACTCTCGAGAATCGACTGAGCTCAATGGATGATGAGGTAACTAATTTAAAAATTTGATATACTACAAGGTTTTAATGATTTCCATCGATTAAACTTAAGATGACTGAAGTCGAGACGAACAAGGATGAAGAAGATGCTCAGGCCAGCTCTGCCCGCATAAAAAAAAGAGAAGCCCAGGCAGAGTTATGCTCTCAATCGTTAAAAGGAGTGAACAAAAAAATAAAGGCAACTCAACGTGAGATTAAAGAAAAGCACCCACAGATATCTCAGCAGCCAGAGGCAAGAGAGGAGATGTATGTGATCGAAGACGATAACAACAAGATGGAACGTCCCACACAACAAAAACATTTTGATAGAAAGCGTGCAGTAGAGGAAGCACGAAAGAATGAGTATGCTTTTGCTTTGGCTGAATCGGAAAAGCAGATACAATACCAGCGTGCTTTTTTGAGCGATGTTAAAAGATTGATCAACAAAGGCAAAGAGGAGACAATTGCGGCTGTAGAGGCAAGCCAAAAGAAATTTGCAGATGACATCAAGATAAATCAAAAGATCTTTGAAGATAACTTGTTGACATCTGTAAATAAAGCAATATCGTCTCAAGCCAACGCTCAGCAATACCCTCCGCAGGTTGTCTATCCTTACCCCCCAAAACCACCTCAACAAATACCTCAAAAAATGTATCAATTTAAACAAAACGACTCAAAATAAATTTATTAAATATTAGTTATACTGTCGATATATTGTTGTAACGTAGGAGGTGATAGTCCAAAGTAAAAGCTAGGTTTGATTTCCATTATTAATACAGGTATGTATATTTTTCAAAAGGGTTGAAACAACATAGAACATTCCAACGCGACTTAGAAACACCTTTTGTCCTGGTCTATATCTGACGAAAGCAAACAGAGTTGCGACATGCCCAAACTCCCACTCCACACATTCCCTGACTGAGGACATCATTTCGTTTGTTGTACGTTGATTATCTGTTAGAGCCAAACCAGTCAAAAAAGGTCTAATAAGGCAAGATGATGGCCGATATGCGGGATCACCATACAGAGCGTAGAATTTATCGCCAATATCTTCACAGTCCAAGATTTCATCCAATTCGCTAATGATATCTGAGCTATCCAACATGTTCATGTCATGAATCGCCCCAGCAAATGGTCCACACAAGCTAACAGTGATACCGTCAGGAGTTACAACTGCTTGGTATTTCAACCCGTGCCCTCTCACATGACCGTTGTATACACTACCTTGATTTTCACCAGGTCTACACACAGCATTCAAAGTTCCATCTATAAATCCAACGACCTCAGTATAAGGCGAACCTTTCTGGATGATAGCTTCGCTGAATCGTCTCAAGTTGTAAGGTCGCAAATGATTTCTTGTAAGACGTATACCTTCGTTGTACTTCGAATACAATAATACAATCATTTCATTGAATATCGTACAAATAGTCGAGTAGCTTATACCAAAAAGGAGTTCAAGATCAATCAGTCGAGACGGATAGGCAAGTCTATGAAGCATGATAGCAAATGCCTCGATGGTATCCCAATAAAATTGTTGGGATGTATTTGCACGACAGGTAATCCTCTCAGTAAGATGCATGCTGATCACTACAGATTGTATTTGCTGATACGTAAATCTAAATAGATGGATACTCATCTCGTCAGTGAGGGACTGGATATCTAGACGTTGACCATCATTGTACATCGTGGATGGCATATCTTCCTCGAAACCGTCCTCGAAATCGTCCTCATATTCGTCCTCATATTCGTCTTCGAATTCTTCTAGAGTCTGCTCCTCCACTTCACGTAGCCGGTTGTAGGCACTGGTTAAATTATTTCTCCACATGTTAATGATATATTCAGACATTTTTATGTATTGTTTTAAAGATTATTTGAGAAGAAAAAAAGAGTAATGCCATGAGTTCATGTTATCATTATATTTAAGTCGCAGATTCATAAATATCTGACGTTATTGGATTATATGTTACGCTTTATTAGGAAAGTGCAAATCTACGATGACATCAATATTTATTACCAAAAAAAAAAAGTGTAAAAATTAGTGAAAATCTAGTCCCCTAAAGTCTCTAATAGAGTCCTTGAAAAATAATAACCGATAGGTTAGCATTTTGAGTGAACTTTATATTTTAATCGTTCTAAAAGGGTCATTAAAAAGCAACGTCATGGATTTTGGAAAAAGCTTTCTTTTGGAAGGCTGAAGTAACCTTTCACAAAAAAAAAATGAAAAAAAAAAATAATAAAGTCCTTAATCGGGATCTTTAAAAAAATAATTTTGTTGCCTGTGAGCGCCCTAAAAATCCGACTTTTAAGTTCTAAAAATGTCCGTTTTAACGAAAATTGTTCGTTGTAAAACAGATGCACTGTAACTTAAAAAATAAAATAAACTATGGAAAGGGGGCAAAAGAAAAAATAAAAAAATAAAAAATGAAATCCGGTCCGGACATTTTAGCAATTGGAGAAAACATCAATTTTAATCATCCATAACAAGCCATTTAAAAAGCATCGTGACGAATTTCTGAGAAAATACATCTTTTTGGAATCTGAGGTAACTTTTCACCAAAAAAAAAAATGGACACCGAAAAAAAAGTCCTATATTTGGACCATTAAACTTTTTTTTTGTGTGCTTGTGAGGGGCCAAGGTGTTGACATTTTTCCCAACATTCTTCCAGTTGGCAATCTTTTCTTTATCGAAACGACCCACTATTGTAAAAGTTAGTTCTATTTTATTTTTATTTTCATTTTTTATTTTATCTATCATTGCCTCATTCAACTTCGAGTGACAGTAGAGCATCTTGGCCATTTCAAACAGGAGGAACAATTGGTGGTAGCAGGCGTATTGGATTACGTTACCCCAATTGCCCATCAACAAGCCATTCTGCTTGTATACATCCAACTTCTCCAAGAAGCTGACCATGTGTTCTTGCTTAGAGTTCCTTTCAAGCTGGAAGGTGGGAGCAGGCATTCTAACAAGATGAGACTCATTTGAAAGAAGATTTATCGTCTTCCGTAAGTCCTCCAACCTTTCTTTCTTCTTCTGCTCCTTCAACTCTTTCCCCCTCTTCTCCTTTTCCTCCTCCTTGATTATTTCCCTCTCCAACTCTGAGACGGACTCTTCCTCATCTGCGTTCCGAAGAGGTTCCTCCTCCTCCAACTCCGAGTGGGACTCCTCCTCATCCCAGTTCTGAAGAGGTTCCTCTTCCGAGTCCTCCTCAGAACTGGGTTCGTCCCTGCGAGCCCTCTTGGCAGGAACCACCCTTCCAGGTCTCTCATCTAGATAAACGATTGTTAATGTATGTGAAGAGAATGGCTTCTAAATTAATACGCACCGACTCAACCATCGTCCCAAAGTTTAGCCATTCTGAGGGCATTCTTCACAATTTGAAGATTGTCTTTGGGATCTACAATATATAGTTAGGAAATTTTTAATGACAAGTTTTCTTGATATCCTTCAAGATATCGGCCAAATAGATAGTAGTTTTTTCCATTGTATTTTAAAAAATTTGAGAAAGGCGAAACAACCTCCGGCCGGTTTGTAGCGGTGATATACTAGAAAAACTTCTATGGTGACTGGAAACCAAATAATGGTATCCTCAGTTTTGTACCATAAAAAAAGCAGAGAGAGCTGGTCACCGTGTTTTTGTCCCACTTGTGGGCTTGAATTCAGATATGAATGTTTCCATGATGACTGTAGGATGGAGTGAGAGGAAATATTCGTCAAAACCTGATTAAACCTTTACAATTAATGATAGATCCCTGATACTGGCTGGAATAGGATCATAAAATAAATGCAACCGCGTCCAGACAATTAATATGCTTCCCTAGTAGTCGCGCGTAGCTTAAAATCCGTAAAAGTTGTAAACCAAACAGTGTTTTGTGCGCCCTGAAAAATAATGAGTGAATCTCGTACTCAATTTGGCGCCACCATCATGATAAAACTATTGTTCATTTCCTTATTAAAGTAAAGTAAGAGGGAAAATGGTGGTCTCTTCTTAGTTAAACATTAACTTTTTTTTTTGTTCATTTCAAGATATTATCTGGAAGCGAAAAACTCTTATTTAATCGAAAACTATATTTCAAAAGCTCCTGCTAAAGAAGCTCTTAAACTTAACAAAATAAAATTTATAGTAATATAATAAGCTACCCATGAGATCCTTAGAGAATGATAACGCGTATATTTATCAATGCAGCTTTTTGTTAGATTAAAAGAGTTTGGGCTTGTAAAACGAAGAATACAAACAAACCAGATACATACCAACTAATTTATTGCCCGACTGTTGTAAGGGATGCTTAAATAAAGGTAGTATGTATACACAGAGCTTTATTTTTTTTAAAAACTATGTCAATAATTGCGAAAAGGTATTATGTTATTAGGCGCCAAAATGAGCGTATTTCCGATTTTCTTTCTATTTAAACACCTCAGTTCTGCCCCGACGGATTTACACATTTTTTTTCACACATTCGGTAAAATAATCCAGAACCAATGAAATGCATCTGTCATTTTGCCCCTGAATACACTTTTAAGAACGACATTCATTTTTGAAAATCTGATCCAATGAAGTTGTTCCTGATTTCGTAACTTCATAATGAGTTATATAGTAACATGAATTACGTTGTAGTTATGACAAAAGAAAAGGTGAATTGAACATGACATATTACAGGGCAATAACATAGTTGAGTTACGAAGGACGTTGCTTCTTCTGTTAAAGGCGAAAGTGACCGCAAAGATGAGGAAGGTATTGTGCTTTGACAAGAGCATACTCCTGCTTTGTTAGAAGCAAAAACAACAACGAATCGTTATGAGAAGAACTTTGAAATTGTTTTACTATGAATACAAAAAATTAAAGCATGATATTTCGTGTTTTTAAAACTCAATATGTGTGAAAAAGTGAAGAAAACGAAAAAAAAAACTCGACTCCTCCACTATTTTTTCATGAAAAATTTCGTGTTTTTGATTAAAAGTCAGAATGTGTATAAAAAAAATGTGTAAATCCGTCGGGGCAGAACTAAAATCCCTTATTGCCTTTTGAGGCTTGCACTTGTCAAAACTACCTCTTTTACCTGATTCCCATCTTTGATCTTATCCATGGATATGTGGCCTTTTAATGGTACAGTCACCCAATTTCCATTCATGAATTTCTTTAATATCAGTGACGGACCATATACCCATTACTTTAAACAGACCAACAAAACTTTTGTCTACAAACTTCCCACCTTTGTTATTTTTTTTTCAATCTTTTTGATAAGATGCAAAAATCGCAGGATGTATATATGTTAGAAGACATGTTTTTCTTTCGTTCGAATACTTAGGTTGCTATAGTTACTCGAGATACCGACCATCATAAACTCGATATTAAAGATTTTTATTCCCATTTAATCTCACTTTTTTTCTCCTTCTAATTTTCGTCGATATGACGTATCTCCACTACAATAATCAACATCTTCGAAGTAAGTCCAAAAGCTCTTTGGTAACTTCATTCACTACAGTGCTGGTGTCAGGAACGAGGGAGGAACGAGACAGGCAGGACAGGACAGAGAATGAATAGCTTCTTGAAGCAGGTTATTTATTTAAGAATAAAAGGGAAAAAAGAAAAGAGAAGATGATTATGAAATATATCTGATAAAGAAAACTGGGAGAAGTGAAATTTATCAGCTATATTTATAGAGAAAGGAAAACAAGAAATTAAATAAAAGAATAAGCAATGACAAAAGTTAGTCATAGCTTATGTGGATCATGACAAAGGATTTAAAGAGCTGACAGATCAATGATGAATATTGAGTCTGAAAGCTGGTTACTCATATTGCATATTTGGGGCATAAAATGTAACAGGATCATGACAGCTGGCTGTAATGTTGTTGTATGAGCATCTATTAATTAAAAGCTAGTATAAGCATGATATAACAACTAATAAAATACGTTTTGGTGTACATCATTACCACCTGTTAACGCAGAAAACGTATATATAACGCCAATAAGAAAATAAACTATGATAGCTATTATTATAATTATATACATTTGTGATAGAAAACACTCAATTGTTAATAGTCAATTTAGTTTGATCAATTTTTTAAAGAGTATTTCTGAAGTGATCTGAGATGAAATAGTCGATTAACGCAAGTATAAATACGAGACAGAAAAAAGATGAACTTTATTAAAAATAGGATAAAACCTGATATTTAAACCAGGCTCGGAACTTCAAATAAAGAACTCCCAAGTATATGTATATTATACTTCAACTACAACATGTATCTGCCATCATTAGGATTGAATTATCTTCTGGATACCGGAATATTTGAGTGGATGACCCTGTTTTGGGAATATTTATCAAATTGCATAATATAGTTCGCTTGTTCTTGTTGTCTCATTAAAGAACAATCAGCGAATGTCAAGAGCGGAAAGGCAGAGAGGACAAACCGAAAACGACTTGCTTACACAGACAGATTAATAAAAGATACTTATGTTATAAGAAAGAGAGAGTAAGAGAGAGAGAGTGTATAAGAAGAATAGAGGTGATACGGTAATTGGATTATATATCTGATGAAGGGAGAAGAACGAAAAGGTAAAGCCCTGTCATATTATTAGTAAAAGGATTGCATATTGGTTTCGCTTGAAAAAAAGCAATGACCAAGTTTAGTAAGTCATTACTTATTTACGACTGATTTGATGATTGATGGCTAGCCTAGAGATGTAAAAGTTGCGGGCAAAGAATTACCTAAATTAATGCATCTACGTGAAACGATCATGACAGCGAGCATAATTGAAAAACCTCCTTCTTAGTACCTTTTACCGGTACCATAAATCTTTGTCATCTAGATATGTATTTCGCTTTATGCCTTACATTTTAGTTCTTTCTAGCTGTCACATCGTATTTCGGTCCATAGAAGTTTATAAAAAAACCGGTTTTGACTATTTTACTTTGCACGAATGGGTCATTGCAATGACTTTAGAAGTATCTAACTTATTGAAATTTTTTTTTGGTTTTTATTTGGCACTATTACTGGGTTCGAACTTTATTACCAGTTGTCCCATCTTTTAAGCATTTCCGTTTTATTCAATTAATTTAATTAAGTCCATCGCCGAAGGCTAAAAAATTATTTTAAGTTATGCACATTTAACAAAATCGACTAGTTTCAAAATTTTAAATTTATTATAAAACCGAAAAGCATAAAGAAACTAACAATCCTGACTTGGAAATATATTTGTCATAGAGAGACGAACTTCATAGCAAAAAATATTTAAATAAAAGGCATAATAAAAGGGCATAAAAATGATTAACGGCATAAAATTAAAAAATGCGTAGAAGAATGTAAAATATAAAAATAGTGATAAATAAAAAATTAACTTAGACCTGTATAATTTGGTCATTTACCAATTGCGACGACGCTTAATCGGGGAATAACCCTTAGGTTCTCCAACGGAGACATTCGGTTCCTCATTTAAAAATCTGACATTGGCACTGATGGGAGGAAGGGGGTTGGATTCAAGTAATTCACAGACCGATTGGATATCGACGGAATATTTGCGAACGAAGTTAAATACTGACATGTTTAATTCTTCAAATGCTAAATCAAATCGGGATTTCTTACGAACCGAAAGATTACCTTCCTGTCTTTTATACAATCTAGATTTTGTTGAGGTGGGCAGATATTTACAGGCAAGAAGACACCCAACTATTAATAAGGAATGAAAATGAGATAGGACGTTGTAACCAATAAATGGGTTTTCAAATAATTCCAGATACCAGGCCCTGGTTTCAAAAGACTTCTAGTTTACGTCTATACCTTATCCATCCATGTACGCAGCCAGTTCATTCTTAAAGTCCGCAGGTGTACAGCTGTCTCTATGCGGCAATGGGAGAAGAAAATACGTTCGCTCTGTAATACACATTGGTTCAGCCACTGGCTTAGCATCAACCTTGGAAAGAAAAGCCTTGGATGGAACATTGGAGAAACCAAGTACGTCAAGATAGCAATCACCATCCTTCAAAAAAGTTATATATTTGGCCCCGAATTGCTCCAAGAAATAGGCGGCAAACTTTGTCCCGAAACCGTACTGCATTAGACCTTGATATACACATTTTTGACAGTTGCAATATCGGAAATATCATACAAAATAGAGGACAATGATCAAAAGCTTTTTCTATTGGTATCACGGAGTCAGTGATCAATTCGGAATACGCCTGAAGAGTAGGACAAGTGACGGGAGCAAGAGGAAAAGTATTGGACCTTGTCGAAAGTAATCCTTCTAAGGCTGTCTCGGTATTGTTGAACAAATCATAAAAAGCTTCCGGCACGTTAGTACCTCTTACATAACCATCCTGGAATCGACTCGACATGTATTCTTCGGTGGAATCAAAAATCACTGCACCGGGAAATGCCTGTTGAATACTAGTGGAATCGAATGTGTGCCCAAACATGACTCTGTCGCCATCGACAGCAAACGCACCAGGCAAAAAACACAACCTGTTTTTATCACATCTGCTTGATGATACGAAATTTGAAGAGTCGGTTAAAGATTGATCAGAATGCATCAAGTTATTTAGCATGTACGCGGAGAGATACAACCCGGAGAACGACTGCAACAAAACGGAACCAAGACATTTTTCTGCCAAGTAACTTAGAAGATTTGCCATGAGACCAACGTACTGAAGGTAAATTGCCGAATCTATATGGATGAAGGCTTCATCAGCAAGAGAAGACCTATCATTAAAAGCAGAATAATTAATAAAGTATCTAAAAGGAGTTGCCTGTAGAAAAACTTACTTCAACATTGCGACCAAGACGTCGACGTAAGCCGTAGTAGCTGAAATCGCCGGGAGACGAATCTCCAAACGAGTAGTAAACTGGTGGCCTTGGTATTCGGAAACACGGGCATTATACCATCTCTATTACAATTTTTGAAGTAAATATATGGGAAAATTTATATTAAATGTATTGCATACCATGTTCTTTAAATGATGACCATCTTGATGACGAAACGTATTTCTCATTTCCTCGGGTATCCATGGGCCGGACACCTTTCCGTTTACACCAGGATTGGACATCGTGAACGGATACTTGATATCATTATATACCATTACTTTCGAAGGCGTTAAAAAACTACCGGAACGACCTTTCCCCGAGAAGCCACCAAAAGAACCCAAAGACATTCCATAAAAATCGGTCTTTATGGATCGACCTCCAAAACGTTTTCCCATAGCTTCGACATTTTCCTATTTTACATACGATACTAATGGTTAGCCATCCCCGGATTGGGCAAAGAGATTCAAGCCAATGTCGACAAGGCATCTTTGAGGGTCAAGTTGAGACCAGTCGACCATGGTATCAAGAATGGACGTGTAATCCGGACCATACATTGGGCTTTTAAACCCGAAAGAAGAAACCACAAAAACAAAATGACGATATGGGGCCAAATCCGCACTCTCCTTTGCAATATCACGCATAGACTTGACTAAGAGCTTAAGCTCCGAACCAAGCAAAAATTTGGGCACCGTCATATGAAATCCAGTACCAATGGCTTCGCCATAAGATCCATCAGATCGATTTGCACGAGAACAAATCAGAACACGTCGAATGGCCGGAATTAGGAGGCGGTCGGTGAACGTCTTTTGAGCGGCGGTACCCAACATTCTTCTTGAACTTTTCACACCAAGCTTCAGTTTTCTTCATGTTAGGAGAAGAGGACATGAATGTGCATGTATGCTTCCGAAAAGGCCTCCAAAAGCAAATTGTGCGGGTAATTCTTGACAGAGTCCCTCTCACCACAAAACGTGAAGTACCCGAAGTCCAGAGGAGTCAATGCTTGCTTCCAATTGGGGCTTAAAGACAGTTTCAAAAGAGTTTTAGGCATGATTGTCAGCTCCTTCAATGGGTACGAAATGAAAGCATCGCTGTTGACTTTGCAAAGGTAGGACTATCACAATCAGTCTCCAAATCGACAATAATGTTTCTTAAAACTGACTACAGTACCCCAGGAATGAATCCCGCAGTAATATATTTGTAACATTTTTAAAGACGTGTTTAGAAATAGCATATTTTCAATATGATGATGTAACTTGTTACGGAGAACAATATTAGGCCCGGAATTTTTGTTTCGATTCTGATCTAGACGAGATATATACAATGTAACAAAATAATATAAAACCAAAAACGCTTATAGTCAAGGCGTTTTTTTACATAGTATGAAGTAAATTTCTAAGCTGAAAAACTTTAAACTGATATATTTTGCTCTAAAAGCAAATGCCACCGGATATTGGTCAATCTTTGCTAAAGATATAATGTTACAAATTGTTACAAATACAAAAATGGCCGTACTAAAGCTGCAATTACAGATTTTTGAACGTAAATGAACGCGCTGAACAACATTAGACTGATATTTTGCTCTTAAATCAGATCCCGAAGAAATAAGGATCAATGTTTGCAAAATATACAATGTTAAAAATCGTAACAAATAAAAACCATCTTATACCGAAGCCAAATTTTCAAAAAAAAATATGACGTAAATTTAAACGTACACGAACATTAAGCTGCGACATTTTGTTCTAAAATGTAATCCAAACGGTACATTGATCATTTTGTTTTTGACTATTTGTTATATTGACAGACAACAAAAATCAAAGTACCCGGCCATCTTTGTTATAGAATGTTTACTATTTAAAAATTACAGTACATACTTTAAGCTGTACATACCAAATACTAATCGAAATATATATAGGGTGATCATGTATTTACAAAGTAGTGGTAACATTATTGAAAATACCACAGCACGTGAAACATAACGGTTTGGAACAAGAAAAGTAGTAAAATAATCTTGAAATAATTTTAGCAAACGGTAAAGACTGTTGGCATTGAACATTAGAGAAACTAAAGATGAATTGTTATGATATTCACGAGAGTACCTTAAGAAATAAACAAAAAAAATAAAAGTTTCGTTTAATAATATTATCTGACACACTTTTGTAGCAATCAATATTATGCAGATAGTTAAATGAACGTCTCCCAATCTGCTCTTTAAAGAATTTAAAATAAATACAAGAGAGCAAAGTACATAAACCCAAAAATACTTATGGAAAAATAAGTAAAATTGGACTGACACAGTGATTGGCATTGTTATAACAGTTCTAGCATTATATAAGGTGTTCAATTAGGAATCACTAAGAAAGTAGAACAATAATCGCCCATATAATCAGATTTTTGGCAAACAAATGCGAAAGTTACAGAACAATTGTTCTTTATACCATAAGTTCAAACAAGGGTTCGAAATAATTTTAGCATAGACTGGTTCGTTTCGAATTATGACATGGAGACCTCACAGTCATTGCTGATAAACCAATTCCAAAATTGCTAAAGACAATATGAATTTAGGTAAGCATATTTTTTGGGACAAATGAAATAGTTGCGAGAATACTTGGAGCGGTCATAGTACTTGCTGGGGCAACTTTGAGTAACTTATACAAAAGAGTCACCAAATAATGAACAATCATTGGTGAAATTATTAAAAACCACAACACTTGGCAAGCCATGAAAATTACTATCACAGCAATAACTGTAGGATAATTGAAAACCTTTTTGGAGCTATACAAACATTACTTACATTAAAAAGGAAGTAAACGGAAGAAGAATTGACGCAGTAATAAACAAAACACTTTCTCAAGTATGTAAGAAAATAGAACATACAGCCCATGAATATTCTTGAAGCCGGTTTTAAATACCCCAAAGTGTATCCAATGTTTAAATAACATTTTTTACGTTACCCTTTACTATATAAAAGAAAAATACAACGATTTCGTCCCAGACGGAAAGACGTTGAAAAAAAAGGACGCATAAGACAGATATGCACAAATAATTATCAGAAATCGAAAAATATTTCTAAAGACTTGGGAATTCATTTTCTAGCTATAGAATAAATCTATTGAAGCAAGGAAACATTTAAAAAAAGTCTAGCGAGAAAAATAATCAGTTTATAAATCAAAATGCGATACAATAGGAGTACAATGTTGGGATTTATTACGGATTCTATCGAAAATAAATTGTAGCAGGTTATAAAGTGAGCAGTAACGAGATAATTAGCTAGACCAGAAGGAGATTACGCATAAGCCAAACAACTTATTGGAATTTATTAATTAAACGATCACCGAGTATAAAAACTGTCGTGAACCACGTGGTCAATACCTTAATGCATACGCGCATACATACACCCCCGCATAGATCTGCATGTGTATGCAGATCATATTTGACAGCTCATGTGACCAAACCATCAGACACCACCATGAGACCGATCACGAGCCATCATCATGGGACCACGCCTCAAGACCAAACCAACATCCGCCACCACCCTCGTCCCATGATCCGGCCACAGTACCTCGCCTCAAGACCTTCCCCAAGGCCATAATTCCAGACCCTTCACGTTAAGAAGATAGTCCTTAAGACTATCTTCCTTTTATTATAAATGCCCTAGATTATTTAGACAAGTACAGATCTTTATCTGATATCTTGTATAACATATTATTATTATATAAACTTAGCTTTACTACCTTTTCTTGTCTGTCTTCCCGCAAAACCTTATAGTCCTACCTAGTACCTAGCCTTGCCTTGTACGTATAAAGAGACCTGTCCTCGTACCTAGTAACATCCGGCTAATTCCTGAAAAATGAATATCCTCAAAGCGTGAATAATAACGAGACTCTTTCGGGATATTTCAGTCCCTCTTTTAACCAAACACAAAAATCTTATGATCATTTTGCGTTTAAATGGTTGGGGAAACAATAGATACAAACCATAAACTATCAGACGATTTATTTCAGGATCTTTTAAGTAAGTGGGGAGTTTCGGAAATTATTTTTTTGTAGTCTCTAAACACAATGCAAACAGCAAACAGAAAAAGGTACACTGCAAAACGGTTCGGCATGTAATGAATTGAATCCGTATTAAACTAAGTCACTCATAGAATAAGTAAAAAAAAAAAAAACGGCAATATCACTAAGTATTACTTTCTACGAGACTTTCAAACAACCGCAACAATGGAAATGTTAAAACAACACTTTGTACAATTCTCAAAAGAGTTTCGAAACGAAATAGGTCGATATCGTGACTATCTGAAAGAAATTGGACAAAAAAAGAAATTGGAGGTAAAGATGGAAAAGTAATTCTCAAATGCCGAAAAAAAATTTATAAACATATCAGAATAATGGTAATAACTTTGAAGTACTCTGCCCTATCTACTTAAGCCCAGAAAAAAACTCTAACACCCAAAATGGTGAAGAACCTGACAAAATTCTGAAGTCAAAATAATAAGATCATACACTCTTGTACTAAATATAAGAAAAGAAATGCGATGATATAAGTAAATGCCTGTCTAACAGTTCTGAAATGCCCCAGCGCAGCCTTTTATAAAATATAGTAAAGATTAAACATATAAAACAAAATACGAAAGGAACAAAAACTCCAATGTAATTGTTAGAAGATATTTTTTTCTTTAAAAGAAGCGTGTCTATAAACGGTATTGGTAATAATTCCATGGTACGGCAGAAAACAAAACCACCAAGCACAATGAGTCTACAATAATAAAGTAGTTAGTAAGTCTTTATGGGAAAAATACTGAGTACGGGATAATGTCTACATTGATTGGATATAGTAAATGATATATTCTAAAGAACATCTGGTACTTACTGGATTCTTTGCGCACAAGATTTAAAAAATGTTCCATTACAATTCCTAAAGTGTAAATAGACTGCGAGAATGACCTAAAACTAGTTGTTTATGACAAACACCGAAACAGATGCATAATCCGAATGGATTTCAATTAAAATAGAGAATACAGACACGGCACATAATGAGACAAAAACCCAATTGACCTAGTATGGGCCTAAGAAACTTTAAAAAAGACAAGAAAAGAATTAAAATGAAATAATACTTTCTACGACACTTTTAAATCACGAGAACTTGGCAAATTCCGGACCCATGAGATGCTTTCAGTCCAAAATAGATTTAAGGGTAACCAATTCAAAAATCTAGCTCGAGCTCAATAAAACCAGAAAAAGTCAATAATGTTTTTCATTATTATAAAAAAAACATTGTGGAAACCTCGAATAACTTTATGGACTCATGGGAACAGTGTTGATATCATAAGAATAGGCAGTAGTGTATAGACAAAAGGCACGAGTAGTCAAGGTAGAAAAAAAGATAAATTATAAAAGATTATGTCAAACAGTAGAAACATATAGCAGTTGTTGAGACTAAATAGAAAACGATCATACATAGGTATTTAAGGACTATATCTAAAAACTTCAATAACATCCTTAGCTTGACAAATTACGAGGATACGAACGATAAGATACAGGCAAAATATTAAAAACAAAAAAAAAATTTAGGACAGGATAAAATCCAAGATATCCAAGAAGCCAAAAACAACGGATCCAATACGTTCAGGATGACAAGACATCGTAGTATTCAAGAAAAAATTTATTGCCCAGACGACACAGAATTCAATTTACGCAGTAATCAAGGCAGCAAAATATGTAAGGCAACCATGTACATATGTAGTACAACAAGATTACAATGATACCAAATTGTCTACGACACTAAATAACAAAGGCAACCACGTAACTAAGACAAGCAGATGGGTAGGACAAAAAGACATATAAGACAACAAGTTGCTAAGAAAAGAAGATGTGTATAGCAACAACATATAAGACAGCATGATATCTTAGGTAACGTGATATATAAGACACGAGATATCCAAGACAACAAGATTCCTAAGAAAACAAGGTATGTAAGACAAGAAGATATCCATGACAACAAATTTTCTAAGAAACAAAATGCATAAGACCACGTTACCAAGACAAAGTATCTAAGACAACAACGTAACTAAGACAAAAAAGGAACTAACGCAACAATGTGTTTCAGACAACAACGTTATTAGGACAATAACGTGACCAAGACAACAATGTCACTAAGACAACTCGATGTTTTACACAATAATATAACTGAAACAACCAGATATGTAAGGCAACATAATATCTAGGAAAACAAAGAATCCGAGACAATATCATGTGTAAGGCAATATTACATTGAAGACAACAGGGTATTCAGGACAACCGGATATTGAAGACAATAACATATCTATGACAACCTAATTACTAGGACAACCAGATAACAATGTCAAAAATATGTCTCAGACAACATAATATCTAAGACCATTTGATAACTATGACAGCAACTTATTTTGGATTAGATGATCTCGAAGTCAACATCATATGGAAGAAACAAGATAATCAGGACCAAAATGGAACCAAGGATACCAGATAGAACAACCAGGTAGCTAAGATAACAAGATATCCAACACAACGAAATAACCATAACAACAGCATATAGACGATGACAAAGAATACAACAACACTGGATCCCAGACAACATAAAAACCATGACAACACGAAAGGGAAACATCAAAGTAACCCAGAAAGCATAATATGCGAGACAACGTCCTATCCAAACAACAAAGTTGAATCCAAGACAACCACATGAAAAGATAACAAAGAGGCCATAACAACTAATAATGACTAACAACAAATAATGTATGACAACGAAGGATAAAAGACTTTCCAGGTTTCTATGGCAATCAGATACCAAAGAAACTAAAGTCAGAAGAACATAAAACAAACAATTTTAGCAAGCAACAGGACAACACACATTACGAAGGGTAATATCAGAAAGAAGACTAAATTACCATGACAAAGAAAGAAAGAAAAAGAATATATCCCGATGACAATAAAAGAAAGATAGAGAAAATAATTTCCACGGTAATAAAGTCAAAAGACAAGACATAATTACCATGGCAATAAATTAACAAAAACGGAGAAGATGTCATAGAAATAGACCAATATTAAAGGAGATATTGCTACGGTAATGGCAAAAAAGGCAACACGATATCATGGATACTAAATAGCCAAGACAACGAAGAAGTGAAGCCGACCTATTATGGAAGACAACGGTATCCAACACAACAATGAGGCGAAGACAACCCAATACGAAAGATATCAATATCCAAGACAACAACATATTCTGGATACCAAATAACCAAGACAACAATATCCAAGACAACCAGATTTGCTGGATACCAAATAATCAAGACAACAGGATATCTTAGATACCAAATAACTAAGACAATACAGTAAGTAGGGCAAATCAATACCTATGACAGTAAGATCACTATGACAAGTAGATAACTACGACAATTAGATCACTATGAATGCTCAAGTTACTATGACTACACATACGAATATGACTACACATGCGAATATGACTACATATGCCACCAGGACTACACAGATAACTATGACTACACACGTAACTATTAAGAAGTACAACACAGTGACCACAAATATAACAATGATTACTCACATCACTATAACAACAAACGAACAAATATGACATTTATTGGACACTTCAATAACGAAGATAAAGATTACTAAGACAAAAATTACCAAGACGACAACGTAACCAAGACCATAACATAACCAAGACAACGACTAAACCCAGACAGCAAAAAAAAAAAAAAAAAAAAAAACAAGTTAGACAACATGATATCGTCGATTAAAGGTAACTATGACAACAAACAAGCGCAAACAAACTAGTATGGAAGACAACGGTATCAAAGATAATAAAGAAGCGAGGACAACGAAGTATCGAAGACAACAATATCCAAGACAACAAAACAGCGAAGCGGACCTAATATGGAATACAACGGTTTCCAAGACAACATGATGTCCTGGTTGCTACACAACTAAGACAGCAATGAAGACTAAGCAACACAATAACCTAGACAACATGATATCCTTGACATTGAGGAAAGAAGTAAAGTAAGGTAACCAAGACAACGAGATTATCATGATAATAAGAAAATAGGAATACGGAGACAAGAAATGTAACTAAGATAACGAAGAAGCGGAAGCAAAACAAAACTTAAAAGAAAAAAATATCCAAGATACCACACTCACCTAGACAACAATATATCAAAGATAAGAACGTTACCAAGACAACCAGAAAGCTAATACGATTAGATATCTATGACAACCACATATCTATGACAGCCAGACATAACGACACAAGATATCCTAGCGATCAATACCCCTAAGACAACAAGATATCCAAGCGACCAATATTCCTAAGGCAACAAGATATCCAAGCGACCAATATTCCTAAGGCAACAAGATATCCAAGGAAACAACATTCCTAAGGCAACAATATATGTGGCAATAACATATAAGTACGACAATAAGAAGGTATAGACAGTTAGATATCTATGACAGCTAGATTTCTATGATAACTAGATATCTATGAAAAACAGATTGGTAGCAAAACAAGATAACCATGACAACCAGAAAACTACGAATACAGATTACCAGGACGATTATAGTTTACTATGATGATTATTGGTTACTATGACTAATAACGAACACTATGAATAATAACGAACACCATGACTATTAATGATCAATATGACTATTAAAGAATGCTATGATGAGTAAATATTACCACGATAACCCATATCACTACGACTACACAATTAAATACATAAACAACCTGTAGACAACGACAGTGCCATTGCACACGACAATGCTGTTACCCACGACAACGATATTGCTCAGGACAACGCTGTTGCCCTCGACAACCATGTTAGCAACCCCCGATGAAATCTGGAATGAAAAAAACGCACGGCTATCCTACGTGGAAAAATGAGCTCGTTTCAACGGTACTATTTTCGATCCATAGAAATGAGAACTCATTGACTTATTTGGGTTTCAAAGTCATAAACTATGTACACTACATTATCTCTCAGCCTACGCATACCAGAGCCAATTTTGCCTGCCCATAGTACCCCGAATGAAATTTGGAATTTTTACCGAAACATAGCAAAAACTTGTCCAATTTCAAAAAATAAAGTACAACCCCCTTTGGATTGGTTGAAATGGTGTCACACTCGTTTAAAGTTGAAAATTACTATTTTAAGCAGGGGAAATATTTTTGATTGGTTTTTAAAAGAAATTTTCGATTGAAGGTTAAACATTCGGCTAGGTTACGCTTTGCACCTACAATTGGGCTTTAGAATGATACTAATTTCAACACCGTCCGATAAGTATTAATTGGCAGAAAAAGTTTTACAAATTCGAAAAAAAACAAAGTATTGTAGACTGCCGCTATCAATGTTTTGTTTTGTTTGCACAAATATATATTTTTAAAAAAATAACTTTTGCGATATTTTTGAGCTGTGATTGGCTTTAAAACAGCGTTCATTATCATGGCTAGTCTTGGACCGTTTAAAGCTATACTTTAAGTAAATTTTACGTGACTCCAGTCTATTTTGTTGCTAAAATTCGAAGGTATCGTTCTATACAAATTGTTCTTGCTTTATTTGGTTACAATTATTTTGGAAGGCAGCACTTATTCATCTAGCATTATTTTTAAGGCACCTCGGTTCAATTACCGACTCTAATTTTATAATTTTGGTTCCAATATATCTTCGGCAAATCATCCTTTTGAAAAATAAAAAACTATGGACTGTGCTTCTGTTTATGCATAAAAAATAGGTTGAAATAAGTAGTGTAACTATTTTTAGAAAAGTATAGCGCATATTTATTTGAAGTGTTGATGTCACGATCGTGTCACGTAGATGCATTAATTTTGGTAATTCTTTGTCAGCACCTTTTCCTCTACTTGTCAGCCAACAATCATAAGATATCTGTGGTAAATAAGAATTGACTTAGTAAACTTTGTCATTGGTTATTTTTTTGTGAAATAACTTTACAATCCTTTTACTATAAGTATAGCCTAATTTTTTATTTTCTTTCTTCCCCTTTATCAGATATATTATCCAATAACCCTCTTTACTCTTTTCCTCTTTCTTCTATCTGTCTTATAATAAATATCATAATTATCAGGTATTTTTCTATTCTTGTAATCAAGTATTCTTCTCTCTGTTCTTTCCGCCTGTTCGCTCCTGACAATTTGTAAACGAAATACTGGTTTTTACTTGTTACGCAGTGGATCCCACCAAACAGTACATAAAAACATAGCAGTTGATATATTACTCGGCTTATGATCTGGGTTTTGCCTTCTAGTTATATTAATATTATTTTTAGTTCTTGTTCAAAAAGATTTTTGAAGCCGACTATTCATTAATATGACAAATGTTTTAACTAATCGTTCTAATCTATAGTCATTCTTGTTCCGATCTACAGCTTTATATATTTACTTTGAAATGTATATAAGCTTTTTTAATAAAATTAACCTATGAAAATCCCGTATATAACATTGGAGTTCCACTGCTATTTAAATTGATGAAGGTAACGATTCCTATATAATCTTCACTCGAAATTCCACCCTTCGAACATAAATATGTCCGTTTCTATCATTATCTCCTAATAGCTTGTCTGTCTCTCAGCAATTCATTCCAATACAATCACTATGAATTTAACAAGATATTCGTAACAACCGTCTTTTACAGCTGTTTAAAATGATGTACATGTCACGTTGCTTTTGTTTCATTAAATGAACATTGAAAATGCCCAATTTATACTCTTTGTTTTGCTCGAATTTGTTAAATTTCTATCAACTTACGTTCAAATCAACTGTTTCCCATTAAAGCTTTTATACATATTTATATCTTCTGGTTATTCTGACAAAACTCAGTTTGAAGTTTTTTGCTAAAAGGTTACAAAAAAACATGGTACAATAAGAACTTTTTTCTTAGTTTTGTGAGCATAGTTTGATACTTCAAAACCAGACTTATAAACATTCACTACGCAACTTTTGCAGTTTTTGGTTAATGAAGGGCCCTAAATATACATTCGAAACTAAGTTTAAATGTATCCAGTATTTAAACGTTTGTTATGCTTTTTTGTGCTGATTACTATTGCCTTGAAATTCCAAAAGTTAAGTCTCTTTAAAAGCCTAAAAATGGTATAAAAAATGACAAAAAAAATAAACTTAAGACTGATATAACGTAAAGCAAAAATAATAAACAAGGTCACAATTAAATAGATTGTTGAATAACAATTGAGTTAGGAAGTATATTATCATATAAACGTGAAAGCTAAAAAGAACATAAACAAATTTAAAGAGAGACATAATAAAATTTAATGAAGAACATAATAAAATATATTGAAGGACATAATAAAATATAAAGAAGGACATAATAAAATATAAAGAAGGACATAATAAAATTTAAAAAAAACATAATAATAACTAAAAAATATCATAAGAAACTATAAGGAAACGCATAAAAAAGGTAGAAAACGGCATAAAAAGTCTAAAGAAGGGCATAAAAAAGGTAGAAAACGACATAAAAAGTGTAAAGAAGGGCATAAAAATACTATAAAAAGAGGCATAACGAACTGTAAATAAGGCATAAAAAATATAAAGGAAGTAAAAAAAATCTAAAAAAGGGATTAAAAAATTGAAATGGATGTAAAATAAAAATTCATAGTCAGAAATAATATCATAAAAGAAAACCGATTTGGTAGAACTTAGGCAAATCGGCCATTCATTTTACGCTTTTGAGGAGGATTAGTGTTTTCCGTGGAAGCAGTTGCAACTGAGTCTCGATCCCCACGATTTCTTGACTTTTTGTACGCAGGTAAAGGGACGGAACCAAGATATTCACAAGCAGCATTGTTATTGACAGAATAATTTTGTAAAAAATCAAACACAGAAACATTCAGCTCTTCGATTTGTTGTTCAAAGCGGGATGCCTTACGTACAACAACGCCACCAGATTCTCGTACGAAAAATTTTGATGGAAATGTCCATGGAATATACTTGCACGTATAAAGGCAGCTAACCAAAACCAAAGAATGAAAATGAGCTAGTTGGTCGTAACTAATAAGTGGATTCGCAAAAAGCTCCAGGTACCATGCTCTAGTCCCAAATTTTTTCCAGTGCGAATCAATGTTATCGGAGCTAATGTAGGAAGACAAATTCTTTCTCACACAATTAACATGACAATCTTGACGGTCCGGCAATGGCAGAAGAAAGTTCAATCGTTCAGTTATTGACACTGGTTCAAAGAGACAAGAACGTTCTTGAGAGTGCACGGTAAATGGAGTGTGATCACCGGAAAAACTCATCGTTTCCAAATTACAGCCAGAAAAATCTCCCCCCACCAAAACAAAATACTCAGTCCAAAATTGTCTTAGGAACATCGAGGCTAGACGCATTCCAAAACCGTACTCCATTAGGGCTTGCTGCATAGTGTATACGTTTCTTATGGTACAGATGTTCGAAATATCGTAGAGAAATAACTGTCCATGACTGAAAGCTCCTTCTACTTCACCATGATGTAAATCGACAACTACATCTAAATTGCTGGTATCAGTGATTTCAAAACTAGGAAAAGCTTGTTGCATGCGGATCAAGTCGAAAGTATGACCAAACATGACTCTATCACCATCGACGGCAAACGAATCAGGCAAAAAACACAACCTGTTTTTACGACATCTGCTTGCTGATACGAACTTTGAAGAATCGGTTAAAGATTGATCAGAATGCATCAAGTTATTTAGCATGTACGCGGAGAGATACAACCCGGAGAACGACTGCAACAAAACGGAACCAAGACATTTTTCTGCCAAGTCACTTATAAGATTTGCCATGAGACCAACGTACTGGAGGTAAATTCCCGAATCTATATGGATGAAGGCCTCATCAGCAAGAGAAGACCTATCATAAAAAGCAGAATAATTAATAAAGTATCTAAAAGAAGTTGCCTGTAGAAAAACTTACTTCAACTTTGCGACCAAGACGTCCACGTAAGCCGTAGTAGCTGAGATCGCCGGGACACGAACCTCCAAACGAGTAGTAAACTGGTGGCCTTGGTATTCGGAAACACGGGCATTATACCATCTCTATTACAATTTTTGAAGTAAATATATGGGAAAATTTATATTAAATGTATTGCATACCATGTTCTTTAAATGACGACCCTCATGATGACGAAAGGTATTTCTCATTTCCTCGGGTATCCATGGACCGGACACCTTTCCGTTTACACCAGGATTTGACATCGTAAACGGATACTTGATGTCATTATACACCATTACTTTCGAAGGCGTAAAAACATTACCGGAACGACCTTTCCCGGAGAAGCCACCAAAAGAACCCAAAGACATTCCATAAAAATCGGTCTTTATGGTTGGACCTCCAAAAAGTTTTCCCATAGCTTGGACCTTTTCCTCTTTGACAAACGATACCAATGGTCGGCCATCCTCGGATTCGGCAAACAGATTCAAGCCAATGTCTACAAGGCATCTTCGAGGGTCAAGTTGGGACCAGTCAACCATGGTATCTAGAATGGACGTGTGATCCGGACCATACATTGGGCTTTTGAACCCGAAAGAAGAAACCACAAAAACAAAATGACGATATGGCGCCAAATCCGCACTCTCCTTTGCAATGTCACGCATAGACTTGACTAAGAGCCTAAGCTCCGAACCAAGCAAAAATTTGGGCAATGTCATGTGAAATCCAGTACCAATGGCTTCGCCATAAGATCCACCAGATCGATTCGCACGAGAACAAATCAAGACACGTCGAATAGCGGGAACCAGAAGTCGGTCGGTAAACGTTTTTTGAGCAGCGGAACCCAACATTCTTCTGGCATTGCTTACACCAAGCTTCATTTTTTTCATGTTCGGGAAGAGCACATGAATATTCATGCATGCTTCCGAAAAGGCGTCCAAAAGCAAAGTATGCGGGTAATTTTTAACATAGTCCCTCTCACCACGAAACGTGAAGTGCCCGAAGTCCAGACGAGTCAAAGCATGCTTCCAATTGGGGCTCAAAGACAGCTTCAAACGAGTTTTAGGCATGATTGGCAACTCCTTCAACGGGTAAGAAATAAAAGCATCGATGTTTACTTCGCAAAGGGTAGGACTATCACAATCAGTCTCCAAATCGACAATAATTTTTTTTTGAACGTTGTCAATGGTAGTAATTTGTCCGTTGAACATTAAATCAAGTCTTTCAGTCATGGAGGTAGCAGCGGCACACTTTTCAACGAATTCGGCAAATGGCATGGTTACTGATAAAAAAAAATAAGTATATAGATAAATGATTGAATTTCAGGCTAATTTACCTTCATTTTCCTCACTAATTTCGACTGAAGAACCATGGTTGGCAACAATGTCATCATCGTTATCGAGATCATCTTCATTGTTCAAAAGATCGCCGTCAAAAACTTCTGTTTCGGAACCTTCAGATTCATAACCTTCCAAGGCACGGGCGACTTCATCTTCTTCAACTTCACTAGCATCCGAGTCATTGGGATCAGGTTGGTAATCAGAATCAGAGTCATACTCTTGGCGCTCACGCACGGCATGATGGGATACGCTGGAACTAAGATTTTCAACAGGGGTGGAAGCACTAATATCTTCAGTAGCACCGACACGAACACCTAAAAAATAATCATAAGTCATCACAAAAAGAAAAAGAAAAAAAATGACTTACGGTTGACGGAGGACGAGGAATAAGAGCCAATGGATGAATGGGTTGCTGTTTGATTGTTACGGTTCATATTTCACAATAAGTTTAAGATTATAAAAATAGATAAAGAAAGAAAGAAGAGAGAAAAGGAAAAGAACCCCCTTTTATACTTTTTTTTGAAAAATGTTTTGTGACGATTTTAAAATATGGCGTGATAAATTTTTTTTACCCCAAAAAAGGTCACAAAAAAAAATTTTTTTGGGGCGCAGCAGCTGAAAAAAAAGTATAAATAGGGGGCCTTTTTTTGCAATTCCCCTTTTTTCATATTTCTTTCACTTTTAATTCTTTTTATAAACTTATCTCTCCTCCCTTCTTGGTCTCTTGGTTTCTTGGTCTTTCTGGTTCTTTCTCCTCTTCCTCCGTACTCTTCTTGGCATAAACTCATCTGGTATTTTGGATAAAAGGATAGTAATAAGTTAATATTAGGGTTAAGGTATTAGGCGAAAATTGGGGGTTGGGGTTGATGTGTTGCTATGAGAAGAGGGTGTTGGCATGGAGAGAGTGGTATGAGGGCTATCTGAAACATGCGTAGTTGCGCACAAATCGGAGTGATCAACGGGAGATCAACGAGAGATCACTTGAGAGAGGTTGATAAGACAAGAGACAAGATAAGAGACAGAGATAGGGTTCTGTAGGTGAAGTTAGAGACAGAGATAGCAACCCCGGACGAAATTCGGATCGATAAAAGCAAGAACGCTACCAGACGTAAAAAAACGAGCTCTTTTTAATGGTACTACTCTTGTCCCAAAGAACGGTGTTCCCATTGACTTATTGATGTTTTAGTGTCATACACTAGGTGCACTACATTATTCCTTCCCTCTGAAGGCCCAGCCTCGCCAGACATATAGCAACCCCGGACGAAATTCGGATCGATAAAAGCAAGAACGCTACCAGACGTAAAAAAACGAGCTCTTTTTAATGGTACTACTCTTGTCCCAAAGAACGGTGTTCCCATTGACTTATTGATGTTTTAGTGTCATACACTAGGTGCACTACATTATTCCTTCCCTCTGAAGGCCCAGCCTCGCCAGACATATAGCAACCCCGGACGAAATTCGGATCGATAAAAGCAAGAACGCTACCAGACGTAAAAAAACGAGCTCTTTTTAATGGTACTACTCTTGTCCCAAAGAACGGTGTTCCCATTGACTTATTGATGTTTTAGTGTCATACACTAGGTGCACTACATTATTCCTTCCCTCTGAAGGCCCAGCCTCGCCAGACATATAGCAACCCCGGACGAAATTCGGATCGATAAAAGCAAGAACGCTACCAGACGTAAAAAAACGAGCTCTTTTTAATGGTACTACTCTTGTCCCAAAGAACGGTGTTCCCATTGACTTATTGATGTTTTAGTGTCATACACTAGGTGCACTACATTATTCCTTCCCTCTGAAGGCCCAGCCTCGCCAGACATATAGCAACCCCGGACGAAATTCGGATCGATAAAAGCAAGAACGCTACCAGACGTAAAAAAACGAGCTCTTTTTAATGGTACTACTCTTGTCCCAAAGAACGGTGTTCCCATTGACTTATTGATGTTTTAGTGTCATACACTAGGTGCACTACATTATTCCTTCCCTCTGAAGGCCCAGCCTCGCCAGACATATAGCAACCCCGGACGAAATTCGGATCGATAAAAGCAAGAACGCTACCAGACGTAAAAAAACGAGCTCTTTTTAATGGTACTACTCTTGTCCCAAAGAACGGTGTTCCCATTGACTTATTGATGTTTTAGTGTCATACACTAGGTGCACTACATTATTCCTTCCCTCTGAAGGCCCAGCCTCGCCAGACATATAGCAACCCCGGACGAAATTCGGATCGATAAAAGCAAGAACGCTACCAGACGTAAAAAAACGAGCTCTTTTTAATGGTACTACTCTTGTCCCAAAGAACGGTGTTCCCATTGACTTATTGATGTTTTAGTGTCATACACTAGGTGCACTACATTATTCCTTCCCTCTGAAGGCCCAGCCTCGCCAGACATATAGTACCCTGGATGAAATTCAGAACTACATAAATTCAGATCGTATGCTTTTGTGGCTTGCTAATGGTATATTTTTGGGCCAAGTTGATTATTCGGATTTATGATTTTTATGGGTCCAAAGTTTGATGAATAGAGTGTAATGTTAGACTCATCGTTTAGATATACCTTTACCAACGTGTAATAATCTGGTTTGAATGATAATTAAGACGAAAGCTTAAGAGCAACCGCCATCTTTTTTTATAATGTTGTAAGTATTAATAAACAAGTTCTAGTTAATGAGCGTGGAAAAGCCGCATGGTAACCTTTGGGGTGAAAGATAAGATTGTATCTCCTACCATCTGGAGTGCATTATCTGCTTGAGACCGGAATAGTTGAGTGGATGACTCTATTTTGGGGATATTTATCAAATTGAATAAGATGGTTCGCATGTTTTGGACGTCTCATTAAAGGAAAATCGGCGATTGTCAAGTGCGGAAAGGCGAAGAGGACAGACCGAACAAGACTTGCTTACACAAACAGAGTAATAAAAGATACTTATATTTATTATAAGAAAGAGAGATTAAGCGAGAGAGAGTGGATAAGAAAAATAGATGTGAGAAGGCAGTTATATTATATATATGGTGAAGGGAGAAGAACCGGAAGGAAAGCCCGGTTATATTCATAGTAAAAGGATTGCATATTGACTTAGTGTCGTGATCGAGGCTATATACTTAATATATGACTCTATCTACACTTCTTAAATCTTCCATTTGACAATCCTAAATATAATTCTTATTGATACTGTTATATTAAATACTGATCATTTACTTTATGTACAGGCTTGATCTCATATCATCCTTCATACAAGTATACGACATACATTTAAATAATAACATTGATATGAACACATATGAAGGTTACGTCAGCCACATTGAGGTGCCACAGCTATCTGAATTAACAACTACATTTTCCCCTGTATATTGTGCTACAAGACATACACAGCTTAAGAATGAATGTTATTGTTATTGTTATTGACATCTCATTATGGTCTTTCTATATGGGATCATGACATCTGAGTATTATCTGGGTAAATCTACCCACAACCGTCATCAGCCCATCTGTGATCAATGTCTGAAGTAATGTGTATAGATAGACCCCCTTTTATTTGTTTAATAAAGCCTTAGTTTATTTTTGCACTTTGATAATTTCACTTTGTTAAATTTCACATTTTTTCTTAATTCGCTATTATCACTCTCGTATTTCTCACTTAGCTTAAAAAAAAGCAACGACAAAGTTTAGTAAGTCATTGCTTATTTACGACTGATATTTGATGAATGATGTCTGGCCTGTAGATTAAAAGTTGTTGGAAAAGAATTAATAAATTAATGCATCTACGTGAAACGATCATGACAGCGAGCATAACAGAGAAAACCCTTAGTACCTATTACCGGTACAATAAATCTTTGTCGTCTGGATATCTATATCGTTTTATGCCTTACATTTTAGTTCGTTCGAGCTGTCACATTGTATTTCGGTTCAGAAATGTTTATAAAAAAATTGCTTTTGACTATTATACTTTGCACGAACGTGTCATTGCAATGACTTTAGAAGTATCTAACGTATTAAAATTATTTTTTGGTTTTTCTTTGGCACTATTACTGGGTTTCCAACTTTATTACCAATTGTCCCATGTTTTAAGCTTTTCCGTTTTGGTCAATTAATTTAAGTAAGTCCATCGCCGAAGGCTAAGAAATCATTTTAACTTATGCACATTTAACAAAATCGACCAGTTTCATAATTTTATATTTATTATAAAAAAGATAAGCGTAAAGAAACTAACAATTCTGACTTGGAAATATATTAGTCATAGAGACACGAACTTCATAGGAAAAAATATTTTAATATAAGGCATAATAAAAGGGCATAAAAAATGATTAAGGGCATAAAATTAAAAAATGCATAGAAGAATTTAAATTTAAAAAAAGTGATAAATAAAAAAGTAGCTTAGACCTGTATAATTTTGTCATTTACCAATTGCGACGACGCTTAATCGGGGTATAACGCTTAGGCGCTGCAACGGAGGCATTCGATTCCTCATTTACCACTCTGACATTGGCACTGATGGGAGGAAGGGGGTTGGAATCAAGTAATTCACAGACGGATTGGTTATCGACGGAATATTTGCAAAGGAAGTTAAATACAGTCATGTTTAATTCCTCAAATGCTACATCAAATCGGGATGCCTTACGAACCGAAAGAACACCTTCTTGTCTTCTATATAATCTAGATTTTGTTGAGGTGGGCAGATATTTACAAGCAAGAAGACACCCAACCATTAACAAGGAATGAAAATTTGATAGGACGTCGTAACCGATAAATGGGTTGGCAAATAATTCCAGATACCAGGCCCTGGTTCCAAAAGACTTCCAGTTTACGTCTATACCTTTGCCATCCATGTACGCAGTCAGTTCCTTCTTAATGTCCGCAGGTCTACAGCTGTCCCTATCCGGCAATGGTAGAAGAAAATACATTCTCTCGGTAATACACATTGGTTCAGCCACTCGCTTAGCATCAACCTTGGAAAGAAAAGCCTTGGATGGAACATTGGAGAAACCAAGTACGTCAAGATAGCAATCACCATCCTTCAAAAAAGTTATATATTCGGCCCAGAATTGCTCCAAAAAATAGGCGGCAAACTTCGTCCCAAAACCGTACTGCATTAGACCTTGATTGACATTATAAACATTTCTGACGGTTGCAATATTGGAAATATCATACAAAAATAGAGGACAATGATCAAAAGCTTTTTCGATTGGCATCACAAAGTCAGAGATCAATTCGGAATACGCGTGAAGAGTAGGACAAGTGATGGGAGCAAGAGGAAAAGCATTGGAGCTTGTCGAAAGTAATCCTTCTAAGGTTGTCTCGGTATTGTTGAACAAATCATAAAAAGCTTCCGGCACGTTGGTACCTCTTACGTAACCGTCCTGGAATCGACTGGACATGTATTGTTCGGTGGAATCAAAAATCACTGCACCGGGAAATGCCTGTTTAATACTAGTAGAATCGAATGTGTGCCCAAACATGACTCTGTCGCCATCGACAGCAAACGCACCAGGCAAAAAACACAACCTGTTTTTACGACATCTGCTTGCTGATACGAACTTTGAAGAATCGGTTAAAGATTGATCAGAATGGATCAAGTTATTTAGCATGTACGCGGAGAGATACAACCCGGAGAACGACTGCAACAAAACGGAACCAAGACATTTTTCTGCCAAGTCACTTATAAGATTTGCCATGAGACCAACGTACTGGAGGTAAATTCCCGAATCTATATGGATGAAGGCCTCATCAGCAAGAGAAGACCTATCATAAAAAGCAGAATAATTAATAAAGTATCTAAAAGAAGTTGCCTGTAGAAAAACTTACTTCAACTTTGCGACCAAGACGTCGACGTAAGCCGTAGTAGCTGAGATCGCCGGGACACGAACCTCCAAACGAGTAGTAAACTGGTGGCCTTGGTATTCGGAAACACGGGCATTATACCATCTCTATTACAATTTTTGAAGTAAATATATGGGAAAATTTATATTAAATGTATTGCATACCATGTTCTTTAAATGATGACCCTCATGATGACGAAAGGTATTTCTCATTTCCTCGGGTATCCATGGACCGGACACCTTTCCGTTTACACCGGGATTTGACATCGTAAACGGATACTTGATGTCATTATACACCATTACTTTCGAAGGCGTAAAAACATTACCGGAACGACCTTTCCCGGAGAAGCCACCAAAAGAACCCAAAGACATTCCATAAAAATCGGTCTTTATGGTTGGACCTCCAAAACGTTTTCCCATAGCTTGGACCTTTTCGTCTTTGACAAACGATACCAATGGTCGGCCATCCTCGGATTCGGCAAACAGATTCAAGCCAATGTCTACAAGGCATCTTTGAGGGTCAAGTTGGGACCAGTCGACCATGGTATCAAGGATGGACGTGTAATCCGGACCATAAATTGGGCTTTTAAACCCGAAAGAAGAAACCACAAAAACAAAATGACGATATGGTGCCAAATCCGCACTCTCCTTGGCAATGTCACGCATAGACTGGACTAAAAGCTTAAGCTCCGAACCAAGCAAAAATTTCGGCACCGTCATGTGAAATCCAGTACCAATGGCTTCGCCATAAGATCCACCAGATCGATTCGCACGAGAACAAATCAAGACACGTCGAATAGCGGGAACCAGAAGTCGGTCGGTAAACGTTTTTTGAGCGGCGGAACCCAACATTCTTCTGGCATTGCTTACACCAAGCTTCATTTTTTTCATGTTCGGGAAGAGCACATGAATATTCATGCATGCTTCCGAAAAGGCCTCCAAAAGCAAAGTATGCGGGTAATTTTTAACATAGTCCCTCTCACCACGAAACGTGAAGTGCCCGAAGTCCAGACGAGTCAAAGCATGCTTCCAATTGGGGCTCAAAGACAGCTTCCAACGAGTTTTAGGCATGATTGGCAACTCCTTCAACGGGTAAGAAATAAAAGCATCGATGTTTACTTCGCAAAGGGTAGGACTATCACAATCAGTCTCCAAATCGACAATAATTTTTTTTTGAACGTTGTCAATGGTAGTAATTTGTCCGTTGAACATTAAATCCAGTCTTTCAGTCATGGAGGTAGCCGCGGCACACTTTTCAACGAATTCGGCAAATGGCATGGTTACTGATAAAAAAAAATAAGTATAGATAAATGATTGAATTTCAGGCTAATTTAACTTCATTTTCCTCACTAATTTCGACTGAAGAACCATGGTTGGCAACAATGTCATCATCGTTATCGAGATCATCTTCATTGTTCAAAAGATCGCCGTCAAAAACTTCTGTTTCGGAACCTTCAGATTCATAACCTTCCAAGGCACGGGCGACTTCATCTTCTTCAACTTCACTAGCATCCGAGTCATTGGGATCAGGTTGGTAATCAGAATCAGAGTCATACTCTTGGCGCTCACGCACGGCATGATGGGATACGCTGGAACTAAGATTTTCAACAGGGGTGGAAGCACTAATATCTTCAGTAGAACCGACACGAACACCTAAAAAATAATCATAAGTCATCACAAAAAGAAAAAGAAAAAAAATGACTTACGGTTGACGGAGGACGAGGAATAAGAGCCAATGGATGAATGGGTTGCTGTTTGATTGTTACGGTTCATATTTCACAATAAGTTTAAGATTATAAAAATAGATAAAGAAAGAAAGAAGAGAGAAAAGGAAAAGAACCCCCTTTTATACTTTTTTTTGAAAAATTTTTTGTGACGATTTTAAAATATGGCGTGATAAATTTTTTTACCCCAAAAAAGGTCACAAAAAAATTTTTTTTTTGGGGCGCAGCAGCTGAAAAAAAAGTATAAATAGGGGGCCTTTTTTTGCAATTCCCCTTTTTTTCATATTTCTTTCACTTTTAATTCTTTTTATAAACTTTTCTCTCCTCCCTTCTTGGTCTCTTGGTTTCTTGGTCTTTCTGGTTCTTTCTCCTCTTCCTCCGTACTCTTCTTGGCATAAACTCATCTGGTGTTTTGGATAAAAGGTTAGTAATAAGTTGGGGTTTTTTTATTTCAAGTTGTTGACGTCATGTAAATAGTAGAACTATGGTATGACAGGAAGAAAAGAATACAAAGGAACCGTTATAATGTAAGTGAAGGGAAAGAGAAGATTGGCTATGGTTGACATGGACTCATTGGTTAATGATGTCTGCCCAAGATCTTTGATCTTGTTAATATGATGTCAAAAGAGAGCATATTTAATCCAAAATGTTCAAGATACTTACGACATATTATTCAGGCTTAATTAATGACATGACGTAATATTCTAGAATATTCTTGTTTACTCTTACGTAATTCAGTCATGATGATCAAGAATGCTACGAATGAAATAATCAGGGTCTTTTTGAATATTGCGTAATCAATCTGAATGGAGTCGTCATCTTGAATATATTACACATAGATATAATTAGGTTGTTAGAACCATTACAAGGTTATTTTGAATATATATGTCACTTATAAATAAGTCATCCGACCAGTTCAAATTTTGTCGTAAAGAAAGTTATTGTTTCGTGCAGTTTTTTATTATTTTTAGTTATTTTGCTCATAACTGTTTTTGTAAACGTCATTATAATATATTTTTATCTCAAGATCTTCTATAAAGTTAATTTTTGTTGTTAATTGTCTATTTTAAATGATATTTGTTTTTTTTTTGTATGACTTTATTCAAAGATTTCACAAACTACCTTTTCTAACTAAGATACGTAAGATATCTAATGTTTTCAGAGGATATGCTTCCTTTACCAAAAAATAAATTCCGCCTACCTTATTAATAACACAGGATGATACCTGGAATGAAAAAGATCAGCCAACCTACGTTGAAAAAAGAGATCGTTTCAAAGATACTATTTTCGAACCATAAAAAAAAAAAAAAAAAAAAAAAAAAAAATAAAAAAAATAATGAAAAGTAATTGAATTATCCGAACTTAATGACATCAACTATATAAATTACAATATTCCACAACCTAATACCAACAAACAAATTTTGATAGCCCACGGCAACCATGTTGCCCAAGACAACGGTGTTGCCCCCGACAACGGTGTTGCCCTCGACAACGATGTTGCCCCCGACAACGGTGTTGCCCTCGACAACGGTGTTGCCCTCGACAACGGTGTTGACCTCGACAACGAGGTTACCCCCGACAACGATGTTGCCCCCGACAACGGTGTTGCCATCGACAAAGGTGTTGACCTCAACAACGGTGTTAGCAACCCCGGATGAAATTTGCCAAATTTCCTCAAAAATAGCGAAAAATCGTGGCATTTCAAAAATGTATAACATGACCCATCTTGGATTGCCAGACATGTTGTTACACACGTTTAAAGTCAAAAATCCCGATTTTAAGCAGGGAAATGAAATTTACATCGTTTTTGAAATAGATTTTAGAATAAACTTTAAAATTCCGGCTTGGTTACGCTCTGCGCCTTTAAAAGGGCTTTCGAATGATACTAGTTTCAACGCCGTCGGACAATAATTGATTGGCTGAGAATGTTTTTAAAAATCCGAAAATGGACGAAATATTTTAAACTCCGCTTTTAACTTTTTTTAATGTTCTGCAAAAAAATAATTTTTTTTAAAAAATTGACTTTTTTGGGGAATCCTGTGCGATGATTGGCTGGAAAACGGCAGGCATGAAAAGTACTAGTCTTGGATGGTTTCTAGCCGTACTCTAGGGTAAATTGTAAGGGATTGTGGTCTATTTTCATGATGAAATTGCAAAGTATTGTGCTATATAATTGTTTCTGGCTTTTTTGGTGTAAACTTATTTTTCAAGGCAGGATTCATTCATCTGGCTGACCTCTAGCATTATTATAAATGACAGCCCGGTTTTATTACAGACTGTTACTTTGTTATTTTAGCTCCAATATCGAGTGCCAATATATCTTTGGCAAATTCTCATCTTGTAGAAACAGAAACTATGGGCCCTGCTACTGTTTATGTATAAAAAATAAGTGGAAATAAATAGTTTAGTTGCTTTTAGAAAAGCATAGGGCTTCTGTATTACAAGTATTGGTGATTTTCAATAAGCCATAATTATATGGTCTGATACTTCTTTAAATGCAAATGTCAGGAAAAAAAACTGTCGTCAATCGGCTTAATATACCCTAGAGTATCCTTGTATCATTGGCATGATGATAAAATTAGTTTAGACGAATTGTTTATCAAGTTAATAGAATAAATTACGAAATACGAAGTGATTGTATGTATGATATATATTAAAACTGGGAAATACCTGGAATTAATGTAGGACTAACCAGCTCTTCTTTGACAGGAAATGGGAAGACATAGTCGAATATTAACGAAGTAAGGATCAAGACATTAAAAAGAATAATAATACTTAAGGTCATAACTGCTTGTCAACAACCAGTACTGATAAACAATTGGAATAGGTGTAGAATGATAAGGGAACTTCCACACTGCATTTAGTGTAGACGAAACAATAATTTAGGCAGTTTCGAAAATACCAATTGTTAAAGACATAAAAAAAACCAACAATAAAGTCAAATAATATTTTCGGAAACTTTTAAAAGATTAACGCAATCCATATCGGTTTAATAAGACCTTCTACGTTGATGATGCCAGTACTAGAACAAAATACGAAGCATACGCCCCAACCCGAACGATATTTGGAAAAAAGTATCTTTTAAACAAAATGCAAAAAAATATTTTTCAAAAGTCGAAAAAAATTTACAACGACATGGGAATACTTTTAATAGAATTCTAAGCGTCTGCGCTCCATACACAAATTGTTAAAAAAAGTCTATATCATAAACCAGGTCAGATAAATGCAAGTCAGGTACGTAACCCCAGAAATACTTGTGTCTATTACAAAACACTTTGGACTTCTGTATTAACGGACCTTTTTATATCACTTATAGAGGCCTATATGGAAGCAATTCACTACATAGTACAATCAGAGAAGCATGTTGAACGAGATAACTAGTAGTTGTCGTCAAAAATACCAAAGTTGTAGATGACTTTTTACTTGTAAAATACGGTTTTATAATAAGTACATATATCAAGTGTAGGATATGAAAGCCCATTTAAAGCTAGACGACATCTAAACAATCATTGTTGATAAAGTACTTCTTAATGGTTAAACCATAATTAAAAAAAGATTTAGCTAAATTTGATTGAACAGATACAGTCGATGGGCAATACTTTAAACAATTGTAATACTTACTAAAGCAACTTTGATCAAAACGCGGAAAAGTATTGGCAAATAATAAAAAGGTAGCAACGACGTTATTAAGAACACAAACAGTTTGCAAAAAATAGAATTTTTAACACACCAACTAGAATTTGCTAATTGAAATAGTTTTGGCATTGTATAAGAACTGAGTAAATTACACACGAGGTAACCAGAACGTGAATGACACAATAATAAAGAAAATACTTTATAAAATATCTCAAAATGGTTAATATTGCCAATTAGAACTTTTGAAGACGGTTTTGTATGACCGCAACTGTCTACATATTTAAATTAACACTTCCTACATAACTGCTATAAGTTTTAAAGCAAAATATCAAGATTCCGTTTCTAGCCGAAAGAACTTGGAAAAAAGGACACATAAGACAAAAACAAAAAAATATTTTTCAAAAGTCGAAAAAAATTTCGGAGGTCTTGGGAACAGCTTTATTAGATCTAGAATAATTATTTTTAATTGTAGAAACGATTAAATAGAGTCCAGCTGGAGAACTGATCTGTTTGTAAATAGATTTAAAGTAACAACGGAATTACCTGTGGAGATTTATTACGGAGTAGCTCAAAATTAAATAGTAGCAAGATTTAAAGAGAGCGGTAATAGGTAATACGCAGAACGGGAAAAAGATTAATTGTATGTCATACTATTACCGGGTATTTATTAATACAATGCTCACCGATTACGAGTATACATGTGAATGACTTTAAATCATGAATAACAATGGAAATCTTTTAAAAACATTAAACCACAACGTTTAACCAAATACAAAGACCTTGACAGCATTTTTTGTTAATAGGTCGGATGACGGTCAACAAGAAATAAAAAGAATAAGACTGTATATTTAATGACTTACACAGTAGTCGGGGTATCTCAAGTATCTTCAGTACTACTGGCGCATCTATGTACTAAATATAAGAAAGATGGATCAAACAACGAGAAAAATGTTGTGAAAGTATTAAAATAGTCAACAGTAGGTATGACATGAATCATTGCTCGACGACAAGAAGTGATGGATTATTGCAAAACTTCAGGGAACAATAAAGATTACGTACAGTGCAAGCAGAATCAGCAGGTAATGCGTTGAATTGGTATTGAAGTAGAGACATCATAGAATAAGTACAAAATGACAATAACACTAAATATTATACTCAAAGATACATTTAAATAACAGCAACAACAAAAACAATCAAAGAACAACTTCTGTGTTGCTTACAAAAGTTTCAAAACGAAACGCTAAATGATTTATGTATCAAAAAGAAATTGAAAAAAAAATGTTTTAAGGAAAACTAGAAAAGTCTTTCTCAAAAGTCGAAAAAATTTTGTAATGACATGGGAATAATTTTAATGTGTTTGGAATTGGCAATTTTAGATATGCTTATAGTTGAAAAAAGTCTAGCTTGACGAAAAAGTGTACAAAAGGAAAAAAATCATGAAATAATATGTCTAAAGACAGTTTCATTCAATGACAACTTGATGAATTAGTCTGTCGTTACTTTACACATGTTTCGGCTGCCTCTGAAGAGGAACTAT